TCATGTGACTCAGACACGTGATGAGTCATGAGACCATACCCCGCCAGCTGAACAAAACACTGCGCGCGCACAGACCATGGACCAAACAAGTACATACAACTCAAGTAGTATATATAGAGTAGACTTGTAAGCGTAGTTACCTCAGTCTTTAGCTGGTCTATTCCTAGCTACAACACTCTAGTCTTCACTGAATCCTATCGCTTTTTCGCCAAGTCTTTTCTAGTGCAGCTATTGATTGCTTGAACGACCGATCAAGTAGTTAGTCGCTGACAATAATTAAAGTACTAAGAAGTAGCAAAGATGATTCATGAATCGTTGTTCTCCTTTGGGCAGCACCTATCCTTGATCATGACCAACTTCCTCGCCCTTGTACCTCAGTAAATTTCTTGTCTCTTACTTACATATGTGTGTACCCTTCCTTTTTCCTTTTTGGACTCGCCCTCCTCTCCTCCGCGAAGGCTGAAGCAACAAACAAACAAACCCTTGGAAATCCACCTCTGACCTCTCTGGTGCCTCTGATGAATCCGACGTCGGCCTTCCATCACACAAAACCACCGACGCCGAAGCCGCGGGACGGCCCGGCTAAACCCCGCCAACGCCCAAAACACGAGGCTCCGAGACTAAGACTAAGACTGCTTGGCAGGTGTTTCGCTCACTACTATGACACGGTCGAGGATGACGACCACGGATATCCTAGTCCTGGAATGCCCACACCTTGTGTTGGTTGCAGCATACATCCTACCCGAGACCAGTCGATGTGATAGCTTTGCGACCGTACACCCATTTCGCAGACTGGAAGAAGTTATGCAACTCCTCCAAGCCGACTCGCGGCCAGTGCTGGTGATGGGCGATATCAATGCACGCACCGCGTCTATGACGCCACGACACGCACCGAAACGCACATCAGAGGACAGTGGGAGGGTCAGCACGAGGGGAAGAGAGCTGTTGAGAGTATGTACTCACGCCGAGTACGTCATCTTCAATGGACTCGAAAAATTTGGTGAACAGGCATCCAGGTGCACATCTCACCATCGTGGGATAGGCAGTTCGGTGGTGGACTACGTTATTGGGAACGCGGAGGCACTAACACAGACGCGATCGATGGAGGTGGTGCCTCTGAGGGAGGAGGAGTCGGACCACTCGGAGCTGGTGGTTGTGATGGACTGGGCTGGCAATGGTGCGACTGGAGCCAGCAGGCGTCGTAGGGAACCGCGGCGCAGGAGGAAGAAACCAACCCTGCCTAGTGACACGGAGGCTGACCGGCTGGTTATCCGTGCAGTAGACTCGAAGAGCGCCCCAGAACAGGGGATGCAGAAGCTGTATGGGCCGGTGACAGCATGCGCGGGCGAGGTTCAGGTCTATGTCGATGGCTCGTGCCTGGAGAATGGCCGACAGCATGCGAGAGCGGGGGCGGGAGTCTTCTTTGGTCCAGGGAATCGGAAGAACGTCGCTGCAAGGGCTCCGGGGAAGCAGTCGAACAACAGAGGCGAGCTTTTCGCGGTATGGTTGGCTCTCCAGCGGTGCGACAGACACTCGACGCTCACCGTCTATTCGGACTCGGAATATACCATTCGGACATTCACGGAGTGGGCGCCGAGTGGTGCGGCCAGAGGCTGGAGGATGGAACATGGAGACCTGATCAGGGATATTGTCTTCATGCTGCAGCGTCGACCGGCACGGATGAACCCGCTATCCCCGCCGCCCTCGTCGTTCGACCAGGCCCAACGAGCGACCAATCGCATACTGGACGAGACCATTGGAGAAGCGACGCAGGACCACACCACCGACCAGTTCTTTTCGCGCCCCTTCTCGGCTGGGGAGATCGAGGATGCGAAGGAGAAGCTGCGATCGCGGTTCCAGTCGGCGAGGGGTGGAGACGAGATCTCATACAAGGACATCTACGAGATGGACAACGACGCACTACTCGATCTCTGCAACCGCTGCCTGTTGGAGAGGGAGATCCCGTCCACCTGGATCCAGACGGTGCTTGTGGGGTTGTGTAAGAAAGGGAAACCAAAGGGGGACCCTGAAAGCTACCGCACCATCGGGCTCGAGAGCTGTCTATTGAAATTCATGACGATGCTCGTCAATGCGCGGTTCGTGCGATGGGCGGAGTCCAACAACCTACTCCCAGCTTCTCAGAACGGATTTCGCGAGGGGTATCGGACGAACAATAACATGTTTGTCCTGAAGTGTGCCGTGGACAAGGCTCGCGCCTCTCGGAAACCTCTCTTCGTGGCTTTCGTGGATATGACCAACGCGTTTCCCTCAACGGACCAGCCAACCTTGTGGACCAAACTACGGGTGTGGGGAGCGGGAGGTCGGGCGTTTGATTGGCTGCGCAAGCTATATCGCGAGATGGTGTACGTGGCTCAGCATAGCGGTGACAGATCTGAAGCGTTTCGAGCGACCATTGGCATACTGATTGGAGATACGTGCTCGCCGATTCTATGGGTCCTATATATGGCGGATCTCCCCGACTACATCCCTAACGATGAAGACGACATAGTGTTGGGCTCGGTGGCAGTCACCAGCCTAGAACAGGCCGACGACATCCTGCTGCTTTCCACATGCGCGGCGGGCCTCCAGAGGAAGATGTCGGGGTTGTATCGGTGGTGTGGGGTCAACTTTATGGTCATCAACAATGTCAAGTCCGAAGTGATGATCTTCGGCCCCAAGACCAGTCAACTCCCGGAATTTCACTTCGGCGGGACTACGGTATCGGTGACGGAGAAGCAGTCCTACATTGGGTTCAAGGTGTCATCCAGGCCAAGGGGCTTTCTGACGGATCACTATGAGGTCAAGGCAGAACAGGCTCGGAGGGTCGGTGTCAGCATATGTGGACTGGAGTCCCTTGTTGGTCGGGTACCAGTCCCGCACATGCTGAGGCTCTACTCAGCGCTCGTCGATCCCCACCTGACCCACGGCTGCGAGGTGATTTTGGATGTGACGGCCTCACACGCCCAGAAGCTTGAGGAGGTACAGAAGGCGTTCCTGAGGCGGATGTTGGGCTTGGGCTCGCACAGTGTCGTGGTGATACTTTACACGGAAACTGGGCTTCTCCCCATTGGAATCCGACGACTCTTGCTCTCCATCGAATGTGTTCGCTATTACGCCGGCCTGCCCAGGGGTCATATGGCGAGGGAGGCATGGGAGGAGGCGTTGGTGTTGGACGCTGGTGGCAAGAGGAGCTGGGTAACCGACTTACGTACCGTTGTGGGGCGCCTACCATTCGACGTTAAGATTCTTGACCACGCGGAGTTAGGTGTGGATGAATCGTTGGTTAAATGGATAAAGGACATCAAGAAGGCGGCAGATCTATGGCTACAGGGATTGGTGGATGGCAATTCTCAACTCTACCTGCTACATGGCCGTGTAGAGAAGGGAAAGACCGGGGAGGCTCGAACGGTGCCGAGGGCATTGCGACGTTACCTGGTAGTGGGGAATAGAGACCACCGGGTGACGCTGACGAAGTTACTCGTAGCGAACCACAACCTCAGGGTGTCTGTTGGGAGGTGGCGAGGCGACGCTCGTGACGAACGTTGGTGTCGGGCCTGTGGGCAGGGACAGGAGTCACATGTTTCAGTAGGGTATAGCCATCTTATATGGTAAACCTGACGGTGCAAAAAGCCCATGTTCATGGCTTCACCTGACCAGCTGACCAGTTACTTTTTCCATGCCTAATGGGTCAGCTGGCAGGTCACCTGACCCAGCTCCTGAGGTGTTTCAGAGTCATTTGGTATGCCTTGGAGTATGGGTCAGCTGGCTGCTCAGCTGACCCATACCATCAGGCTCTCCCGCTCCTGTATGGTCTACCACCCACCTGATAGTCCGTCGTCCGTTATGCCAGTGGTCTCCCTCTCCTGTATGGTCCCTCACCTCCTCTCCCTTATAGTCAGTCACCCCATCACCTTATCCTCGTCTCAGGGTGTATGTACTCCTTTCAAGACCATATGAAGGTTGTGCATTGGATTCACATTCGGAACACTTTTGGGACACGTTTTGGCGCAATTGGGCTGGCGTGGTGTCATTAATCGCACTCGCCCTCGTTTCTTTGATGCACAACATGGTGTATGACGTTGTAGGCGATCACATTTGTTGACTTTCTATACATAGATTTGTAGATGGCAGTAGTGCGACTCGCGAGGTCTTTTCCGGGTACGGATACTCCTTGCTGGGGGGTCACGAAAGAATAGTCCGGATATAGATTTTTGGCTGGGAAAAGACCTCTCAGTTGGTTTTCAGGGGTCGTTCCATTATGCTATCTTATGGTCCATTATCCATGAGAGACCTTTGAATTTTGTAGTCTGATCAGACTATTGTTTTTTTTTTTTTTTTTTTTTTTTTTTGTTTCTCAAGCTGTTATTGTGTGCGTATCTTCAGCATTCCCCCAGTGTGGTCAGTACATAAGTAAAAGTTATGTGCCTTGGGCCTTTGTCACTTATTCAGTTGTGTGGCAGTTTTGTCTCCTCAAGTTCATGTGCTATAATAATCAGGTACTCAAATCCCCTGACACTCTACATCCATTATCTCTCCTTGAATCCTCCTCCTACTCTGTATTATCCCTACCTCATTCCTCTTAGTGGAAGCCAAAGTAGAATTTTGTCAAACCTTTGTATGGCAGAAATCAAAACACGCCCTAGGCCGAGTCAGCGGCTGCCTGTTCATTATTGACCCCGTCAGTGTCGTTTCAGTCAGGGACATTGACCGACCTTTGTATCAGATTTGCGCGGACGGGACGGTCAAAGTCAAAGCATCCCGCAGACCACAACAAGTGCCAACCCCTCGCTCTGGCGTCCCCCGGGACCTAGTAAAATAGGAACCACGCGCTCCGCGGAGCGCGGATCACCTGTATTAGTTGGGCGTTCGTGTGACCTGGCGGGATCCCGGCGTTGCGCGGATCTCCGGTCAGCGGACCCTCAAGGGGCAAACCCCAAACTAGGGTTACACCAGCTCCACCCTTCCACCACCCATACACAAGCCCTTCCCCGTCGTACCCCATGTCCTCTGAGATCGAACGTTTTTTGGAACTGGGCAAGGCGTCAAACCGCCTGATCTGGGAGATATATCAGAGTCGGAATCGAAACCCGCGGGAGGCATTGCTGATCCTTTTGGAGCATTCGGTGAGTATTCGTCAGTCGATCGTCGCGATCGGTACTCACTTCCTATGTAGAGAGTTGTAAAGGACTGTCGCAAGGCCCTGGGCCTCGACTCAAAGACGCTCGACCCGCCTATACGAATGCTGTTTGCGGAGATTGCCAAAAATCACAGCACTTACCTGGATAAAGACATCAAGATGAAGCCTCATATCATCCTTGACACGGGCTTCCTCAAGCGCCTTCCACCTCTACCCCCCAACTTCCAACCACCTTACGACATTCGGCCAAATGAAGATGTGTCAATGACCGGCGACGACGACGAAGATCACAGGCGGGCGATGAAGCGCGATAACACACACATGAGCCCCCAATCCAAACGTTCGAAGAAGAAGAAGGTCCATATCGACGATTCCGCAACACGCCCATCCAGTCCCGCGGAAGAGGGAGTTGACGAGCCTCCCGCCCGGGCAACGAGGAGTCGCACAGCCAAGGCCGCTGGAGGGTCGAAGGGTGCAACCGCGCAAGGGAGGGCAGCATCGAAAGGGAGGGCGGGTACAAAGGAAAAGGGGAAGGGGAAAGAGAAGGAGCACGATGGAGGGCGGAAGGAGGGGGAGGAGGAGGGGGTGCCAGTGCAGGAGGAGCCACCTGCTCCTGGTTCGGGGTTCGAGCTCACGGACGAACCATGTGCTTTGTGCGTCTTTGCGCAGCAGCAATATTGCTGGCGCCCAGCTTCGGGTTGCTGCTTCCGCTGTCGCAAACACAAGCGAAAATGCTCGTTTGCGAACACGACAAAAGGGCCTAGGACTGCGAAGACAACGACGACAGCGAGAACGACGACTATGACAAATGCGACGACGACAAATGCGAAGGCCACGACAACGACGAACACACCGGCGGCTTCGACGACGGAGAAGAACACTGCCCCCGCGCGTTTTGGATACGACAATTCCAATACGGCAGGTCCGTCCTCCAAGGCTGTGGAGTCGTCCTCCAAGGCGGTAGGACCGGCGGGAGGTTCTGGACCCGGCGGCCAGGCGTACTGGACGGTCTTTGGCCTGCCGAGTGGTATGCCCGCTGGTACAGCAATTGGTAAGTTCCAGGCTAAGCTATACCACCCACTCTGACTCTTGGGTTTCAGACACGTCGGGGTTTCTGAAAGGAGATGACCTGAGGGTGATCGAGACGGCCACCCACGACCTTCAGGCAGACATCTACGACATCCGCGGCCAACTCCAAGCAAAGGTTGATATCGACGCAGATCTCAGCGATCGGTTGGCAGAACTGGAGGGTGGTGTGGAAAGGGTCCACGAAGATTTAACGACATTTACGAGCGACATCGAGGATATCCGCGCGGAGTTGCAGGCCGTGAGGAAGCATTTTCCCAACAACCCCAACGAGATAGAGAGGATCTCGAACGCTATTGCCCACATTGAAAGCCGCGTTGGGGAGCAGGAGAAACAATTCACCGCCTACAAGCAGAGGGCAACCGATAGGCTTGGTGCGGTTGTACGTTCAACCGTTGGCGTAGAGGTGAAGAAGGCGGCCGGTGAACTGCAGGAAAGGGTCGGAGGGGAATGGGAGGAGCGGTTTGGATCACTCGAGAATTGGGTAGGCGAGATTGATAGTCGGTTGCGCGAGTTGGAAGGGCAGCAGACCTCGGAGATAGAGCGACGGTTGGAGGGGTTAATCTCCGAGAAGGTGAATCACGTCTTCAAGGAGGCTGAGGGTAAGCTGGAGGGGTTCGTGAATCGCACGATTGCGAAGGAGTCGCAGCGACTGGCGGACAGTCAGGTCAACCCAGGACAGTTGGCGAAGGAGGTGTCCTTGTCTCTCGAAAGGCACTGGCCTTCCCTCCTAACCCCGATCCTTTCGACCACCCTTCAAACCCACCTCAAGGAACGTATTGGCGACGTCGATGCCAATATCGTTCGCATTGGGGAGGGTCTAACCTTACGTCTTCGATCTATCGTTCAGGAAGAGGTTGCGCGCATCAGTCACGACATCGCACGAGAGGCAGTCATCACCACCATGCAAAATCTTACCGTCGTTCCTCCTTCGCCCGACGATGTCTCTCGACCCTACCCGACCTTCATTGACCCAGACCGCTTTGAACAGGCTTTTGAGCCTATTCTTCTGTCTCCAGCTCAGCATCCCCCACCAACCTCCGCATCTGCGATTCAGCTGCGGGATCCCAACGGTGATCTCCAGGCCGGTCTTCAAGAATCGATTTTGACTGCAGTACCTGATGGCGTTTCTTCTGTGCGAGCACGACGGCCATCGAAAAGGGACTCCGACAGGGAATCGGAGGGAGAGGACATTTAACTAGCCCGGACTCGTATATATCCATTGGTGTGTATGTGTACAACATTTGGTGGATTTTCACATGAATATTAATTAATCGTTCTTGCGTCTTCGCCTCCGATCTTTCAAGTCAAAAATATCACCCTGATTCTTTACGCCCACGGGCTTCGGCTTGACGCCCTTCGACTTTGCCTTCGACCGTGTCTGAATTGCGGAGGACTTTGCCATCGCTCTTGTGGTAAGACCAACAGAGAGGGTGGGCATATTCCTCTTTGGAGCTGGTCGCCCTTCCTCTCTGTCGCTGGACTCCTCATCTGGCTCGCGTGAGTCGTCGGTGCTTGGGGGGGGTTCCTTGGATACATGGGTCGGGGGTTTTGAGTTCGAATTGTCCCTCGAGGTTGCGACGTCGGTGTCCACCTGGCTGACAGCAGCCTTACCCTTCCCCTTCCGGTTGTACTTCCTGGAATTTGACTGACCTTCACCTTCATTCCCGGCGGCTTTCTGTTTCCCTTTCTTTGTCGATTTTACCTGGGTCTCCGGCGGCTCATCCGCGGCGGACGAGTCTTCATTTGCCTTCAACCTTGACCTTGTCGTGACGGCGGCCTTAACCCTCCCCTTCGGCGTTCTGCTGGTATCGGAAGCATTTCCTCTTTCGTCGTCGCTGATGGCGGCCCGCCCTTTTCCTTTGGCCTTCTTAGACTTTGCGTGGGTATTTGACGGTCCCTCACCACACGATTGGTCCTCCGTGGCTGATGTGGTGTCCGGAGTAACCTCGGCTCGCCGCACCTTCTCCCTATCCTTTTCACCTTCCAAATCCTTTTCGCTTTCTTCATCACTGTCGCTCTGTCCACTCGACTCATCGTCACATCCCTTCGCCTTTCCCTTCCCCCGTTTATCCTTGGCACTGTATCCTTTGCGTCCCTTTGCCTTCCCCTTCCCCCTTCCCCTTTCCCTTTCGTCGCCAATACTCTCGCCACTGGACTCCTCATCGCCCTCACTCTGTCCACTCGAGTCATCATTGACCCTTGCCTTCTCCTTTCCCTTCCCCTTTCCATTCCCTCGTTCATCCTCCTTGCTGTCGCGTTTGCGGGACTTCTTCTTCTTCCTGGGTGGTGAAACGGCGACCTCAACGATGGTGGTGCCCATCCGCTTGAGGGGTGACTCCATCCAGTCAGGTGTCGGCGCAACCGGTGGCTTGGACGGTCCTGCAATTGGCACCGGTGGTCTGGACCCCCCGGGAACAGGTGTCGACGTCTTCTTCATCCCTTGGCTTTTCCCCGGCTCTCGTTTTTCGCGTTGTGGCGGGGACACCCTGGGTGAGTCGGTTTCCATCACTATGCGGGCCACTCGCTCCAGCCAAATGCCATCGTTCTTCGGATCTTCATAATGCGAGAAGGAGAAGACGGGGTCTGCGCCAGCGAGCTGGCGCTGGTACCAATGGCCTAGGATTCCTTTCATGACGTCGTACCGCATCACTGAAGGGTCCTTCAGGTCCACCGCAAGTCGGTCAGGCCAAAACGAGTCGTCAACGAATCGTCGAAGGTTGGAGAAAAGTCGAGTCCAAGAGATATTGGTCTTCACCCCTCCGGATGCTACACCTGCAGAAGGTAGGTTCCAGGCTCTATCAAATGGCGAGAGAGTGTTTCACTTACTGTAGCTGTCAAAGATGAATGCACGAAACACTTTGGTGAGCCACCTTCGATGGCTGTCTTCGTTCGCCGGACATTGGGTTATGTCGGGGAGGATAGGTTCTCCATACTTATTCTTCTCGAGCTCCACCCGCGCAAGGTCCCTCGGCTTCTTGGGAGGCTGCGCGGGCCCGCGGCTTTCCTCCCCCGAGTAAAAGGCATGCATCCACCGGTCGAACAACCTCTCGAACTGCATCTTCTCATATTCTGTCTTAAATTCCTCGTCCAACCTTGTACCTCCATCCAACCTATCATTGTGATCAACGACCTGCTTCACCAACACACCGTCTTTGTCTCTGAAGGCTATCATTGCCCACATGCGCGCATTCGCCTGTCGGTAGATGTCTTCAGCAAATAGCCACGTGCGTCGGTTCACAGCCTCCGCATTACTGTGAATGAAACATCAGTTCCGGTGCATTGAAAGGGAACACGACACTTACATGAGCTGTATCTCCGGCGGGGGAGCTACATTGTCCCACTCAACAGCCTCCATCCTAAACTTCGCCTTCTCTTCCTCGGGAAGCTGGTCCCAAAGTTCGGTGACTGCCCTCTGGTGGAATCCGATATGTCGATCTCCCTCAAACTGGTCGGCCTCCATGAGCTCCCTCTTCTTTTTGGCCACCTCCTTCCATTCCTGGTGTGCGAAGACATCCCTTCCACTCCTCGCCTTTGTCCCGATCTTGGCAGCCTTGGCCCTAGGCCTGCAGTTTGCTTTGAACCAAGCCCCGACAGCGTCCTCGATGGAAGATTTCATTGCAGCATCAGCACCCTCCCCCGAGGTCTCCTCCATCATGGACGCAATCCGTCGGCGTCGCTTCCTGACAAATTGGGCGGTTGATCGGGTGGCTTTAGCAGTATACCACTCTGACTGGAATCTCGAAAGGTACTCGATATGAATGGACGTGAGCTTGAATTTCAATTTCCTGGTCGGTTGTCGAGCCATACTGATTGACTTGTGGGGGATGGGGTGGATGACAGATTCAGCTCGATGTGGAGGGCTTTTTCGAGTGTCTCCAGCGTATGATAGATACAATTTAAAAAAGACATTTCACTCTCCGATTGAATCATATGTATTGGTCTGTGTTTCCGAAAATAGCCCTTCAAGGCCCACCACCATGGCTCGATCGCGAAGGCCCGTGCAAGAAGATGAAACGGTTACAGCCCGCGTTACTGTCCACCACACATCCAGGGGAGTTGTGGTCCGGTCTCGACCTATCTTGAAGACTCCACTGAAGAAGAACGTGCGGAGGTTCCGGGTGACAGGCTCTAGTGGGGGGGCATCCCCGCGGAAGAAAGCCAGAACCCAACCTCCGTCCCCCTACGTTGATGTGGGTGGTGGCTCACCTTCAGGTCATCTGTCTGGCAATGGGCGAACCCCTCCTCGGATAACCCCCCCGTCGTTCGCCTCGTCGGGAGCAAAAAAGACATATGTATGCCTGCGGTTCCTGCAATACCTGTAATGCTCACCTTGTGTTCACAGTCTCAACATGACTTCATGGCTGATTGGATTCCGCGGAAAGGCCAGTTCCTGCATTCGATACTCGAAGGAGAGGGCAAGGTTTGTACCTCGTGCAGCACGTGTGGGAAGGAAGATGCAAGCTGGAGGTGCCTCGAATGTGTCGGATCCTATGAACACTGCAGGAGCTGCATTAGGCACAAGCATCGGGATCTCCCGTTTCACCGTGTTGAACAGTGGACTGGGACCCATTGGAACCCTGCTTGGCTTTGGCAGACCGGGGTTGTCGTGTCACTCGGTCATGGCGGAGCCCCGTGTCCAACTCCTCAAGGCTTCTTCCAGGAGGGAGATGAAGATCCAGATGAGGACTGGAGCGACGAAGACTCTGACGTGGAGGAAGAATCGAACAAGCACGCCGGCCCGGCTCAGGAAAGGTTTTCGTTCGGTGCTAAACCTAATGGCCGCCAGGTTGGTGACGATCGGGTTGTTATCGTCATGCATACCAACGGCATCCATCATGTGCTGTTCCATGTCTGTGGCTGCGCCGACAGCCCCCCCGAAATGGTACAGTTCCTCAGGATGAAGCTATACCCTGCATCTGTGAGGACGGTCAGAAGTGTGGCGACTTTTGCATTATTGGATGATTACCACATGAACCAGGTCGAATGCTATAGCTCGACATACAACTACTTTGCCAAGCTACGCCGAATGACGAATAAGGCTTACCCTCAGACCGCTCCGGTGGGTATTTGTCTCGCTCTCGCCTTGCGGACATTCCAATTTTGGCTTATCACTCGAATTTGTAGAATCGTTATCGGGAGCTGGCACGAATGGGTAGGCAGTGGATCCATCTGAAGAACCTGAAATGGTTTGGGTTCGGTCATACGGAGGGAGAGCCGGCGGATGGCGACCTCGCGCTCTTTTGCGCGGCTTGCCCGCAGAAAGGCATCAATGTCCCCGATGACGAGTGGAAGGACCTCCCCGACATCCTGAAGCTTCGGAGCTTCGTTGCGGATGGTAACTTCTCGTGCGTCCATCAGAGGCAGCGCGCCGCGGATCAGGACATCTGGATTTCCTCTGGCACAGGGTTCATGGCCGAGAGGACGGCGTACGCAGAGCATATCAAGTCTGCAACTGAAGAGAAACAGGTCAGCATCAACATTCCTTCGGCATATCCGCATCTTACCTCCTATTGATCTAGACATCGACTTGTCACGAACATCGGGCCATAGCCGACAAGTGGAAGTCTTTGAAGGGATGTGATGTCACCGGCATCGGGGCCATTGCATGTATGAGGCATGGCTGCTTCGTCCCTGGGAGTATGGTCGACTTTCAGAAAGGGGAAAGGTGAATTGCCCGTAATCTGTGATATCCTATCGGTAACCAGCTGACACCCATCCGCGGCGGCAACCAGACAGATCAACATGGACTATGCGTGGTTGAGGGCTTTGAAGATGGGCCGATTGGATGGTGTTCCGTGGGCCCTGCTTGTCTACGACATTAATTGCCAATACTGCATCAACTTTGCCCGCCGTATCAAGAGGTACCGGAATCCGGGTCTCAAGCCTCCCGCGGGCCTGGTTATCGTCAACGCGATAGGTCTCTGGCACGTTCATGGACATCGACCCGAATGCTACGCGAGGTTTGCACCCTCCTTCGTCTCTGGCGCAGGCAAGAAAAGTGGAGAGATCCTGGAACCCTTGTGGGTCCCAATGAATAAGCTTGCGGGCCCAACCAGAACCATGTCCAGCTCTCATCGCGCCGAAAGTCTGGACTCGGGAGCCTCGGATAGCAACTGGAAGAAATTGACTGGGCTAGGTATCGTAGTTCATTGTTCCAAATATCTCGTCGACTGAGTGTCGCAGTCTCTTCAATATGCAGGGATTTACCTAAAGCCAAGGAACAGGCTGAAGACGCGTTAGAGAGATACCAGGCTATTTGTGGGGCGATAACTAAAAGGCAGCTGGCCGAATGGACTGTAGAACTGGACAATGCCAAGGCGAAGCGACTTACGGACTTTAAGGCGATGGACATTCTGAATTCAAAACTCGATAAAGGTGAGCTATTGGAGACGAGAAGCATGCCTTTTACTTACAGGGACTTATTCCAGTCCCTAAGAGAGCCGAGGTAGAGGCTGACTTGATGGATAAGGAGAGAACCTCTGGAGAGGGTCTAGGGGTAACTAGCTGGATCTCATCGGGTATCGACATTCAGGAGAAGCAGTAAGTACCTCTGCCTCAGAGCTGATCAATACTTGGAATACTTACATTGCATTCGATGTGCACGCCACAGGGTCGAGCTTAAACGCCTAGCTCGGAGGTGTCGGAGCCATACCACAGCGAAGCAGAAGCTCGAAATGGCCAAGCGCCGCCAGGACCTGACAGTCTCGATCGAGGCGTTCCACAAGGATGCCGCGGGTCTCTTCCCGGGGCTTGACCTCAGTTCCATGGAGCTACATGAGGCGAATGGCATTGTCTCTGTTGAGGTCCCAGCACCCGATGGGGAGGACGTACCTGACTCTGACGATGACGATCCTGATACAGTACCGAGCCAGGACGATCCCCCCGAAGATATGCACATCCCACTCCCTTCAGCGGTTAAGGAATGGCCGTCGGCCCTCGCGTCTGTCCGAAGAAAGGAACAATCCATGCGGATAGCTCAGGCCAACACAAAACTCGAGTCTATCCGTGACTCTGTCGGGAGGTTGTCATACCTGTATCGCTCGCTGATCCGCGGGGCGAAGACGAAGAAGACAAAGACACGGTCATATGGAATAGTCAAAGGTTCTCGGGACGAGCTACGGCTTCAGGTGAACCATTACGAACAGGCGCGGCGGGCTTTGGAGCGCCTAGGGACCTCCCCTGAAACTCTGCGGAAATACCAACCCATCCATCCGGCGGACATCAAGGTCAGCACCGCCATTGCCGATCCGAACGCGCGAGGCCAGAGTTCCTCCCACCTCTCCTGGATCTGGGGCATTCCAAGCGACAGCCCATCCGATCGAACATTGTACCTAGATGAGCGTAAGATTCTCATTCTCCCCATTGTGACTATTGATTGTGACTTACCACTCTCGCTTTGCAGTTTATCGGGTAAATTGGATGAGAACCCGAGAGAGATATCTACGTGAAGAAGAAGAGTACCAATACCTTCTTCGCGAAACTGGGTGGGTACCGCGCTTCTTCGATTCCAAAGCGGCGGAATGGGAGGAGCGGCGCACAAGGGTTTCACATGAAGGTCACATCGCCTATGCGAACCGACAGGCTGAACTATGGCGAAACCTCGCACAATTTGCGCGGGAGGGATTCAGTAAGGCGCTGAAAGCTTTACAACCACCGGTCACCCGCGTAGCTGCCATGACTTGTGAACACACTGATCGAGATCCCTCACCCCATTCAGATTCGTCCGAGAATTCGTCCGACGATCGCTCGTATTCCTCAGAATGACTCTATGTCTACACCAGATAATAGTCCTTAGTTTGCTTCGCATTCGTATATGAATTCAAATATCCTTTCTGATCTCCCTCCCATTAACCATGGACAACAAGGGCCCCAGTGACCACCCTAGTATGTCCAGCGTCGCTATCATCAATGTACACATCTCGCGCACGCTCTCTGCCCTCAACACCCTCCTCATCAAAGGCGAAGAACTGCGCCGTCGGGGCCTTTTCGACCGCTTTATTCGTTGTCTCGAATTTGAACTTGTGAGGTTTTATCTTCGCCATATCGTTTACCTTCGCTGAAATCTTCATAGTTCAATGTATTGTGGCGTATCGCCGGTCACATCACGATGTGGGAATGGAAGTCTCTTCGTATCCCTCCTGCTTTTTGCAACCTAGTGCAGTCGACCGCGCTTGGGCTTTTGGATGATCCACTTGTCGTTGAAGGCATTTCACGGGGATTGGCAACACACCTTCCCCCATTGGCCTATGAGGCGCCGCGTGCATGGTGGATTGGTTTCCCCGAGAGAGAGGCCGACGCTCCCAGATCGCAGGACGATGCTGTGGAGCTTGAGCGGATGTACCCCCCCGAGGTTCGTGCGAGTTCATATCTCCATGTGCCACCCCCCCCTCCCGCCGATCAGAACACCCGCGCCCCGCCGGAGCTCGTTGGGAACTCGAAGGAAGAAGCACACAGGTTGTTGGAAGTGCTAGATTTACAAGTCCGCCGGGGGAAGATTCGTTCAAATGAGTTAGACTTCCGGCTTCGTAGATTGTGCGAGCTCACCGCTTGATTACCGCTTCTATGTCACCTATGACCATGTCACCTATGAAACACCTATGTGCTCCATTCCTGTTGTCGAAATCTGAATGGGAATCGTTCTGCAGCTATCTCGACCGTCGAACCGCACATTGCTTGGTTTGGCTCTCGAAGAACTACCCTCTGGAGGAGACGCGGGTGGACGAGTTTTCGAACGGGTTAATACTCGAGTATGTAAGTCCTTACACTAGTCATTCCGGTCATTCTTACACGTTGCTGACTGAGTTATCCAGAATACTCAGCTTCAAATTCTCATCAACGCCATTGCCGCCGGATGCACCCCTCCCTGCCCAGCTCTCTTGTGTGCATCGACCGGATGGACTCCATATGCTGGAGACGTCAAGGATTGCATTACATCCGTGGACAGTCTCCTGCTGACCGTATTCCAGAACGGCGTCCCTGAAGGATACCTAGATTTCCAGGTTGGATTCCGCTGGTGGGAGGTCGCATCACAACCTCTGACGCCTTCAGAGCGTTATTACAAAACATTTATGGCCTGGTGGAATGAGCAACCGAACTCGATTACGCGTGCAACCGTGCGTTTGAAAACCAGCGGTGAATTGAAGGCCGCAATTGCGGCGTTGGAGAAGGAACAGAGGGAGATCGACGAAGATATCGCGAAATGTCTAGCAAGGGTTGTGGAGTTGAGATGGCAGATCAAAAACCTCCTGTAACTACAAACATCCCTCGTTGATTACAGTACTACCTTGTTACATTGTCTCTATGCCACTGCAGGGCCTCGGGAATGTTGGTGTACGACTCTTGCCACTTTGAGGGATAGGGAAACGGCACTCCCGCGGCGTCGAATAGCCGTTCGCGCCAGAAGTGCGCCATGCAATAGCGCTCACCGTCAACCTCAGGGACGCCGTGAAGGACTAATTTTCCAAGCAACGCAACCACGCACCCAGGGTTATAGGTCCACCTACGATTAAACGATGGTGTTACCAATACACCGTTTGAATAATTTCCGCCGGTAACGAGTATGTCCATTCCTTCGATGGGCCCGCTGGTATCTCGGTGAATGGGAGTCGCGCGATTGACGATAAGGGATAAGGAGCTGAAGGGGGAAAACCAGATTTCGATGATCTTCGACACTGTAGAATGGTCCTTTGTGAGCTTCGAATTCGAGTACAGCTCCCTCAACACTTTCACACCGGATTCGAACAAAGGTTGGTTGATCTGCGCAAGGATAGCGCCCACGAGTGCTGAAGCGATTGGGATGTCACTCAGGAACATCCGACCCTCTCCCTTGGGTGGTTTCAAGGTCGACGCTGGACCGGGGAGTTGGTTCTGGGTATGGGTTAGGTGGCTTGTAGGAACACAGCGACAATGGGCGGACGCACCTCATGACCAACAGGCCACCACGCCGGGGCGAATGTCAACACCCCAGGAGTCATTTTACACGCTCCCTGCCTGAACAAATCCAGCGCTTCTCTCCAGTTCGCACCCAGCTTCTCTTGACCTTCTTCCTCCTGTTTACCCTTCCCCTTAACCTTCTGCATCTCTACCCTCGCCCGTTCGCCTTCTCTTGCTCGACTCTTTTTCTGCAAATGTCCGTCCTTGGTAGTAGCCAAGGTCCCAACAGCGGCGTCGATAATTGTCTGGAGTCCTGGCTGTCAGAGATGTACCCGCGGCAATACCAAAGAGGACATACCATTATCGCGGGCGATACACAGCTAGGCAGGTAGCAGAAGAGGATGTGATCTTCGGCGTCGATGATCATTGCTGGAAGGATCTCTTGTACCGGATGATCGCTGTTGAGCTCGGCGCCGGGAGGAAACTCCTTCGCCATTACTGCTTCGCGGTTGGCATTTCGTCCATCCTGTCGAGGGGTAAGCTCCCGCATATAGCGGCGAGCTGTCCAAGGAACTCGATCTATGCAAGGTATAGTCAAACCTGTGGGATATAACGAAACCGACTACTTACATCTTCGTCTGTACGCCTTTTCCAAGACATATGCCGCCTGCCAGAGTGCGGTCCTCAATATCGGGTTGGCCTTTATGCTGTCGTTCTCGGTATGAATGTATGGGATGCCTGTCCGCAGACCCTGTATCATCCGTCCAAGCACAGCCGCGGCCTCGTCGATCAGGAGGAGAGAAGGTAGCGTTTCATCCTGTGAACAGTCGTCGGTAGAGAAAGGGATGGCGGACATGGACGATCCGAAAAGTCCTTCACAATGGACATATCTGTAGGAAAGAAGTCAGAGAAACATCACCTCTGGATGAACTCAGGACTTTCCGCGGGGAAATTTAACCCTCAGATCGGAGCCTGTGACCGGAATCCTTTCCGAATTTCCGAACGTCCTTTGATCAAATGTACGGTTGATCACATGTACATATTCCCAAACGACGCTAATCCCGAGAGCAGGATCTCAACCCACCCAACCCTTTCCACAGCCTTTGTCACTCGGCCATATCATCTCGACAATACCTGGAAGATGTCAAAAGCCAAAGGTGAGTCGTTTAGACGGTTGGCCAACGATGAAGTACTTAACTTCCATATAGCTCGTGGAGCGAAGAGGACTGGGGCGGGTCGTGCTAGGAGGGAGGATGGGCTAGGCGAAGACAACCTTGACAATCCCGCGGTCGCGGGAGAGAAGGTTGTTGGCGAGCGGGCGAAGGTTGTCGGCAACAAGCAAGCGTCTCCAGGTGCGTTCTTCCCCGGTATGATACCTTGGTACATGCTCACTGAGACGATGAAGGGGTAGGCATTGGAGACATACCCGCGGAGGCACCCCCATCCTTCGATACAGCGGCGTTGGCACAGGAGTATGCCGTTGGAGGTTCATCATCTACAGGAGCCGCTGGTGACCGACCCACGGAGCTATTCCCAATCTTCGACACGGCGGTGCTAGGGGAGGAGTACGAAGTTGGGAGTAGCCCGCCCAAGCCCCCAGAGGCCACTGAAGTGCCAGCTGCGAGTACCTCGGAGTACAATACAGCTGACCTGGCGGCCGATTACCACGTAGGCGAATCACAACCGAAGTCCCAAACCGACCCCTCCGCGGCTACTTTGGGACAGACACCTGACGAAATGAACGAAGAAACTAAAAAGCTTGCTATGGAATACTTTGACCTCGATTCAGATACCGCAGCATTTCCATTGACGACCGAGCCCTCCGCACACGATCAGAGTACTAAGGAATTGGCCATGGACTACTTTGTGGAACCTTCTGTGGTAAGTGTATTCTCTGTTGCTTTGATCCTTGACTTGTATTGAACTGACATTGTAACTGCAGGCTAGCAGTGATGGTGATAAGGATGGAGGAGGTAATAGTGATGTCACTCTTGTTGGCATCCGTACTAGATGTCGGGAGTCCCTGTTGGACTGCTATTTGCAGGAGAGATTGGCAGTGCAGGGTCTGTTAGACTGTCGCCGGCGTATCACAGATTACATAGCCTTGCTGACCAAAGAATTGGAGTGTATGGAGGAGGGTGTGCATGAGTAGGACTAATTTAATTTGAAAATATTTTTTTTCTATTGTCTCTCTCTCTGTAAACCAAGGACAACTGTATAAGGGAGGACCAGTGGCATAATCGCCAACTGACTATAAGGGAGAGTGGGTGAGGGTAGAAGGAGACCACTGGCATAACGGACGAGGGAGAGCGGGCGAGGGCGGGAGAGTCGGTGATATGGCATGGTCAGCTGGCTGCTCAGCTGACCCATACTCCATAGGCATACCAAATGACTCTGAAACACCTCAGGAGCTGGGTCAGGTGACCTGCCAGCTGACCCATTAGGCATGGAAAAAGTAACTGGTCAGCTGGTCAGGTGAAGCCATGAACATGGGCTTTTTGCACCGTCAGGTTTACCATATAAGATGGGTAAATGTACTGAAAGCACTGCAGGAGTCGGTTGAACATGTGCTCCTGAACTGTCAGGGAAGCGCGGAGTTAGTCCAGGAGCGTGAGCGACTAGTTACGATTCTTTCTAGAGATCTCAGCTCAGCTGCGTTGGGCAGACTTAGGCAATCTGGTGGAGATATTACCCAGCAGCTGAGGATATTGGTTAGCTATTCGGAGACTATTGGTATTGTAGCCGCCTACGCGTCTCGAGCGATGAGTATTATACGTCAATACGGTTAGGGAAGGACAGGGGTAACCCCCGAGGTAGCCGGACAGGCCTACTCGGGCTTACCCCCACCCCCCAAAACCCTTACCCCTCAGTCAGGGGTAGGGGTAGTACCCTTACCCCCCAACCCTGGGGGTTTTGACCAAGGGTTTTAACCATTTTGGTACTAATCATTACTTACAGTTGTCTATATGGATATTTTTATGTGTTTTATTGCATATACAGCAGTTATTTAGTAGAAGCTATACATAGATATTGAAATAAATGGCTTTTGATTGATTTTGTATCAAAACCCTTACCCCCGACTGGGGGTGGGGGTTTGGCCAAGGGTAGCCGGACACCTACCCTTACCCCTACCCCCGCTCTACCCCTGGCCTCTACCCCGGGGGTTTTAAAACCCCTTGGCCATCCCTAAATACGGTCCAGCATAATATTATAGTCGTGGTTAAATCAACATCTGATGACCCTCCGGTTTACTAGCTACTAAGGGATGGACATCTTGACTGCCACTGGCAGTGAGGACAGTCGCCCTTGGTCCTAGTAGGCTACTAGGCTGATGGGAGTTTCAAGGGGGTCCCTCTTTGGTCAGCCTGGGGGTTCGTGTGCTTGCACAGCCGTCGGACCTTTGAACTACACACACACACACACACACTCGTGCGCGTCCTGACAAACGACCTGCTGCACTCCGAAAATGAAGTAACAAAGACTCAACAACTCCAAATCGCATACATCTTCCTGTCCGTCACGCTCAACGTCATCGCCACTTCACTTATTTCGTACAAAATTCTGGTTGCGAAGCGGTGCTTCTCTAAAGCACTCCCCTCGCGAAACATGCGGGTTTATAGTGCTGTGGCTAGGATTGTGATAGAATCTGCCCTTCCGTTGACACTTTCCGGGTTACTCTGCGCGATATTCACTGCGATCAATTGGGCACATTATCAGTCACGCTTGGGGTGGCCTAGTCTGACCATCATGGCCACTGCAGATACCTTCGGGTCTCTCATTTCTCATTTGCGTGTGGGACCATTTCGTCTGGAAAGTTGTACTCTTCTATAAAGTCTTTGAGGCCTCGCAGCCGCCTGGCGATGTGCACGAAATATGGCATGGGAACCTCGTATCCCATGTAGACCGCGAGGGGGGCTGGTCCGTCTAAGCTCGAGGTGGGTAGAGGCGGCTTTTTAACTTTACGGTGGTCACTCGTGGGGTTTCCAGGATCGAGTTAACTCCCCACAGGAGTTCGATGGGTCCCCAGCCCACCCTTTGGTTCAACAGGTCGCGTTCGTGGCGTGGTGAGTTGCGGTCGTCGTGGTTCAAACAGTTATACTCCGCACGAGGCACGGGAGCTGGGTTTGAATTATGCACGGCAAAGCTCACGACTCCGCCAAGTGTGCCTCGAACGACGAAACCGTCAACTTGAAAGTCTTTGACTTAAACCAGTCAGAGTCCCTGCTACATACCTAGAGGCGCATCCCATGCTTTCGAACAGAAATTCGAGAGACGAGAAACATAATGATATTCCGAAAGCAATAAAAAAAACAGCAAACGACGAACGATAACGACGACGATGTGTACGAGAAACAAAACAACTTGTAGTATGCACATATAGAGCAGAATGTAATAGCGTAGACTGGACATATAAAAACGACACAAAGAGACAAGGGATAGCACGGAGATTGAGATAGAGGTAGTCGCAATGAGGATAGATGGAGACAGAGACAGCGAGATAGAGAGATAGAGACAAAAGGAAAACAAGAAACAAGAGAGATACGTAACAGATAGATACGTGTTCGACTTTATATATATAGCTGAAGATGTAGCTTGAGGTTTCCAGAACGAATGAATGAAAATCAAACAAGAAAAGAGAGAGAAGAGTCCAAGTGTGACACCAACAAAGAGAGAGAGACAGAGAAAGAGAAAGAGAGAGCAGAACCAAAACGCAAACAAGACAGCAAAACAAAACAACTACGACGCAACACCAACACCAACCTCTTCAACCACAGACACCCGACTCTGACTCGCCTCCTTATTTTCACCGGGCACAGGAACCTCCTTCGCCCTCTCCAGCAACGCCTGCACCTCCGCAATACACTGATTCAACCTCATCTGCACCTCCCTCGCATTCTCCAACAGCGGCCGAATATTCTCCGGGGTCAGCGCCAACGTCGGTGTAGGCGGAACTTGACTATGCGGCCTGGGCTGAGGCGACGAACTCGAGTTTGAAGGAACGGTGATAGGCTGGGGCGGACCAGCTCTCAACGACCCGGACGCAACCTTACCAGTCGTATGGAACTTGCCAGAAGATCCCGACACAGATCGATTGGTAGGACCTGGCTTCACCCCGTGTGCAAGCGAAGAAGTTCGCATCGGCCAGACCGGGCTCTCCGCTTGACTTTCCTGCACGTTCGAAAGTCGGATAGGTCGGGGAGTCGACAGGGCTGTAACCGAACTTGCTGGACCAGCTCTCGAACCGGAGAGAGCATTACCACTCGTTCCAGCGACGGAAGACGAATCGCTAGCACTGAGGTTCAACGAAACCTGGCTCGCACTCGCACTCCTCCTTCCTCCACCCGTGCTAAGCCCCGAAGTCGAACGCGCAGCATAAGGATCCTGCTGCAAATACGGCGAATTCGGCTTCCTCAACTTCCTGCCCCGACTCGTCGACGTCGCCCGTATCGTCGCCGATCCCTCCACTCCAGTCGGACTAAGGCCACCATACGGCTTCCCGCCATGCTGCAGCTGATGTCCATGTTGGTGCAGATGATGATCGGGATGTCCATCCAAGTCAGACGCCGAATCAATCTGGTCCCAATCCTCCTCCTCGTCATCATCCTCATCTCCATCCACCCCATCCTGCCGTCCAAAATCACGACTTGGCCTCCCACTCCCAGGTACACTCGAGCTCTCAGCGCCACTGTGACTACTCCCACTCGGCACCCTCGACGACGCACTCGACTCTGGCACACTCCCAGCTAATCCACCATCCGAAGCAGTCACACTCCCACCCCCACCCCCACCTCCACTCCTACTCTTCCCACCAATCCCAATCCTAAAAATAGATGCTAGCGATGGTCGACGAGGACTCTTGGGTGGGATCTTGTGACCCGTATACAACTGCTGCTCCGAAAACTCAGGTCCAATGCTCGGCTCTCTCCCACCAACACTACTCCTCGGCCTCTTCTTCTCTCCCCGTCCATCACGCTGCAACGTCGGCGACCTGCCCACACGCCCATGCCCGTCCGCACTACTCTCCATCGCCAAAGACGTCGTCGAAGCCGCCATTGACATCGGGGCGCTACTGGTATACACCCCTCCATCAGGCTGCTGTCCTCCATGTTGCTGCTGCTGCTGTGCGTTGACCATCGCAAGAGAGGTATCAATCACACCCCCACCCCTCCTCAACGCCCTCAACATATCCCTAAACCCACTCATATTCAACTTGCCCGTCTTCCTCTTCTTGCTTCCGCTGGCACCGTTCGCACCAGAGACCTCCCCGCCCTGATTATTCTCCCCCGTAGCGATGCTCTCCTCTTCAGAAGGAAGTGTAACGGTACTCGCCATCGGATCGTTCCCCCATCTCCAATCCCGATTCACGTTGAGCGTTGAGCCGGCAGGACCAGTTGCAGACGACGGCGACGAGAAGGGCATCATGATCCCACCACCTGACGAAGGCGAAGCCAGCAACCCCATCCCTACCCCATGCGAAGTGGGCGAGCCGAACGGGGAGGCTGACGACAGAGGTTCTTCCGGTATCGAGCTCGCAGGCGGGGGCGAGGCAGTTGCAGCCACAGGCTCCGAATTGTTCAACATCTCCTTCAAGAGCGCAAGCTGCCTGTGGCTGAGATCGTGTCTTCCAGTCGAGGCTCTCCATAAGGGCGGGCTCGCCGTAGGCGGATGATGCTGCGATCCCTGAGAATTCGGGGAGTAGATCTGAGGTTGGGAGTGTGAATGAGGTGGCTGGGCCCCAGCCATCGCCTGTCACCTCGAATCAGTTACAGTCCCGATACCGATGGAAACATAGAAAACTGACCACCAATCCAGAAGGCGTACTCGGCCTCGACTCATCACCAGCAAGCGTAATCGCCCTCTCCCGACTCCTCTTCCCCTTGACCTCATGTCCACCAACCAACCCAACAGCAGTAGTAGACGCACTCGCAGCGGCCAACGACTGTCCCAAACTCGCCCTCCCTCCAGTCCCACCTCCCATCACCCCAGCATTAGGGCTAGCACTTCTCCCTCCATCCCCACCAACCATATGGCCTGCACCACCAACGGCGCTGGCCATCCCGAACCCGGCATTGCGACCCACAGACCCACCACGACTCGGACTCGTAGTCGCACTCCCCCCACCACCACCACCAGAAGCACCCGTACTCCCCAACTCAACCAACAACTCGGCACACTCCCACGAAATCCGGTACTTGGAATTAATAGTATAAAACGCAGTAGCAAGGTCTTTATACGCCGCTTTATTGGCCTGATCCTGTGCCGAGAGTATAGGTTGCGTCGGTTGTGGCGGTTGAGCTTCACAAGAGTAAAGAAACCAAATGGTCAGCATCCCAACTCTACTCCCGCAATACGAAACAGATAAAATACCTTGATCAGGATTCGTATTCGACCTCTTCCGAACTTTGAGACCACCGGATCGAGCCGACCCAACGAGGTTATTGAAGAAACTAGGCGAAATCGCACGAGGCTGCTCCTCCGACTGTTCAGCGTCACGAGCTTGCTGTTGCTGTTGCTGCTGAGCATGATACCACCCAGCCGCCTGCCTCTCCAAAACCGCCTGAACCTCCGCAACAAGGGTATCATACGTCGTCTGGAGAGTTTTCATGTCTACAAAACCAGGCGGTCGGTCATGAGCAACAACTCGAGTATAGAAAGAAAGAGGAATAAAAAAGAACTCACGTTCAACATGCCCAGCAAACTCCCTAACCATACCCAAATCCCGGCGGAGACTGCTCTGCGCTTGACTAATCCTCGCAGGAATCTTCAAATCACCCAACGAATTGCGTCTCGGTACCGCCGCCCCTCCTCCCCCCTCTCCGTTCGCACCACCCTTCCCATTCCCATTCCCACTTGCACCACCACCACCACCACCATTCCCATTACCACGACTGGTGGCACCAGAACCCGAAGCACCAGAACTGGCAAGAGCAGACGTAGAACTCGCAACCGGACTACCCACACTCCGTCCCAACGACGCAGACTGCAACTGGCCAGGCGACGCAGGCGGTCGAATCGGGCGTCTCGCACTCCTCTCCGTATTCGCAGCCGACGGTGATGCCGTCGAACCACCATTCCCCGATGGCGGCACCTTCGGGCTTGAACTTGCACCCAAAGGACTATTAGCAGTAGCATTTGTCGCATCAGGACTCGAACCATCGCCGCAAGCTCCAAAATCCAAACTCCTCCCAACGTCACCCAGGCCCTCCCTAACCGTCCGCGGCGAGCCACCACCACCCTGCGACCCAACAGACAAAATCGGTGAAAGGCTCTTCGTCGACATTGGCGTCGTCGGTTGGCGATTCTGGTACTGATTTTGGTGGTGCGGTGAGTACTGCGCTTGATTCTTGTGGTGTGGAGAGGCAGGATGTCGCTGATGGTGCGGAGAAGCGGTATGATGATGTGGTGAGGAAGGATGTTGATGATGCGGCGAGGCAGGACGCTGATTCTGCTGATTCTGGTGGTGCGGGGAACCAGGATGCCCACTAGGATGCGGCGGCGAAACCATCGTCCCCCGTCCACCCGGCGAACCACCCAACTCCTCAACCCCAGGAGCCAACCCCCCACTCATACTCTGATACCTAGACCTAGAAGCACCTTCCCCAACCACACCCACACCCTCCCTCTCCCCCCGCTCCCGATCCTGGCTCCCCCGCGGCGGCGACGGGGGATGCAAATGCAGCTCAATCGCAGGTAGGAGCGGTACAGGCGGTCGATTATCAGGCGTCTTCAACCCATACCTATCAACCAAAACCATCAATCAACCAATATCCTACGAGCATATATGCGCAAAGAAAAGAAAAAGGATAGGAAAGACATACGCATATCCATAACTCTGAATCTTCGACGCCCTCGGCGTCTTCTGGTTCTCATCCAACAAACTCGCCTGGCGAGACCGAGCCGTGCGCGTCGTAATCGACTCATCCGCTTCTTCATTCTCTTCATCATCTTCATCATCATCGTCCGAGTCATCCCCATCGCGGTGAAGGGACGTCGAAGACGAAGACGCAGAACGGGACTTGGACCTCGACCTCGATTTCGATTTCGATCTCGATCTCGCTCTCGACCTGCTCCTGGAGGAGGGCATAGGAACAGAGGAAACACTCGATCCAGAGACATGTCTTGACCCATGCTCGTCGATGCGTGCTGCCACCTCGCTGCTCTTACTGCCCTCCCCACTCTTCCTACCCTCACTGCTCTTCCGACCCTCCCCTCTAACACCCTCTCCACTCTTCCGTCTCCCAGTAGTACCAGACCCAGAGGCCGCACCCCCCTCCCTACTGCCACTAACACTTCTCCTCCCACTCCCACTCCGACTCAAACTCCTCCGTCCAACACCGCCAAGCCCACTCAACCCAACAGCAGACGCGAGGTGCGGGTACGACGTCGAAGGCGTCAGCGGCCTTCCATGTCCCTGCGTGTGTTGGGCGTGACCATGGCCAGTATGATGGACATGATGTGAATGACCCGTATGCTGGGTATGCTGACTAGTAGAACTACCAGGCCTCGACAAACTCGTACTACTCGTCGAACCTACAACCAACCAACCAACCAACAGAAAAACCAAATGAGTCACAGAAACCCAACAACCAAAGACAAAACCGTGAACGTACCGCGTCCGATAGAATCAACAAGCCCTTTATACCCATACCCAGGACTAGGACTAGGACCTCCACTCTTCGTACGCTGGTGCCCCATCGGACTCTTGCCTTCCTTCCCCGCGTGAACAGGCGACGAAGAAAAAGCGTTCGAGTGGCCGGGGTTGGCGTTAGCGCTATCCGAGGACCTCCCACCACCGACAATAGACAACCTCCTCACATTCCCCATAAACGCTCGCATACCCGAGGCTAGGGTACCCTTTTCTTTCTCCTTCTCTTTATCCTTCTCCCTATCCCCATCCTTCCCTCTCCCCCTCCCACCTTCAAACTCCCCACTCCGATCCTCCAAACCACCACCACCACCCTCCCCCTCCGCACCAAAAACCCCAACAACACTCGCCTTACTCCCCCCATCCTTCCCCCTCCCACCACCCCCAAAAACAGCAACCAACCCACTCCTCTTCCTCTCCCTCATCCCACTCGCATGTCCATACGACGCATGACGCGGCTGCCCACCTCCACCACCAGGCCTCCTCCCACTCCCACTCCTACTGTCTGATCCAGATCCCGCTCCTCCTCCTCCGTCGATACCACCGGCATATCCAGGAAGACCACCAGAACTCGGAGGACCGGACGGTCTGTTAGGTGAGGGACCCGCTATAGATACAGGTCGTTTGGAAGTGGAAGGGTGACGTCGCGCGAATGGCTGCGGGTGTGTGGATGTAGACGACGTAGAAGGTGGGCTGAAGACGTCCGAACCTGAACTTCCCTCTCCCTCCCTCTCTTTATCCCTCTCCTTCTCCCTCCCTTTATCTTTATCTCGGTCACGATCCTTGTCCCCACGCACCCGCCTCAACTGCACAAACCCCAAACTCTTCCTCTTGATCAACTTCGAGGGCGTACTCGGCGTCATCGTTCTACCTGTACTCGTCGTCCCTTCCTGGTGATGATGCGCATCGAAAGCATCCACCCCACCCAAACTAGGTGTATACCTCCCTCCTCCCGGTTCCCGCAGTGAAAGATCACTCATACTCCCACTCCGACTCTCACCAGCTCGGTACCCAGCTAAACTGCTTCCTCCCGTCTCCCTGCTCCCATATGTCTCCCTCGAAACATGAGTGCCACCACTAGCGTATGTGTCTCTGCTGGCGTACGTCCCCCCACTAGCATACGTCTCCCTACTCACATACGACTCCCGCGTCGCATGCGTATTCGCAGTAGTCGCAGTCGAAGACGTAGTATACGCACTCGAACTCGTCATATTCGAATGCGTAGTCGAGTTGGACGTGCTCCTAAAGAACCACGAGTTGGATTGCGGAGGGTTCGTCGTCGTCGTATTGGGGGAAGTCGAAGGGTAATGGTGATTCGCGTTTGGAGACGTAGAAGGATGCCCATGAGATATCGACGAGTGACCAGAAGGCGAAACATCCGGATGCGCAGGAGACATACTCGAATGAATCGACGGCGAAACACCCGGATGATGTTGACGCTGATGATGATGCGACGCAGACGTCGCCGGCCTATTCATCGGCGACACCTGCAACTGCCTCTCCCTCTCCCTCTGCTGATGCTGCAACGACGAAAGCGACGACCTCGGTCTCGGCGTAAGCTGCTGCTGCCTCTGCTCCTCCAACTCCAGATTCAACAGGTGTTTGTTTGACGCGGGTGCTTCTGCAGTATCGCTAGCCCCAAGCGCAGCAGTGCCGGAACCACCGACAGCAGCAGAGACACTCGACCCCCGCTTCCGCCTCACCCACCCCTTCCTCGTCACACTCCCAATCCGACTAAGCAGCGCACCCGCTTTAGAACTCGGCGTCGCGGGTACAGGTACGGGTACAACAGGCGCTACACCACTCCCCGCCGTATTACTGCTGTTTGGGTTCTGGTCATGGCCATGATACTGGGAATGAGAATGAGAATGACTCGCAGAGGAGGAGCGCGACGGCGTAACAGGGACAGACATCGGATGGTGGTGCCCTGAGTACGGCGGATGAGGCGAAGGCGTCCGCATCCCCTCCCTCCTAAACACCCTCTCATCCCCATCCAAATCCCCATCATCCGTATCCCTAATCTCCTCCAACTCCCCATCCGAGAACGAATAGGCGTACTGGTAGGGGTACTTTCCTCCTCCGTACGGATGCTGCTGATGGTGGTGATGCGAATACCCAGACAAATTACTCATCTCGTATTGGTTGGCGGGAACAGGCCGGCTCTTCTTCCTCAGCCGCCGCCGCTCACGCGACTTGGGTCTACGCGGCGACGGCGGGACATTCGCCAGTCCGGCATGACCGTGTCCTGAGGATGTCCGCGAAGCCGTAGGATGGAGGTGCGTCGTACTCGTATACGACCGGGCGTCGTTGAGGGTCGTTGGGACGCTAAAGACCGAGGATGTCGGGGAGTGTGGTGCGGGGAAAGGATGTGGAGAGGATGACGAGGGCTGGGAGGGTATCGCGACAGGTTGAGGGGAGAGGAAGGGTGAAGGGATCGCTGGGACGGGTGGTGGCGGGGAGGTTGAGCTGGAGGAGTTGGGGTGCGCTCTGGAAGGCGAGAGACGCGCCAGGGCAACCCGTCTCGACCTCGCAGTGACCGTCCGATCCTCCTCTCTATCATTATCGAAAAACCCAAACTCGGCATCATCATCCTCGTCCGACGACAGATTCGAGTGGGACTGCGGGGCGGGTTCTGAACTCCGTTTCTTCCTCCGCGAAGGCGGGGGCGGGCCCAACCCAAACTCCTCGTCCCAGCTCTCGTGCTGCACAGGCGTCGCCAACGAGTCCTGCTGCACACGCGACGAAACCGTATCCATCGTCGCCCTCGTCGGACTCGGATCTTCAAAATCATCGTCCCAATTCTCGGTCTCAACTTCCAGCCCTCCCTTCCCACTCCCACTCGTCCCAGGAAGATTCCCGACATCAGCAAAAAGCCTCTTCGACGCGCTCGACAAGCCCTCGTTGAACACCACCACGTTGTCAGAGCCCCCGCCGAGTCCAAACCCGTCGAGATCGTCGTTATCGCCGAAGCCATCCCCGTCTTCTTCGACCCACTGCGCAAGGCCGGGAGGGATGGAGGATTTGGACGCGTTGGATTTGTGGGTGCGGTCGAAACTCCCGCTGCGTTTGCGGTTGTACACGGGGGCGCGGCGCGGTGGGCTGTTGTTGTTCGTCGCTGTCGTCGTGGTTGTCGACATCGCGTTCCCGTTTGGGCTGTAATTCGCGTTGGCGAGCGAACTCGAGCTGGCAAGCGCGTTGGCGCCGAAGCGGTGGTTAAGACTAGGAGCAGGACTAGCTGTGCTTCTTATATCCCAGTCCTCCTCTGTCCATTGCGAGCTTGCGATCGACATCCGTTCGGTACGATTCGCGTCATAGTGTTGTTGTTGTTGTCGGTCCTTCCCCTTACGCGAGTTACGTTTTACAGGCGAGTTGGTCGTGGAGGATCCTTGGAATTCGAAATCGTCGTCCCAGTTTTCAGATGGAACTAATAAGTGTAATGCCAATTGGTTAGTCGGATTACAAGGACGACGCGGTTTTTGCGTACTTACCTAGAGCATGAGCTTGCATCGTCGAGGCTAGAGCAGCCATCCAATTTCAGAGAGAAACTCGTATCCAAGTGTCGATGTTGGCTAACGTTCAATTCATAAACTTTTTTCATAAAACGAGTGACGAGTTTCGGGGGCCAACAAGGGTGCAACTCGGCGTAGTTTCAGGCGTCAGTGCGTGCGTGTATTCCTCCTTTCCGGTGTTGATCTTCGAGGAGATTTTTGGTTCGTTTCGTAGGTAGCAGTAAGGGTCGTATGTTCAAATATATCGATTTTGTCGTAGTTTGTTTCGTATTTCGTTTCGGGGGGCGCGTTGTGTCGAGCTGGGCAAGGACAGCCAACCGATTCGGATACCAGGGTATCGCCCGCCGCTCGAGCAGAGTCGTAGTCGTAAGTGTCTAACACACGTGTCGTGAAGCCCTTCTTCCCGTTCTAGTCGAACACCCTCCGTCCAATACGCGTCGTGCCCCGTACCAAGCTGAATCCGCACGGGCCAGGAAAGAGGAGGAAGACGAGTACTTTGGGTTGCAAAGAAGGAAGGGTGAGGAAGTCAGACAACGCCCGCGCCAGCAAGGCCCTTCCCTACGCAATCCCGTTTACATAAAGCCGTGGGGTTAGGGTTCGCCCTTCCTGCCCTACTTTTTCCTCACGCCCCTTGCCAAATCAAGTCGCCCTCACACCCTCTAACGTCTTTTCTTGCCTTGTTTTCGTCGAACTTGCATTGCGATGAGAGGAGATGTGGGGTTTGGAGGATGCTAGCCACGAAAGGGGGGTACTATATCATTATTAGTATAATTAGCCTTGCCTCGAGGCATGGGGGGAGCCTCGTGCCCAACTCGTGCCTCCGCTTGTTGTGGGTGTTAGTGGGCTTTAGCCGGGCCGTCCCGCGGCAGCACGTTCTCAATGACAAGAGTCGTCGGTGGTTTTGATCGAGGGCCGACGTCGGAATCAGCGTATAGAGAGAGAGAGAGAGAGAGTTGCAGTGGTTGAAATATGTACTCAGTATCGAACGCCATCCATTCTACGTAGCTGTCTGGCGAGCCAACCCCCAAACCACCGACCTCCCCTCACACATGATGTTTTGCACCAGAGCAACCAGGCCGAACACTCGCATCGACGTTACAGTCGAGTTGCCAAGAGACAAAGACAGGACCCTGGAGAATGTGAGGGAGGTTAGTCGGGCATCCGGACAAAATTGGGCGATTTTGGCCTCAAGGTTACCCTTAATCCGGACAAAATTGAGCTCGGAGGCCCGAAATCTTTGTTGATTTGTCCGGACAAATTTGGGACGAGGCCTTCAAACTTAGTCGGGCTATCCGGACAAAATCTTGCGCGACGAGGGGTGTGTGAGTCGTTGGTTCGACTCCAAATGGAGGGAGAATTTGCCTCTGAGCCAACTCTGAGCTATGAGTTTCCATCTCGGTTGTCTGAATCCTCACTGCTCAGAAGCAATCAGATTGGGGAATGGTGTCGAAAGAGCCTCAGAAATGCGCGAAATCGAAGAAAATTAGGCGAAAATCGATTTTTTGGGACTAGAACGAGTGTCCGGACAAAATTGAGATCTTGGGCGCTACCTTGAATTTTTGTCCGGACAAAATTGGCAAAATCTGCGATTTTCCATCCGGACAAAATTCCGATTTTTGCGAATGACCTCCCCTACCATTCTCCGGGGTCCTACAAAGACCAGTTTCGGAGGATAATTGCGTTTCTGAAAGTTTATGTTTGTATTTTTCGTGCTCGAATATCATCGGTTTTGGCGTACAATATTGGAATGATTCGACACCGTTGTAAGACCTGGAAAGTTTACTACCCAATCGCAAACAGGTGTAAAGATAGTCGAAAATACTAATAGTTGTATTATATGGTGTGTAGTTGAAATGATTATCTGTGGTTGTGAGCCGGGTGTAAGGATCACGAAACCCGCTATCTCCTGATATAGCGTTACATCGCATCACAACCTCGGTGCAAGTCTTGCAGCAGCTCACATGAAATATACCACATCATAACTGATCATAATATTAACATTTTTCCCCTTCTACTGATGGAGAAGGGTGTAGACGACGTTGATGAAGATAGATTTACCTTTGGCTTCTACGAAAGTGGTCTGGTTTCGTTTGACTAGTGCTATGTAGGCCCCCCGAGCTCTTTTCGGGCCTCTTTGTCTATTGAACAAGTGCTTACATCGGCCTGGTAGGATGTGCACTCGACGAGGGAGCACTTGCACAGGATCATGGCTTTGCCTACACTTGTTATCTCACACTCGAGGCTCAGGCCTTAGCAAAATGATACTGCAAGCCCTCCCAGCAGCAGGCGCCAAAGGAGATCAACAAAATTATTGCTGCTATTAAACATTGTAGTTGGTCTCTCCTCCCCCTTCCACACGACTCGAGGTCGAGCCTATTTCGCTGAAGGTCTCCCGTGCAGTTCCGTGGTTAAATCGGATGGGCTCCGACGGTCGGCTAGTACATACTACGGTCGAGTGACGACTGAAAGTCCCCATTGTCAGCATGGGATCTCCCAGTTGTAACTCGGAAAATGATCATCTGCGGGGATAGAGCCTATGTATGCAGGCCAGCCAGGAATTAATAATTAATGGACTTTGCCATGAGAGTGTGAGGTGACCCACCGCGAAGGTATAGTAGAGAGACCCGAAGGTATCTGCAGTGGCCATGATGGTAAGACTAGGCCGTCCCAAGGGTGACTGATAATGTGCCCAATTGATCGCAGTGAATATCGCGCAGAGTAACCCGGAAAGTGTCAACGGGAGTGCAGACTCGATTACGAGCCTAGCCACAGCACTATAAACCCGCATGTTTCGCGAGGGGAGTGCTTTCGAGAAGGACCGCTTCGCAACCAGAATTTTGTACGAAATAAGTGAAGTGGCGATGACGTTGAGCGTGACGGACAGGAAGATGTATGCGATTTGGAGTTGTTGAGTCTTTGTCACTTCATTTTCGGAGTGCAGCAGGTCGTTTGTCAGGACGTGCACGAGAGTAGTGAGCGAAACACCTGCCAAGCACGAAGAGCGGTAAGTTATGTGTATACTTTGAGAGACTGTCCACCTTTCACCTATGAAGCCTAGATAGACGAGAATGGGTAGGGTGACTACCCACTTGGCGATGTGTTGCCATAGGATATAGCATCGATATAGCTATACAGGCCTCATTCAGGCTGAGATTTTACTTGGATTTGCTACTTGGCACTCACCAAAAGCCCGTCCCCCAGAGCGACGTAAGCGAGGAGCAGGCATCGAGACGCTGCCGTCTGCCCGCTCGACAATGCTTTCCGCTTTTCGGCTAGATACTCCGTGTGAGGACTCGAGTAATAGCTAACTCGAAAATCTTGTGCGAGGTCGAGGCAGGCAGGGATTGTAGACAAAATCAAGATAGAAAAGCTTAATATAATATACGGCAGTCGTTTCTTCCGCCGCTCGACGGGCGTTGTCAGGAAAGAGGAGAGGCCATGGATGCACATGAAGAGTTGCATCCCTGCCGGAGCCGGTACGCAGATATGGTGAGTATGGAGCGCGTAGAAGGTCATCACGGAGAACAGCGTACCTATGTCTGCGGCGGCAATGATGTTGCTGCCATAAGATACGGCGGCCAAATGGAGTGCATATTTTTGAATGTACTCTCCGGAGGGCTGAGTCGTAGCCATAGTCAAGAATGGGGGAGGGGACTGGTGTGTTACCCGTCTCTAGTTCTGTCTTTTGTACATCTCTTATCTTTATTAAGGTCGTATAATTAACGATCACCCTGTCCCCTGATTTTCATCGCGATTTGCGGGCGCTTAATCGAGCGCTCAGATGCTTCTCCCGCTCGCTGAAGCTGGGTATTCCGAGTCAAGAGGTGGGGCCTCTGGCTATTTAAATCCGTGCAGCGTCGAGGTCGGTTAGTAGTGGATGTCATCGACGACCTTCCTTGGAAGCAATTTCACGGCCAGTCGTTAGACCTCGAGAAAGAAGCTTCGAAAGGATGTGTTTTCCACTGTGCGGCAGAGTGTTCAGATTCAGATAGAGTTCGATGGCCTTAAAACTGGGGCCGGTAATCGTATGCGTAGCACGAGCATACATCTGCCATCGAACCACGTACCGCAGTTGATATTTGACATAGAAGTGATACTGGTCTTCGCAAGAAAGAAGCACCTTCAGGTCTTGAGTCAAGAACAGGGGTCTTAACTGCAGCGATAGCTAGAAAAGAAGCAAAGAGAGCTGATAGATAAATCTTATCTTTTAGGGGTGTTGTACTCTGCGCCGTATCTATCACGGCGATTAGCCATCTTAAATAATGAACCTGGGAAACGGAAACTGAGGTTTGCGAAAGCTAGTCCCCGGAAAGACAGGGCTACGTTACGCTTCCTAAGCTGCTAAGCTATTGACCAACAGCCATGTTCTGGTGTGTCGCTGAGATCCCTCTATCCCTTGGGCTATGGTGTCGCCGGGGCCAATCTCCCCTGAGCGCTAAGCATGCACTATTGGCGTCTGACTGATCCCCGCACTAACTTGAGCGTCCAAAGTGGACCTGAGGGTTCTTTCCAGGTTAAACATTAGGCGCCCGCGTGCCGTACATATCTCTGCCGAGCCAGCCGTTTACGGTTTGGGGCGGCGACTTCTTCGATTGTTGGCTTGGCAACTCGTGGTCGGTCGAACTCAAACTCGAATCACTCTTTCAAACTCTCATCTGTGCGACCTTTCAGAAGTTGATTCAAGAGGACCGCTGCGACCTCTTCTGCACAACCTGAATCCTCGATGGACCGCCTTCCTCCCGAAATTCTCGGAGAGATATTCCTTCTATGCCTTCCCAAGTTTCCGTCCACGATGTCCCCATTCCATCCCCCACTTCTCTTGACCAGGGTCTCCAAGCAATGGAGAACAGTGGCAGAAGCAACGCCCACACTTTGGTCCCGTCTTTCGTTCAAATTGGTCGTTAGCTTCTATGGCCAAAGCGTCGAAATCGACAAACTCGAGGCCCAAAGAGCTGCGATTATCCGCTGGCTCACATTGGCTGCTGGTAGCGAGGTCTCGATATCCATATCGATTATCGACAATAGTCGTGACCTGATTGTGCCACAGCGGCACGTAGCGGACCAGCTTGTCGATCAACTTTGTGAAAGCCACTTCACGAATCAATGGGCGCAGCTTTCCATCGCAGCGGAACTGGGCGAGCCATATCGGTCCAAACTGCTTTCCATCCCCAAGGACAGCCTCCGGTCATTGAAGAAACTCGAATACGCTCCTTCGCAGTACAGTGCCACACCAGGCCGAAAGTTGCTGGGTGAAAGCAGTTTAATCGCTCTCCCGACGCTCACCTCGCTCGCCCTCGAGAGCTTGTACGGCGACACACCGTTGCAAGACCTCCCAATCAACTGGGAAAACATTACCGAAATCGATCTGCGACTGGAGAAAGGGGACGACCTTGGGTGGGGCCCCGGATCCGTCGATTATCTCCACTCCAAATGCCCCAAGCTCCAAGCCCTGTCGTTTCATTTTGGACCGAGTCGCCTCGCAATGTACCATCCCTCCGGGGATCTAACACCAAAGAGGTTCTCGAACCTTACAGACCTCCGCATCGAAACTGCGCACAACACGGTCGGACCGACGATCTGCTCCGAGTGGATGGCTACCCTCTTCGTTCCATCCCTCGTCCGTTTCGCGTATCACAACACCAACATGGGGCCCGATCCGGAGAGTCCCATCCTCCCTTTCCTCAGGGCGAATACAGACAACCTGGGAAACCTCAAAGAGGTCGAGTTGAGCGGACTGTTGCAGAATCAGCTGGAACTCCTCCAGTTTCTGGAGATTCTAGGCGGGAGTGGGACCCGTGTCGAACGATTAAAGTTCAGCTGGGCTGAGCCTGCAAACAGTTATCTGTCCCAACGCCCTGTACTTCTGACCGACTCGATCCTGGAGAAGCTCACACCCTCACCGTCCGAAGAGGAAGGAGGAACAGCCATTAGACAATGCCTCTTTCCTGGGCTGAAGTACCTGGACTGTGGACTGGTCCTCCCATACTGCGGTGAATTCACAGCGGAGGATTTGATGCGCTTCTTGGAAGGACGGTTTTGGGCGAGCGGGAAAGGGGCAGTGGCAAAGTTGGAGTATGTGGGTGTCGATTTTTATCCCGAAGAGACGAAGGGCCCACTTTCTGGATGGAGGAGTAGGTTTGAAGATCTGGGGCTTCATATCGACAAGGACTTTCGTTTCGAGTTACGGTAGTTACTGTGGGGCGGTGCTGCACGAATACTGCGTGGGATGTGGGGATGTCGACTATCAGTGCCTAGCCGCTAATCCTATTATGCTGCCAATTGAGTCACCGGTTCCGAATGTTCCTAGTGTTGATGTGACGTGGTATGGCGATGTACGCAATCCATATAAACCAGGTGTCCTTCGGTGAAGGTAGCGTCTGTTCCAACTCCCGATCCCCAACCTCACTGCCTCTTCAAGAGACGCCTAACATCGCGACCTAGTAATCGTGAGATCGTATCTCTCCCCCACGGGCCACAATGTCGAAAGGTCGTCACATGCCGCGAAGCGAACTCCTCTACAAGGTAAGAGGTTCTCTTCGTGGCTACAGTCGACATCGGGGCTCACAGAAAGATTGAAGAGAATCAAGGCAGAAACTCACCGAACTAATCAGCGCCTGTCCACCATATGGCCAATTGAAGGGGACTCCATTCCGAGGCACGACTTCAACCAGGCGATGTCACGGGTACGTGTTCGACAATTCACACTCTAATTCCAGGTTTTATTCACAATGGACGCTTTGTGCTAGACGTACCGGTACCAGCTTCCGCGGAACTGGGACAACAAGCCCATCAAAGGCAGACTTCCGTTCGGAAAGGAGGGAGACGTGTACCTGGACGGGAGGCGGGAGACCATGTACCGAAAGGAGATCTCGCTGCATGACGGGTGGGAGGACTTTGACGAGGCCGAGTTCTTCGAGAGTTTAGATGGAGGTGGTGGAAGACGAGAGAGATGCATGGCATATTCGCTGGGAGACATCCCAATGCGTCCAGCGAAGGCTAAGGGTACGTTCTCTCCTTATAATAATGCGCAAGGTTGCTGATGCTAATACTGTCGACAGGTATCAGAAGGGAGTATGAACTTGTCGATGGGGTACCAGAGGTTCTCGTCCTCGATGACGAGATCGATAGTACGCAATCTGAGAACGACTGGGAGGAGATACACGTCGTCACCGAGGTGGATAAAAGTAACAATAAAGGTGAAAGACAGCTGTACTCCTCTGTCGTGAAGGGCGGGTCCACCACCAAACATATAGCAGACGGTGGGTCGCCCCGTGAAACGAGTGGATAACTGCTGCGACCAGGGTATATCTGTCTTGAATTTTTCGGAAGACATCCGGCAGTTAGTTCTTCTAGGTTCTAGCCTTTTTCCCAGTGGCCAGAAAGTTTGTCTGTCTTCTCTGCGCCTCGCAAACCTTGCCTATTATATCAGAAAAGGAAATTCCTGCCCCTAATCCACAAGATCTAGAACATTAGATAAGATATGATAATTAATGCAATCGATCAGATTTGAACTGAAAATTATTGATCCCCCTTCGAGTTTGTTCCCGGACCACCACCACTACCACTAGTTTCTGGCAAAATGGCTCCTCTATCGCACCCTACTATCGTCGGTAAGTGTTCATATTTGACCTAGGAAGAAACCAGCCAACTGATAAGTTCCTTAGACGGATGGTTCCGCGAGATCTCGCCCCAATGGCAGGGTCAGGCCATGACTTTGAAGGTCAACAAGATCCTTCATGTCGAAAAATCGCTGTACCAGGACGTCCTGGTCTTCGAGTCTGAGACCTACGGAAACGTCTTGGTTCTCGATGGCGTTATCCAGGCTACTGAGCGCGATGAATTCTCGTGAGTGTAGTCGTTATCTCATTCGGAGAAAGGCGGACTAATTAGGAAACAAAATAGGTACCAAGAGATGATCGCTCACTTGCCCTTGGCCGCCCATCCGAACCCCAAGAAGGTTCTCGTCATTGGCGGTGGCGATGGAGGTGTCGTTCGTGAAGTCCTCAAGCACGAAACCGTTGAGCAGGTCGTCCTCTGCGACATCGATGAGGTGAGTCCATCCTTATCTACATTCCAACTACGATCCTGACCAGGTTCTGTAGGCCGTCATCCGCGTCGCCAAAATCTTCCTTCCACACATGTCGAAGCTCTTGGAGTCTCCCCGAGTGACTGTTCACATCGGTGACGGATTCAAGTTCTTGGCTGAGCACGAAGGCACCTACGACGTGATTATCACCGACTCGTCTGACCCTGTCGGTCCCGCCGAGGCTCTCTTCGAAAAGCCTTACTTCCAACTCCTCCACGATGCCTTGACTCCTGGAGGCCACATCTCCACCCAGGGAGAGTGCATGTGGCTCCACCTCCAGCTCATCAAGGACATGCTCAAGTTCACCAAGGAGATCTTCACCAACGTCGAGTACGCTTACACCATGATCCCCACCTACCCTTCTGGTCAGATTGGCCATATCCTCGCCGCCAAGTCTCCTGGCCGGGACCTCAAGACTCCCGTTCGCGATGTTCCTAACTGCAGGTACTACAACAAGGGTATCCATGCATCCGCCTTCGTCCTTCCCGAATTCGTCGATGCCCTTCTGTACCAAGACCGAGACATTCGCCCCGTCTTTGGACGTGAACTCAAGGCCCTCGATAACAAGCCCGCCAAGAAGGTCCTTTTGCTCGGCAGTGGATTCGTTGCTCGCCCTTGCGCTGAGTACATCGTTCGTCAACCCGAAAACAAACTGACCATCGGTGAGTGGGATGAGATCCATTTCTGTATATTGTGATGTTAACCCATATCTGCCAGCTTGCCGAACACTCTCCAGCGCCCAAGCGTTGGCCGAGAACCTCCCCGACACCACCCCCATCTCCCTCGATGTCACCAACACCGCCGCCCTCGAGGCTGCTGTTGCCGAGCACGACCTCGTCATTTCGCTCATCCCCTACACCTACCACGCCGACGTCATCAAGGCCGCCATCAAGGGTAAGACCCACGTCGTCACCACCAGCTACGTCTCTCCTGCCATGCGTGCTTTGGATGAGGAGGCCAAGGCTGCTGGTATCGTCGTCCTCAACGAGATCGGTTTGGACCCCGGTATCGACCACCTCTACGCCGTCAAGACCATTGACGAGGTGCACGAGAAGGGCGGAAAGGTGAGTAAATGAATGCACGAGCAACTGTGCCATCGACTTACCCTGCCGTAGATTAAGCAATTCCTCTCCTACTGCGGTGGTCTCCCCGCTCCCGAGTGCTCTGACAACCCATTGGGCTACAAGTTCTCTTGGTCGTCCCGTGGTGTCCTCCTTGCCCTCCTCAACTCTGCCTCGTACATCTCCGGTGGACAGAGGCTCGACATCACTGGCACTGAGCTCATGGCCCATGCCAAGCCCTACTACATCACCCCCGCCTACGCCTTCGTGTGCTACCCTAACCGTGACTCAGTTCCTTTCAAGGAGTACTACAACATTCCTGAGGCTGAGACCGTTGTCCGTGGCACCCTGAGATACCAGGGCTTCCCCGAATTCATCAAGACCTTGGTCGACATCGGTTTCCTTGATGCTACTCCCAAGGAGTGGCTCAACGACAACCTCACCTGGGCTGAGGTCACCCAAAAGGCCGTTAGCGCCAACGACGCTGAGGAAGCGTACGTCTATTCCGTGTTCCCTTTAGTTCCTTATCTAACGATTCTTTTCCAGTACCCTCGTCGAGCGCATCAAGGCCATCGCCAAGTTCCCCAACGACTCGGAGGCCAACCGCATCATCTCCGGCTTGCGCTGGATCGGCCTCTTCTCCAAGGACAAGGTCACCCCTCGCGCCGGCAACCTCCTCGACACGCTCTGCGCCCAGCTCGAGAAGTTGATGAAGTACGAGGAGAACGAGCGGGATCTCGTCATGCTCCAGCACAAGTTCTTCGTCGAGTGGGCCGATGGCTCTGAGCAAATCCTCACTTCCACGCTCGAGGCCTATGGTGCGCCTGGTGGTCACTCCGCCATGGCGTTGACTGTTGGTTTGCCTTGTGGTATTGCTGTCCAGCTTGTGCTCGATGGTGTTATCACCAAGACTGGTGTGTATGCTCCTTATACCAAGGAGATCTGCGATCCCATCCGCGAGGTGTTGGAGAAGGAGGGTCTCGGCATGATCGAGCGTGTTTTGTAAAATGTTGATGGACTCGGATTAGAAGTGAAATGATGTGTATACTTATGGTTTATGTGTACTGATAGATTTGTGCTGAATGGAGAGTCGTTCAGACATGTAGAGCGGATATGGCGTTCCCATTCTGGCCGATTGCTTTTCCGGGATGGGCGCTTAGGTTAGTTTGCCCGTTATCATTGTCGATGCAAGTGAGAACGTTGGCGGAGAATGCGCCAACTTGAACAGATATGTATCCATTGATTTTGTATTCACCGCCGTCCCTAGATCCAACCTCTAGTCAAGAAGACCGGGCTCAAATTTCGATGCCTGTCTTAGGCGTCTATTTTGGTGCGCCCATGGTGTTAGACTGATTGGGCTCACGGCTTAACGTCTCAGTGCTCTGGTGGCACTTCCGTTATCTCATGAAATTACGCTTTAATTCCAAACAGTCACAGAGGAAAACAGTCAGACAATGGAAATCGGGCGATGTCAACTTTAGTGGAGTGGGATTGGAAAAGAAAGGTCCCAATTCAGAATCGTTTGTCTTGAAATATGACCCTCTTTCATAGTAGCAACAGGGACGAGTTTATTCTGAAGGTAGAGTGACATCCAACCAGTGGCTCGGACCACGCTACATCATTTATGATTTCCAGCGCTAATCCATCAAGGACTCTTAGGCATAATGGGAGGAGTGTCGTGGCCTTGAAAATTTACCCGCCGCCTCCTTTGACGACATGCGAATACGGCTTCCTCGCCGAAGTCGATACGACGCGTGTCTCTGCAAAGATTTCCTCCCAGTCCTCCTCAGACATCATGCTGATGGCATCATCGTCCAAGGCATAGACTGCTTGGACTTTGTCGACGAACTCGTAGTCGCGTTTGATACCTGAAGGAGTCCCAGAAATCAGCCTGGTTAACCGCGATCAAGTGTGAGCTCCTATTTACCTTTGGCCTTCATGACTCGAATAGGGAAATCTGCCAGATTGACGGTAATCGGTTCGTCGCGCCGGGAAGGTGAGGTTGACAAACTCTCGAAGAATTCGCACTCGTTAAATTCCTCTGACGTATCTCGAGGCAAAGAAAGGGTTCGAGACAAAACGAGCTTCCTATTCACGAAGCAAACATCTCCCTCTCTACCGAGAGGAATTCGTGACCTCGTCTTCTTGGAACCATGAGACTGAGAGGGGAGTGCAGTTTCGTATCGCCAGAGGGGAAGGTTGTCCTCCATGGAAGGAATGTGCTTGTAGAAGTGAGTTTGCTCTCGACGAGCCAGTCATTAAAGTGGGAAGGTGAACGCGACTCGTCGAACAGACCTTGTAGACCGCCTCGCGAGGGGATGTGAAGCCGCGCTTTGACATTATCCCTGAGGAATGTGGGTGTGCTTGTAGGTACGTGTGTGTGGAAATAGAGGCTCAGGTCAGTCCCGTCCTTCGAGTGGAAGAGGGAATGGTGGGTGGTTGCTGGACCAGAGTTTGCCCACCGTGCACCGTTTATACAAGCCGGAAGGCACAGGAGCCATGACTCGTGTTGACGCCAGATCCCAATTGATGATTGGTATTCCCAACTCAATTGCGGTGAGTGGGGCTGTTCAGCCATCACAACCTCGGATTCAGATGTCGATCCCTCCCGTTGCCAGCACTCGGAAGCGACGGATGGACGGCATGCGTTGACTCCAAACACGGGTGCCAAATGTAGCACATGGGGCAAAGGGGAGGGCTCGAGTCATTGGGAGCCTGTGGCTGACCGTGGTTAGCGGAACCGTAGAAGCATTAAACGGCCATCAGTGTCCTTCTGTTAAATCGCCGTGTTGGTAACAGCGCCTGTTTCGAACTGGTTAGAAGAGTTCAAAGAGCAGGTGTAGCGAATCGCCTAGTCTCACAAGCACAATAGCTATATGGTTACCCGCTTGACGCGTACTCGATAGTCGATTAGGATGACTCAATGACCATTCACGATTAGCGGAGGTCATGGGCACGGCGGGTGCAGAAGGCTTTACAGCTGTTTGCATAATAGTGGTACTCAATTCTGCGGAATAGCGAGTTTGCGGAATAGCAAAAGCCTGGTTCACATGGTACCCTGATGCCCAGTCCCGGTGGCTGTTACTGGTTAGTAGCGGAGACTGAACTCGGCGTTGCCGGCATTGCGCTGATGGCTCGTAGATTAGATATGCACCGTATATCGTTTCAACCAGAACACTAGCAGTACTCTTTTTCGTATCCCTATGCTATATTAATGGCCAGAAGGCGACGTTGGGATGTACGACCATCCACTGAACCGACCAGAACACAGCGCGGAAAGCCCAAACTCACTCCTCTGGAGTATTTTGCGTGCATTCTGCTTTACGACGCTCAAGACGACGATGAACGGCTCACTGCTCTCCTTATCGCAAAAATCGCGAGAAGGAGGAGGAAAGAAGATGCATGCAGAATAAAAAAGCGCGAGTGTGGGCGAGTTTGTCGGCCGCGTCGGCATCAACAGTATTGGGTCTCCGCAAACTCAGACCCTTGGCATCATTGTACCGCATGGTTCTTCCCAGGTTTCGCTATTCCGCAAACTCGCTATTCCGCAGAATTGAGTACCACTAATTCTTTGCGCGAGCGATTTTTCAGAAACCAATTGATGGCGGGTTGGAAAGCTCCGCATGACAGCAAAAGTCCCGCTCGAGGCTCAGTTCTGAGCATCACCCAGGCATTGTCGCGAGCTTATCGCCTCGTCAATGTGCCCTTACCACTTCTGGTTATGTTTCCAATCATCTGCACCAGCTAATCGTCTCTTTCACCCGCCAAAAATCGCAGAAACAGCCGTGTATTCAACCGGCGATGAGGTAAAACGGTGTTCTCCGGGGCGCCATCAACGCCATCAAAGCGATTCTACAAAACCGCTCGCACAAAGAATTATGCAAACAGCTGTAACTTTGATTGGGAATCTATCATTGACTTCTTGAACATGAACGATTACGACCGTGTCCTAAAACTCTCAGTCGCGATAACGACACCTATTCATTTATTTGGCGCCGAGACGCGTCGAGTCATTTCGTGCCGGGTAACACGGTCACGCGCGTGCGTGCTTATCTGGCATTTAAGCCGCACGCGCCTCGAGGTCAGCGCAGCTTCTCTTTCACTCTTCCCCACCACCCACCATAATCGATTGGGTAGCTCAAAGCCACATTTGACCTTTGTGTGAAACCATTCAAGTCGCTCAAGTTACTCCCAAACAAGAATCAAGATGCCTATCGGACATATTGGGCTGAACACCCCGGACCTCGAGAAGATGCACAAGTTCTATCTGGCAGCGCTCAAACCGCTGGGCTACGTTCAGAAGCTTGAATTCGCAGACGGCCTTGTCAGGGGCTATGGCCCTCAATACTGTGCACCAGACTTCTGGCTGTCGTCCACGAAACTTGCGAAGTCGCAGGACGGCAAGGTCGACCAATCTGGTACCGGTTTCTTACACCTGGCATTCAGCGCACGGACCAGGAACCAGGTTAGGGCGTTCTACGACGCTGCAATGTGGGTATATCTGCTCAGGGCTCTGCCATATACAACGGCGATACTAACGATATTGTCAGTGCTGCTGGTGCAACGTGTAACGGTCCTCCAGGACCGCGTCCCCAGTACTTCTTCACCTACTACGGCGCTTTCGTGCTTGATCCCGAGGGCAGGAACATTGAAGCCGTTTGCATGAAGCCAGCCTTTTGGGGCGAGGAGTGGGGTTGGGGACTGTATTTCACTCTCATTGGAACCCTTTTTGCAGCAGCTGCATGGTGGTTCGAAAGGATCCCCCTTTGAATACATATCCTCGCGAGCTACTAGGATTGCTATGATCTACGAGAAAACATGTCGTTCAAACGCTGATATCTACCGATGGACTTTAGTTTATAGTATGCATCGCCAGTAACTACCTCATTCGCCACGTCACTGTACATAGATCTGCCTCAGGCGAACAGCACCCAAAGAAACTATAGGAAACCTATGAATACAAACTGGTGTGGAACACTTGAACGCCATACTCGGCTAGAGTCCGTAAGGTAGGGCTATTCACTTCCCATGGTACGTCCAATAGCGCACCTCGCGTCAGCAATCTCTCTTCCCTCTCTTCCCCACCCGCCTGAGTCCCAAATGCAAACCCTCCAACTACGATCCGCTTAATTCCACCCCATCCCAAAGAGCGTCGAGAAAGCGCCAAGACCACCACGGGAAGGTAATGAGAATGAAGAGTGCGTGCTTCGATACGAAGGACCTTGAGTGCTGGAAGAATGCAGTCGTCGGTGGACCCTGGGGAGGTGACTGTCATAACACCCATCCCAAAGGAAGAAGGGGATGCCAACTCGCGGCGAAGAATAGGATATAGAGCCACGAGCGCCAGTTCTCCCACATTGACCAGATGAGTCGCCCGCTTCGCCATCTTGAGACTTTCTACAAGCACGATTGGGATGAACGGTAACCCGAGCTGGAAACACGTCGCGTCTGCGATAACGCTAACCATTGCGTCGGAGTTGAGAAGCGAGGAAAGGAGTTTGGGCCAATCATGCTTCGAGTAGTGGTCGAATTTGAATTTCGGATAGAGTTGAAGATAGAACTGTGCTTGTCGAGCTTGGGTTTGCTCAACTGGGGTCGATGTGGGAGGGACTCCATCGTCGTCATCGTGATATCTGTGCTCCCCACTGACCAGATTGTTGGTGACGGTGAGGTTGCGGCCATCAGAGACGACGATAAAGGGGGAGGAGTATGGGCTACATTCCGATGGAGAGACGCTGGAAGCCCAGCGAGTCAAAAATACCTCCCTGAGTCGCTGGAATTCCCTGCCATCGCGGATGTCGTAGCAGGTCAAAGATAGAGTACAGCCAGAAGGAAATTGGGCACAAGAAAGAAATGCTGAGATATCGTCCAGCCTCGCGCGAAGTCGAAGGCGGGAGAGGTAAGGAAACAAAATGGGAGAAACGTGTGTTGTGGAAGAAGGCGCGATGGCGTCGACGAGGACCAAATTCTCCAGATACGGCATAGCAGAAACATGATGAACCCAATGGGCTAAGGTCGGTCGGTTCGCGGATGCCATACACGAAGGTAACACAACGGACAAAACACGGAGATGTCGTAGGTACGCGTAATCCGAAAGTGACGCTTCCAACGTAAGACCACGCAGAGAGACTGAATGGAGTCTTGGCGCCCGTCCATCAAAAAGGTTGAAAGGAAGAGACTGTGCGCCTATTGAGTTCCTGGTGAGGCCCTTCGAAGTTGTGGCACCGACGAGGACAAAGGATAGCGCCAAGCTTTCCAAGTTAGGGGCCTCTCGCTCCATCGCATTGTTTAAAAACCTCTCCCACCCATTCTGGTCTAGAGATGCGTGGTACGTTCGAAGGCGATGTATATTCCTCGACTCCAGCTCCACAGAAACGCGGCTGTTTCTTGGAAAAATCGAGAACGCGTTCGGCGATGTGAGGCCTGATCCTATATCCAACGAAAGGGGCTTGGTCCGTTCGAAGAGTTCGGTGACCCAAAGCATTCGAGAATGAGAGAAAGATGGTTTGTCTAGTTCGTGGTAGAGAAGCTGCACCCAGAGGTTGGCGTAACAAAGAGAGGTCGAGCGCCAGTGTTTGTTGACCTGTGACAGGGAAATGATCGCCTTCGAGTGGTGTGGTTCTTGAATGACGAGAAAGAACACTGCAGCCAAGAATGTATGTGGCAGGGGGTCCATTTTGTTGCAAGATAGAAGACGAGTCTTGAAAGAGATCCCGAACTGGTGCGTGTCATTTCGAGAAGAAAGGAAAGGAGTCGATATCAAGTCAAGAGCGGTGTTTCTGAAAGTCACGGTCGCGGTTACAATTCTAGGGTGTTTCAGGATCGTGCGCGGTTTCTGAGACGTCTCTCCACGGGGCCGATTTATGAGCAACTGGATTAGAGAAAAGGCACATTTCCAATGAGGCGAATCCGAAATGAATAGTTTGAAGTTGAGTGACAGGAGGAAAAAGCCCATTGGCTTGACGGTTGCCGCGCTGTTAGATTGACGAATTGATCGCCGATCACGATTACATCGGCACTGACGAAGCGCCCAGGATGTCAAAGGCGAGTTTTCGGAAAGGGAATGGCATTAGATGGCCGTATGGGTTACCAAATAGACCGAAGGGACCTTTGAAAACACTCCACGTGTAATGCTCAAATGGAATGCCACAGAACACGCGAAAGAAAGGTGTGCCAGTGGCTTAACATCCTAGATTATATAAAATGCAGACAGGAAAGTCGAGTCGAGCCATCCACCAAAACCTATTGAACGACACTTTCAAAGCTCTATGGTTCATCTCTTATCCTCGCCGGAGATGATGCACTCGCACATACGACACTTACCCGTATCAGGAACCCATGCTCTTTCAAACGTACGTACGTCCTCCCTTCACCAAGTGCACGCGCTAACGGACTCTACAGACCTCCATGATTGAAGGAATAGAGCTCACCCCCGTGTATCATGGTGACGACCCGCACAATGGTACATTAGTTTCCTGTTAACACCCCTCCGGGAGTGCACCTACCTCGGAGGAGGTGAAGACGATGTCAAACTTGGGAAGGCCCCCCCGGTGCGCCTCGAGAGACTGTGAGTTGGGTGCTACTAGTACCTCCGAGGGGTTTAACGACTGAGTACCTGCGAGTAGGGAATCGCTATGAGGCTTTGCCTACTGAACTGGGCGTGGCTTACATAGTCCCTTTCTTCTTTATGATTAGATTGTTTTCGAATGCCTCTATGTATGCAGAGTAATTGGATGTTGAATCAGATACAGGATTGTTTGAGCCGGTCAAAGGTGCCGTCCAGCGAAATACGTCGCGAAGACGAATCCTTTAGACACACATATCACGCGTGAACTTCGTTCAAACTCATGGAATCATTACATATAATACACCGTCAAGTATACACTGGACTATTAAACTGCTTAATCGCCCACTCCAGTGATTAATTAATCCAGAACCAAAAACAACAGAAAATTACTAAAGAGTGCTAAGAGTACCCATACGCCCACCTACAGATATCTTCCGTGTGCGTAACAGTCAAGTTCGTAATCGGATGGGTCGCGTTGATCCTATTCTCCTTCCCACCAACGATATGCCAGAACGTAGTCGCGAACATTGGATCCTCGCTCCATGACACAAGCGCCGCAAGAGAATCCTTTCGTACTCCTATAACAAGATTATCAGAGTCAATGACGGTGGCTTGGAGGTGAGCGAGAGAAACGCGATACGTACGGTCGTCCAATTCGGCTACTTCCTCTTTGAGCCCAAGATCCGTCTTGCGTTTTCCATCTTTCCATTTCGTATTCAGGAAGGTTTCGCATTTGTGTTTGGATGGGAAGATGCGGTGTTGAGCGGAAGATAACCCAGCGAGACAGTAAAGAGTGTGGTACGCATCCGCGGGTCTGGTCGATAGATGTCAGCTAGACTGATGTGGTGGTCAGAACAGCAACGTACTTCGGCGGCTTATCCCTCAAACCTCCAGAAGGGTGTTGTCCGGCAAGGAGAACGTATTCTTGAAGCGCCTTCGAGTTGAACAAACCATCTGACCATAGCCATTAACAACCCCGATTCGACAAAAGATAATACGGGACTCACCATCGAAATCATCCCACTCCTCCTCGCTCTTCTCCTTCGAATCTTCCTCGGTCGCGATATTGTCGGATAATGGCTTCGAATTGACACCCAGCGCTTCCAGCAGCCCAAAGCTCCCTCCACACCACCACGCGTAGCACCCATCAACCAACTTGTTCGTTCGCCCTTTGAAGCCTCCCAGCTCGGATTCAGTGCCCTGGAGTTGCACAAGCCATCGCGTGAGGTTCTTGAGGTTGATAGTGGGACGATCGGAAGGGTTGGGGATAGCGGCTTCGACGTAGGGTTGGAGGAGGACCCAGGCCGCCAAAGCACAGAATGTGTATCCTCCGTGGGCTTCGCCTAGGGCCGGTCGAGGGCCTGGGATCGGCGTGGGTTTCTCGGAAGGCGAAGAGGTCGGGAAGTAGGTTGGGAACGATGATGACGCGAATCCGCCCTCATATGTCTGGCACGATGCAACGAACTCAGCAGTTCCTTCAACGAGTTCGGGCGTGAGGATGTCGAGGAGGATGGCGACGACGAGCAGACAATAGATCCCTCGGACGTCGACTTCGGCGTGATGTGAGACAAGGAAGGAACCATCGGGTTGTTTCAGAGACATAAAGAACTCATAAACCTTCTTTCTGTTCAAACGTTAGGGCTGAAGGTAGTGACGGATCAAAGCGACGCACCTGTCGATATCATCCCATCCACCTCCTGGCCCAGGCCGGCCAACCATGGACAAAATGCAGACGGAAGCGTAGGTCGTGAGTAGATGAGCGGCTTGACCAGGTCCGCCTCCAAATCCTCCATCAGGATGCTGCCATCTCATAACCTTGTCGATGACCCTATCGATGATCGTTGAGCAAGAACATTCGCGACGCGTACAGCGGCTCACCTTTGCTTGTTCCCTGGATCCAACACAACGCCCAAGCAGCTAAAGCTCTGCAAAGTCCAGAATAACAGCCATGGCTGGCTGGCGTCCTGGCTGACATATCGCGAGCCGAAGCCGCCCATCAGATTTCGAATGAGGAACTGCATATGCTTCTGCTTCTGTAGAACGGTTGAAGGTTTGGCGTCTTTAGACGCATCTTTGTTCTCAGGATGTGAGGGAAGATGCTTCAAGAGTTCCTCCTCGGTGTCGTGTTGAAGGCGAGAGGTCGCTGTTTCGTACTTGTCTGTTGGAGTTAATTTCAGGAGCGCCATCTTGTCGATCCGGAGGTGCTGATTTCGAGCGCGGATATCTCGCTGAGGCGTAGTCTTCAAGTGAAATGTTGGAGGTTACACAGATAGCAAAGGGTCGACTGCCTTTCAGCCAGGTCCTACCCTCACAGGATGGGGGAAACAGAAAGGAGCGGAGAACAATACATTCAGGAGAACAAAAGAGCGAAAGGACCAACCACCGACCACTGATCACCAAATGCGTATGTCGTGATGATTGATAATCTAATCTTATCTCCCTCCCGTTAAACGCTCGCGGTGTCCAGAGCCCTCACCGCGACTTCGAATCCTTTCCATTCAACTGAAATCAGATTCTTTGCGCTTCATTCGCAGTATTCTACTATTTACACATGTCGAAATCTTTGGATGGCTGGGCTCAATCTCTCTGGGTAATGAAGAAGTTGGCTCCGACAAGCTTCAACCCATACTTCTCAGCGAACTTCATGGCATTCCACTTGGGCCTGCTATCGAGATCGGCCTTGCACTCAACGGCGTCAGGCGGGATGGTGAAGCCTTCGGGTTCTTGGAACATGAGGACAACTTCGGAGACACGTCAGTATCAATTGAGGAAGTCTGGCGGTAATTCGGCGACTTACCGTATCGGTGAGGACCGCTTCCTGGAGGGGGAGCGGGTGGCTCGTAGGGAGTAGATGCGGGCTTTGTCTTGGCTGCGAAGGTGACGCCGCTACCAGCTTTGGGAAGCTTCACACCGGTGGTCTAGCCCAAATCAACCGCATCAGTGCTGTACAGTACGCCAGGAGCGATGAAGAACGACTTACGACCCAGTGCCTCCACTCGCCAAACTTGGGGTCTTGCTTGCTGGGGGCATCAGGATCAGTCATCACGATTGTGTAGGTCTGGTTCCCTTCCAAAGAGCCTGCATATCCCAATCAGATCCACTCGAGACCCCATACGTCATTCTGCTTTAACACTCACCGGACAACAACTCGGGAACAGTGGCGACGACTTCAATCTCGGGCTCCTTCAAAGTTCTGTCTCTCTCGTATGTCGTCCCCATCGTGATCTCAGTAGCGCTGGTGCTGAAGCCGGGGAAGATGATGCTGAAGAACAGGGAGGGCCTGAACTCGGGGATGACATCTGGGATGACTTCACCAGCCTTGAGGAGTTCGACGACGGTTCCATGAGGATCGGGGATCTGTTCGCCTTGTTCGACTTTAGGTGCAGACATTTTGGCTCGAAGGGATTGGTAGGGAGATGAAAGCTCAAGTAAGGGAGGAGTAGGAAGCAGGGACGCTCTGAGACCCCTCGTATTTATAATGTTCTAGACAAATGGGACCGAATGGGGGGTGAGAATATATGGAGAACGTCGGAGAACGTCCTCGAGCTTCGATTGAAATGGAATAGGGGCCTTATGACCAACATCATCTGCGCATCATCGGGCACACAAGATAGTCTGGATTTAGATCTTGGCTAGGTTAGGTGATTCAAGTTCCTAAATAGACGTAGCATGTGCTCCCGTTCGTTGGTTTCATTTGCCATGGGCACTGGGCAGTGCTGACGCTCGGGCGCCAATTCTAATACTCTTCCTCGAGGAGATCAAACGACCTGATAGAAGCCGATAAGGGGAAAGAAGACATGGGGCGATGACAAGTTTAGTAGAATGGGATTGGAAATGAAAGTGGGATGGCGAGCAAAAGAGTGGGATTGGGACAAAAGACGTCATTAACCCATTCTTTTGCTCCCGCCTCCTCTCGCTCGATAGCCCTGCCGTCCGAAGGGCGGCTGTTAGAGTTGGGGTTAGAGATATATTGTATTTCGCGCAGAGGCGCGTCTTCATACGCTAAATTCGAAGGGAGACGCAAGTTATATCAATCCCACTCTTTTGCGGCATCGTCCCACTTTTTTGTGTATGCCTACATCTGTGGTACGCAGAGAGAGATGAAAGAGCTGGTGAAATATGTGGGGAGAACAGAGAGGCTGAAAGGACTGGTAGTGGAGAGGACGGGAGAGTGAAACGGAGAGAAGCAAACCTCATGCACGAAAGGCCCAAGGGGCGAGGGGCGCGGCAGGCTACGTACGAGGTAGTTACAAATCAAGGACAATTCGATTAGCATAACAGCCTTAAGCCACGCAACTTATCTACAGGCATACAGACCTTCAACCTAATCGTGCTTAACCACTCCGCCGTTGGCGAGGGTGGGAGGATACGCGGGTGGTAGAGAATCACGTACGGACGACACATAGAATTGGACTATTAGTATAAGTAAAGTCTGGTTAGAATACACTGTTCGCAAGGACTGTAATATGACTTTCATTAATTCGTTCATTCATTCATTTGTGCATACCACTTCAATCCCACTAATATTCCTAATCCCACTCCACTACATAGTATATACTCGAAGACATGTGAGCATTTCAGAAGTACATCCTCTCGACATAGTGTTACAAAGTCACAAACAATTCGCCTTCACGGATACAAACAGACTCCAATAAAGGCACTGTTTCATACTTGAGAGCGAGAGACAGGTACCACATATGCTGAAACATCAACAGCATCTCCTCAATCTCGTCAAACTCTCTGGTTCCAGAGCCGGTGTATACTGTAATATTCTTCAGGTCCACGAAAATTGGCCACATGCCTGCCCTTCGACTGGTCAAAAAATCAAGGGCACCTGGCGATAGGTTCAGAGATTCAGCTTCCTTGAAGCACCTGAAGAACTCTCTCAACGATTCATGGTCTGCGCCTTTAATGAAACCGTCAACTCTGCAGGTGATATCAATCCAAATGGCACGGGCACCGAGCTTTTGGAACCGAGGGCCTTTGGAGAGACCGCTAAGAATTCTCGAGAATTCCTCAGCCACTTCTTGTTCAATGTTCTCCCCCTCCTCTGGACCTAGGTCTCCCATAATTTCCAAGACGTATCTATAATCATTGAATTCGACAATGATTTCAAGGGTGTCTTCCGAGATCGCAACTCCCACCCAATCACAGCCATCTTCGGGCCACATCTTATCGAGTTGGGCAAAGGTTCGTTCGCCAATGCCCTCGAGATCAACGTCCCAAATCCCGGCGGTGATGGTGACGGAGCATCGCTGAGGAATGTTCATGAGCGCCAGAGCAAACGAAACCCCAGGAAGATTGCCTTCAAGCTGAAGCGTTTTAAGTCCGGACAGGGACACAGGCTGGATTTGATCGATACGATCTATGTAATAGTCGACTCTCCTGTTATCGGTAGGAATGCAGAAGTAACCGGTGATGAGCCAGTTCAAGGACGTGAGAGCTCTGAGGGGTTCCATCCAAGCGAGCTTGACGGAGGGATCATGGTCAAACAACCAGTGCCCAAGCCCAAGGTAATCCACGGTTTTGAAGAATGTCATTCCCCAGGAGCATGGAGAAAAAGTGACCCCGTAGAGCTCAAGCCGCTTCAGAGAGGTCGTGGTCGAGCCGCCAAAGAGGTTAGTCGTGCTTAAAATGACGTCGCGTGGACCATCTGCAACGCCCTCAATATCCAAGAATTCCAAAGAGTCCATGCGCCGAGAGAAGAGCTTATTGAGGCCATCAGCCTCCTGTATGGACAGTCTGTCATGGAAGTAAAGCTTCAACTCGCGGAAACGCTCGGAATGGGCAATTACTGATCGCATATTCGCGATGATGTTTGAATCCGATCCTTTGGCCTCAAAGTCCTCGGAAAGGACTTCATGAAAGCGAATCCCTCTTTGAACGTCCGCATCGACGACTAAAGGCGCCTTTCCACTTCGCTCCAGAATTAACTCCATGAGCTTGGGGGAAACGGTGTAGCATCCGGCAAACTTGGCCCACTCGACGGCAGAGTTGAGTGCGATCTTCCTCCATGAGGTGCAGACTGAAGCAAAGGTGAGCAGTTGCATGAGGGCGGCATGTTGGTTAGGTGGCTCAGAGCAGTGCGCCACCTCGTCGACGAGGTAGCCGAGGATATGACCAAGGACGTCATGGCAGAGTGTCGAAATGTTGTTGTCGTGCTTGGAAGCGTCAGAACGCAGGCTTACAATGGTCGTGTCGCTCGCGTCGTCTTCGTCCTCGGTAGGTCGCGGTCTCTTCGAAGGGCCGTCTTCTATTCCATCGTCCACCTGAGAGTCAACTAGAAGATCGAGGGAACGTTTATGCTTCGACATTGCACCAGATGTGGAACTTGAGTCGCTTTTCTTCACTTCTTCGGTAATATAGCCTGACGCCCATGCCACAAAGTGGCCAACGTCCATCCATTCCTCGGGGGAGCCGATCGCACCATTGATTCCCAGCTGTATGAAGTTAGGACTATCAGCGTCGTCATTCCCATAGGCCTGAATAACACTTACCTTGCGCATGTACTCGTCGAGGATATTGGCACCAAACAATTCGATAGCCTGAGCGGCCGTATAACCGTAAGGATGGGAGAGTGCAGACATGACGTCCTTGCAGGATTTAGTCAGTAGAACCAAGAAATAGATTCGATAAATGGATTTGAGATGGTGGTTGTGGTTAAAGGATGGAAAGGACCCTCGTTCGCATTTATATGTTGGTTTTGTTTGGTTCCCACAAAGTGGCAAAGATGCTTGGACTCGGACTTCGGCCAAAGTGGGAAATAGTTCGCACGCCTTTGGGCTTCACTGCTCAGTAACTCTCGCCCAACGCGTTAATCCGGTTGAACCATTAAGACGAATCAGCTCTAAGGCTGATGGTATGCTACTCCAGTTACAGATATGTCGGTAAAGTTCTGTTCCAGAATGGTTCAGGGTTCAGTACATGTTACGAGTTCGAGCTCACTGACGGAAAACCCGGTAGAACCAGACAATGGGTCAAAGCGATGTCGATACGAGATAATGACATGTCCTTATGGGGAAAATAGAAGGTCTTTTTGGAGGCCAGTATCGAAGGAGACAATGGTCACACAGACGGTGACAGCGCTTGCACAAACATCAGCAAAACCCAGATATGATTACCAGAAATTTTGGCCACCTTGTATGGTTCATAATTTCTTGTAAACACGCGGGATCTTGTAGACCTTATAAGAAAAAGTGGGAAAGTGACATGATCTTTTGTAGCTTATAAGATTATCTTGAACGTGGTAAGATTTCTCGGAACCTTGCAAGGTTGCTCCATCCTCGCAAGGTTCCCAGGATCCTTGTAAGATTGTCCAAAGCCTCTCAAGGATCGCGACGTCGCGTTGTCTGGGACCACTGCTGCCCTCATAGAGAAGAGACCAACCTATTGAACTTTGAAGCAAACCAAAAAGTTTGAGACAGGAAAATTGATAGCATTGGACTACTGATATGCGACATTTCTGCGCTGTATTGAGGCGACTGGGAATCGATGTACTCTAGATCTTTAGTATATTGAATCCATAGACGTCACGACGTCAACTATAAACATAGCCGCGGCGAGAGGTGGTGGGAAGCTCGCACGCCAGAAAAGGGATAGGCAAGATTGCAAGGACTTGGGGAAATTAGAAGGAAGCCGAGGAGAATGTAAGAACGTCACTTCACATTGCAAGGTAAAGGTAATGTACTACCAACATTACAAGGTAACAGTAAAGATTATAAGCTTTCGACAAACCTTGCAAGGTTTGACGAAGCTTACGGGATCTTTTGGAGGTTCCGATCAAAACGTCATTCCTTACAACGATACGTCATTCTTACCATACCCGTAAGCTCTCGGAATCATATCTAGGTTTTGCTGATGAAGCAAAGACCAGGTGTATGATAAGCGCCAAGGCCATTTTCCCCGAGCACGGCCAAATATTCCAGTGGCAACGGTCCACACCTCAAAATTCCATAAAGGCGCAGCGCAAAATCGGTTGGATTCTTCACAAGTCTCCCGTCTAGCTCAAACACGAATCCAGCAGCACTCGCGATCGATACAGCAACAACCCCTTTCTCTTGTTAGATTTACTATCATCATGGCGACGTGGTCGGACATTCCGTTTGATATCTTGGACAAGGTGCTTGCCCACCTCGTTTCAGCTGGAGAGACTTCCGACCGGGACCACAACGAGAAACTAAAAGACGTTGTCAATGCTTCGGCTGTTTGTAAGACTTGGCGCGAGCACACCGTAAATGCGAAGCGTGTGTGGGCTGCCCTTGCTGGTGCTCACAAAGTCTCTCCGTCCACCTACGGCTCTATCCTAGCCCGGTCCGGCAACTATCCATTGCTTATTAGCACAGAAGTCACCGCCAAGTTGGGAACATCCTCTCTGACTGGGTACCATTGGGATGCTATCCGAGCCAACTTCCATCGTGTTCGACTCTTTGATGTAGAGTTTGAAGGCGAACCGGACCAGTCTTGGCTCGTCACCTTGAGTCAACCGGCACCTTCTCTTCAGGGTCTCAGACTCAAGGGAAACGCGTACTCCAACATCGAGATTCCAAGTCTCTTCGCTAATTCTGCTCCCTCGCTGCGAGTTATCCACATCGAAAACTTGGAGCTCCTCAACGACAAGGTCCCAGCGCTTAGCAATGTCGCCGGAGTTCATTATTTCCTTCCCCGAATTGACGACGATGATCTGAAGCACGAGGACTGCATCGGACTTTTGCGAAATACACCTTCGGTTGAGTTCGTCTCAATTGGAAACTTCCGATTCCCCTCTGGCGACTTCGACGACGACGAGCAGTGCTACCAACCATTCGAGGCAGTCCCCCCCATTCCCTTGCACAGAGCCAAGCACGTTCGCATCGCAGGCGATCTTCTAGGCGCCACGGCTGCATTGATCCGACTCGATCTTCCTTTGTCCTGCAGGTATCGCTTCGAGTTCACTGTTGACGAGTGCCCCCGTGATGGACATGTCACCAATGCCGGGCACGAGACCTTTACTCGACTCGACCGAATATGGGCTGGTAAGATTTACAGCGGCTTGCGACTGACGCTTTGCAGGGCTTTCGTCCGCCTTGACATGTGTGGTGCGGATGGAGTATTTGGAGATTCGTTGAAGATGGAGATGACTCGCTGGGACCCTTCTCAGGGTGATTACTTTGAGCCTTTCGGGCTCAGTGATTTTGCAGGTTTCCTTGCCTACATCTCTCGACAACGTCACTTCCAAAAAATGGCGGGTGAAGTAAAGGAGCTCGACTTGGTCTTCCAGATTAACTCAGAGGATTTCCCCGATATCCCCTATGAATATTTGCAGGAATTCTTTGCAGTCTTTCCCCAAGTGGTCCATGTCAAAGCTTCAGGTGGCACCGTCCTGTTCCTCACCGACCATGAACGTATGATGAAAACCAACATTCCTAACGTCTATCAGCCTCCTTTCCCCGCCTTGCAGCGCCTGAACATAGTTAACGTCCATCCCCAATGGGTTCCAGAGGTGAAACGCCATCTCCAAAGCCTCCTGGAACTCCGCCAACAAGTCATCCCCAATTGCCCTCCCCTGCACGTTTACTGTACTGAACGCGCCGACTTCCATTAAATTTTCGAATTCTTCTATTTCTCTTTCCTTTAACTGGAACTTATCCGTGCGTATGCCATTTAATCACGGTCTCTCGTTCTCGCTCCCTTCAGGCTTGATACACGTTTCTTCTACTTAGAAATGTACAGTAGTTTGTGGAATCTATCCCAAGTGTGTTCTGATTGGTCGAATTGCTTGTTGTGCACATTGAGTGTCGGAACGTAGGCGCTTTCCACTCGATAATCTGCCTCGAACAAGACGATGGTCATCACAGCCACAGTCAACTCGAGGTCATAGCGTGTCGTACCCCAATTGCAGAATTAACATGGGATCCTCGCGAAATTGACTGAGAGCGAAGCGTAATACTGTGTGGGATCGGTGAGTGTTGTGGAAGACATGTTTTCAGCAGATTTGTTTTACTACGAAGTCACGTTTCTGTCAGCCATGGACTTGACAGCTCGAGGGAGCGGTGCTTGGTCGAAAGGTGATGGTCACGAATAACTGGAGCTCCAACAATGAAGACGAGTCAGCCCATACCATTGGCCTGGTACATACAACAAAGGATCGGAGTGGTGATGCCAACAGGACCAGGGAGGCCACTCTATCACACGCCATACATCGCCTTCGCATTCTCCCTCGCCTCCTCCATGATGCGATCCGAGCTCCACCCCTCGCCGGCAACACCAGCAACAAACTCGGCGACCCAAGGTATCATAGCTGTGTGGCAGAGTGGTAGCCGCTTGCCCTTGAGCGCAGGGGCAGACTCGTACAGGTTGGCCGGAACCATATACGGCGCGTCTGTTTCGAGGAGAATCCGAAGCTTGTTCGAAGTCTCAGTTTGGGCAGAAATCATATTCCTGATGACCTGTGAAGTGTTGGCGTTGGTTGAGTAAGAGATGACGCCCGTGATTCCGATGTAGAGGTTGGGAAAGTGGTCAAGAAGCCGCTGAGCAAACTCGGGCGAGTCGGTGAAACAGTGAATATGGATCTAAGGAGTCGTCAAAGCTGATTATGAGGAACGTGAAATGCCTGATCATACTTTGTGCTCTTTCGGAACGATTTCCTTCAACAATCTTTCGGTGTCCTCCTCTGCTTCACGGGTGTGGATGGTCAATGGTTTACCTAACCGCACTGCATGCCGAAGTTGACGAGCGAAGACCTCCCGTTGTGTCTCCCGAGGGGAGTTATCGTAGTGGTAGTCGAGACCCATCTCTCCCCATCCAACGCATCTAGGATGTTGCATGGCCTCTAAACTAAGAAGAATGAGCTTGGATCGGGACGAAACAAGTTGAGTAAACGTACATTTGATTCTCTACTTCGTCTGTATAGCTTTTAGCTTCGTGTCTGCGACGAAATGAGCGCCAGATCTGTGAAAAGGTTTCATCGAAACCTACGGATGTACACCTGGAATTGGCTTAGTCGAGGTTCAAATGAAGAAGTTGATACAACGCACCCATAACAAACCAGTAATTTATCCCGTCCCAGTTCTTTATTCTATCCTCTTCCGTGACTGCAGAATCCGCAAATTCCCTCCATAATCTGTTCACGGCTGGCTCGCACCAGACGTCGACGATACTTTCGACTTTCCGGTCCTTGTACAACCCCTTCACGAAATCGAATACGGTTTCGTACTTTGCAGTACCCTGCTTGTTGTACTTCGTTTGGTAGAACTGGAATGTCGACGCGATGTGGGTGTGGGTGTCGACGATAGGCTTCTCGGTAGGCGGCGTTGGCAAAAGTAGGTGTTCCTCGCCTGGGGTATTCGATTTCTTCTTGCCCATTCTGACTTGCTTAGCTGAGTAGAAGCGATTGGAACCTTTATAACCAGAAATTTGGGCGCTAATAAGGACAGGTCGCGACCGAGAGACGAGGGCCCGAAGTGACATTCAATGACAAACTGAAGCCCCCGCGGCGGAACGAGTCAGGCGAATTGGGTTCGGACCCTTTAGGCAAATTTAGGCGCCGCTGGCATTCCCGGCAGAGGAAAAGCCGTCAAAAGCGGTTTGTGACTTGTGGCTTGTCATAATCAAGGGTCTCGCCTACGGAGGCTAACCTGGCGACGAAAGGCTTCATCGACTCTAAGTAACCAATTTCGTTTGTGAAGCAAGGGGTCCAATATCCAAATTCTGACGTCCCCGCTCCACTCGGCATCAATCGGCACTTTCAAGTTGCGCGGTGAATCACGGCACTGGCCTCGGCTTTCCTCTAACGTTCAAGCACGAGCGCTTAATTTGACCACCCAACGGTGCACTAGACAATGGCTGAGGTAAGATAATGACCTCATCGTCGCATTCTTGGCTAATTGATTGCGTCGAGCTACATGCACTAACTACTACGAGCGCAGCAGAAGCGGCTGAATGGCATAAAACGAGGAAAGCAGAGCGAAATGCATAACGAACAACCGATTGAAAGATGTTTCAAAAATCGAGACCTGGGACCTCACATCAGTTCAAACTATCTGGCAAAGTTTTAATCAATAGAATGGACAACGCACCGGTTAAAGCGCTTCATACGCAGCGAGGGCAGCCCAGTTCTTGTTCCTGTAATGTTCGGCGATGACCTCAGTCGCATTCGCATTGCCAACCGGGACCTTGATAGCATGCTTCACACCCTCTCCATCCTCATACTCGAAATCAGTAGGCGCAACACACGCCTTGCCACTCTCGCTCGACGCAACACGGCCAGCGCTATGGAACCAGTTCAAGTAATTGGCGCGCGCTCCTCCACCGTTCCAGCACCTAGTTCCAGGGCCGAAGACGGCAAAGAGGAAGGCCCTGCATTGGTCGGTGTAGCCTTGGCCTTGGGTTCCAGCGGCGAGGTTGTCGAATTGCGCAGAGAACCCGAATCCGGCGGGCATTGGGCCGCAGCAGACTGCGCCGCCGTCGCTACAGCCGAAGCTGGGCCCGGAGCAGGAGACGGTGCTGGAGTACGAGCGGTAGTTGAGAGCAGCGCCGGGTGTGGCGGCTGCGATGAGGGCGACGGTGAGAGTTGAGATGAGGCTGGTGAACTGCATTGTTGGTTGGTTGGGGCTTTGGTGAGCGAAAAGTGGCTAAGTAGCTCGATGGGTTGAAGGCGATGCGGTGAAACCCAACGTCTTTTATAGGTTGTGCGTCCTCTAGTCCAGGGCTCATGCGGATTCTGTGAACTCGACCAGACCAATCCATACCTCCTGAACGACTTCCACTCCAACCTGCTTTTGTCATCTATCTCTCCGACGTCCGAATGTCGCGAAGCTATACTTAAACCTCGGCAACTCACCCTGCTCTGTTTCATCCAATCATCGCACTCAATGTCTGCTCTGCTATGTTTTGATTGTGGTTCTCGCCAGGATGACCGATGTAAGCGCTAGCAGCCTTACAAATTTCGAAGCTGAGTGGCACTAAACATAGCATTGGAAATTGGAAATCATAGAACGGTGTGTCGGAATGTCCGGCGGCAACAAGAATAGCCTGAGGTCAAGGTCAAGTCCGAGGCCCATGGACCAAGTTACCAAAGTGAAAGCTTCAACTGTTGCTCCAGTACAACGTGCTTCTACTGCTCGGCAGTCAGCGCTGGAGCTCGCTGTCCCCTACAGACGTCTAATTCAAGGCTTCTACGCTCCTGGTACGCTTTGTCGGCTTTGTCGGAGTTTGCATTACCAAGCGAGCGCCAGCGTTGTTTTCCTTGTTCTCCAGCCACGGTCGCATAGAGACTTCTTCTGGTGGAATCGGACTCCTCGATCTCTGCGAAAATCTCCTCCCAGTCTTCCTCCGATAGTACGCTCAGCACCTCGTCGTCGAGGACGAGCACGTCTTGAACCTTGTCAACGAATTCGTAATCTCGTTTAATCCCCGTTACCAACCCGTGCATCAGTACCGTCCCTTTGAAGGAGACATCGTAAACATGCGCACCTTTGGGCTTCGAGAAACGAATGGGTAAATCCGTCAACGGCACCTCGTCCACAGTTTTTTCTCTCTTTGACGGGGACTCCTCCAAACTCTCAAAGAACTCCTGCTCATCGAAGTCCTCTGTTCCATTATGCAAGCAGGGTATCTTCCAATATTGTGTCATCAACCTCTCGTCGACGGATACGTCTCCTTCACTGCCGACGTCCGCTTCTTGGGTTTAGTCGGGGGTGGATGGACATTCTCCCTCTAAAGCAATGCGCGGTCAGTCGATTCATCACCTGCAGGAGAAGAAAGGTAAATTGCGACTCCGAGACTTACAAAAGCCATGGCACGGTTATAGTGATACTTGTCAGGATCATCGACTGTGTGCGGCCACCATTCGAGCATCCTTGAAGTTCCTTTTGGGCGATGGCGCTTCCGGCGTTGAATTCTCTATTCGTATGTAGCACTGTCAAATCAACCCATACAACGCAGGCTTAGGGACGTACCTTGTAAACAGCCTCACTCTCGGTCGTGAAGTGGGGTTTGGGCATACTGGGAGAAGTTTAGGTGACGATTAAATAGCGAAAGAGTACTTGTGAGATAGGTAAGAGGGGTCTGAAGCCTGGACTCCCCTGTTGACGGTCCACGTCCGATGGTAGTAGGCTTATATACGCTTTTCTGTTGGGGGCACTGTGTGTACCTAATTGACCCATGATGACTGCGCTCGCAAGGTGATCACTGCATTCCGGTACCGAGGCCTCTGCGAGCCGACATCTACGCTCCTCCCACTAGTTGTGGGCTTGTTTGTAGGTCAGCGTCCAAGGGAAGGATCGCAATTCCAGCTGCAGGCTTCAGGCGCTTCGAGGCCAGTCGATCGCCGAGATCACAGACGAGTGGCTTGGCTGACCTCACATTCGAAGAGCCCCTATCCGAGACAATTGTCGATCGTTCATCAGTTCGGTGTCGCGGTCTCAGATTCAAAAGACGGACTCGTCTCTGTTTACTTCTTCCACAATGGACCTCAGAGTCACCGAACCAAACACACAGGACAGATCTGCGTTTCCAGTCCGCGTCTACTACAACATTATACTGCAAGCATGGTTTGACGACGACCAGTCCAACGACGAGAGGATCCAGATTATGACAACCTTCCCGCTGGTGTGCAAGTGGTGGAACGAAGCCTTCACCCTCCTCTCTCGCACCCACATTTACGTCCCCTCACCGTCATTTTGCGAGTACTACCTCCGCTTCCTCACCAACTCGCCTCTCCCCGTCAACTTTCGCGAGCTCGCCAGCCCGCCCGAGAGGAATATCACCATGTCTCCTCGAACTCTAGCCAAGACGTTGACGTTCCGAGTCGAGAAAGCCGTCCTCCCACCTCCCATGGACTGGCACACCTCACCCATGGGCGATGTTCCGAGCCAGTTCCTGCACTACATTGCATTCTACAAGCTCCTCCCCAACCTCACCTGCATCTCCCTCCAATACATCGACATCACGATGTACCAGCTCTTCTTCAAGCACAATTTCCGCAAAGCGCTCGGCATTCCTCCGCTGGATATCGATATGGACGTCTCATTTCGTTTTCCTTGGGGCCTCCCGGATCGTGTTATCGAGGAATCGATGGAAGAGCGGGTGGTTAAGGAAAAGGTGGGGAGCGTGAAGGAGTTGAAGAATAAGGATCGGTGGGATTGGCCGAGGTTCCTGGCGGGTGTCGAGAGATTGTATGTGCGGTGCCCGACTGGTGGACCTACGAGGATTGGGGAGACGGCTCCGACGGATATGGAGATGGAAGTTGTGGATGTGGAGGCTCCGCCTCGTTTGGTGGAACAGTATAGTAACCTCAGTGTGGGCTTCAAGGCCCTGATTTTTGATAGAATGTTTGAACCGCATGTTAAGCACGATATTCCGAGGAAGATTCTTACATAGACCGGCTGTTATTTTCGATTCAGACCTGCACTTAACATCGTCGTTTTTGTCACTGCATGAATTCGGCTTGGCAGCCCTGGATTCTCGCGATGAGGAAATAAGCGCCCATGCCAAGAAGCACGGAAGGATACCCCATCACCACGTTGCTTGGCACATCAGCCAGGCTGTGCACGCAACATCACAGCGCCCGACATCAGAAACGTAACACACACAGTGTGCATCCCTTTATTATTGACCACCAACAGATCGGTTTTGGGTTGAGCTGGCCTCTTCCCGTCATCGTACGTATCCTCGAAATGTCGAAGTATCGAGACTGTATACTGACTTGCATACCTTCCCTGAAATCTTCGTGATGGGTACCCAACGTGCCATCTCGTCCATTCGACCAATGCGAATTACCGATGCTCGACTCGTTTTTTGCCTCTGACGATTCTGCTCCCTCAATCACTTTTATCCCGACACACATCGACGCACCCGGCGCTCACCACTTCGGCCTCCGCCCTCTACCCCCGAATACCTCCTGCCCCTCAACACCCGGAATGTCCAACAAGCAGGTTGCAGAGCAACTCCAACCCCAACGCACGCACGCTGAGCGTCGTCGTCGCACCGGTCATTAACGAGGAACAACAAGAACAATGTCGCTGGTCGCACTATTTGCAGTTTCCCTCCTCCTCTTCTCGCAAATTGTGGGATTGGCGTCGGCTGGTCCGGTGCCTGTGCGTCCCTCGATTGCTATGCGGGAGAGGAGCCTCGTTGGTGGCGCCGAGGAGAGGGTGAATGTGGTTGAGAGGATGGGTGGGGTTATGGATGAGGTTGTTCAACGACAGAGGTGCGTTGAATTCTGTTTTTGGGCTTTAAACGAGTGCGGTGCTGATGCTGGAGATTGGGTACGGATAGCTCGGACGAGAAAGCGTGTAACGGACACCCTGAATTGTGCGATAGGAAGTACGGGAACGTCACCTTCCTTGGATCACACGACTCGTTTGCGGATAGCCCTCATTTCTACGCTCGTACGTCCACCTCTCCTCTCTCGTCCCATCGATCATCGTTCTAGGGCCCTCGATCGTCGGGGCTATGCCTCGCTCCTCTTTCCTAAAAATAACCCTGAATCGACGCTAACGGTGTGGTCTTCGTTCTTATCAGTTTCGCGCACACAAGAGGTCCCGTTGGAGGCACAGATGAAGATGGGCGTCAGGATGTTGCAGGCTCAGAGTCACATGTGGGTTCTTCGGTGTCTTCGTATCACTCTCCGGAATTGACTGACCCAATTACTCGATTACAGGAAGAATGGCGTCCTGCACTTCTGCCATACCAGTACGTCGAAGCTATCCGCGACTTCTGTGAAGCACTAGGACTAACCCAGAGATCGACTTCTTGTTAACTAGGCTGCGCTTTGTTCGATGGCGGCTCCGTCGAAGCTTACCTTCTCAAAGTCAAGAAGTTCCTCGAGGAGAACCCGAACGAGGTTATGACATTTGTCTTCACCAACCCTGAGGAACTGTCGGTCGAGGAGGTTTGGAAGCCTGTGTTCGAGAAGACTGGTGCGTTCGACTGCCTCCATCGTTTGAACTTACCCACTTACCGACCTTTCTCTTCCCTCCCCTCACGTCCGATCATGTCTTGTCAACTATATGTTCTCCTCCCCGACCTCATCTCATCTCATCTGGTCTCGTCCCGTCGCCGTAACCGCCACCGATACCTCCAGGCATGGACCAACTAGCGTACATCCCGCCCCAACCCATCATGACGCGCGACGACTGGCCCACCCTCCGCGAGATGATCGATTCCGGGCGCCGTGTGGTCGTCTTCTTGGATAAAGGCGCTGAGAAACCTGCTGAACCTGAGAAGGAGTACATTTTGCCGCAGTTCCAGATGGTGCGTGGTGGTTTCTAGGTTGAGCTGGATGGATGGCATTTGCTGACTTGGCTTCGTTCGATGCTCGTCCACAAAAATTCAAATTCGTAAATCGTCTGATAAATGTGGCTTCAATCTCCGCAAATTTCGACTCGACCAACCTGGCCACTCGCTCGCTGCTCTAGATGTGGGAAGACCCGCATAACCCCACTGACGCCTCGTTCCCTTGCAAGGTGGACCGAACGGCTGGACCTCTCATGCCTACTCAGCAGCTCTACCTGATCAATCATAACCTTAACATTGACCTCTTTCCCTTCAGTACGTCATTCCTCTCTCTCTCTCGCTCTTCTCCTCCCTCTCGCCTCCGATCCTTCCCCGCGCCTCTCCTTTTACTCCCCTCATCCCTTCCCTTCCTTTCACCTCCTTCCTTCGTCATTCCTACAGGAAGAGACAAACTAACGCCTAACACTCCTTACCCACAGCAAAATCCGGCTTCAGACTCCCCGACCGACTCAACTCGCCGCGCACGAACGGCCTCCAGAGTATCGTGCACCACGCGTATCAGTGCGCTGCTGAGGTTATGGAGGACCGGAACCCTAATTTTGTGATGCTGGATTTTGTGAATGTGGGCTGGGGGATGAAGGCTGTTGAGTTGTTGAATGGGTTTTAGGACTCGGAGTCGGATGGGTTTTAGGATCTTGGACGATGGGTTTAAGGATCGGATTCGGATGGGTTAGGATGTGTGTTGTGTAGGCCCTAGGGACGTTTGAATGACAGTTCAGATTCGGGAAGCTCTCGGCGCGACTACCGTCTCCAAGGCATGAGGTTCCCTCGTGTTTGGTTGGAGCCAAGGTTTCTAGGCTGATTTACCAAGAATAATCTCCACTTTACCAAGACCAGTACATACTCAGTCCTCGCTTGCCCACGAACAAACTCGAATCTACATATAACCAAGTCTACCAAGAGCAGGCTTCAGTTGACTGGAAAGGCTATGCCATAAAGACCAAGAACGGATTCTAACGACCAAGAAGAACAGGTTCTAATGACCAAGAACCCTTTGAACCGGTGAACGATCGCCGGGGAGGCAGTGCGAAGATCTATAAGTGGATTGACTTTATGGACAGGTGCTAAGAGCCTTGGCTGCACAGCGTTTATAAGGTGGTGGGTGTACTACTGTATAAATATGTAAGAGGCCCTGGTTCTCGGTTCTTACCTTTGTATCCGATTGTTCCTTTAAATTTCTTTCTTCTTCCTGCACGTCTCGAGTATATTTCGCCCTTCCCTTCCTTTAACTAGTGACTCCGAGTCCGACTACAACTACGACTACGAGAGATACCCTGAGACGATGTCAACCCCCAAGTACACCCAACTCCAGCCTCAGGCAGTCGAAAAACCGCATCTCCACCCTTCGCCGACCTCGAAGAATGCCAAACCCAGTTCGTCCTGTAACGCCCACTATGGGTGTTCGCACCACCCTCGAGGTCACGGCCTCCTCTCCCACAAGTTCACTCCACGACTCCGAATCGCATTGGCTATCGCTGCCTCGATTCTAGGTCTCACCCTCGCTGGAGTCGTAGCTTACCTCGGCGGTGGGACGAGGGATGTGTTCTTTTCGGGTGGGATGGTGCATGGGTTTGGGGGTGGGGTTGGTCACGGTGTGAAGAGGGAGTTGGCGAAGGGTTCGGATGGTGGTGGCCCGGGGGGCGATGGGTTGGGTCTGGGAGGTGGTGTGGCGGATTGGGGTATCGCGTTGGCGCAGGAGGTTGGGTCCACCTCTACGGGTAGTGGTGGGGATAGTCCGTTTACGTCTCAGAAACGTGAGTTCTTTCGCCCATTAATTTCTTGTTGGAAGGCTTAGAGGGGAGGCTGATCGTGCGTTTGATGACTCTGTTAAGTATACCTAATCGTCATCTTCGTCGGATTATTCGTCGTCCTCGTTTTGGGTATTATGCTCAGTGTGTGGTGTTGCAAGGGTGCGTAGACGTTTTATATCCTCTGTTTTTAATTACACTTGCTCATTATGATTTTATTGCACCTCTGCAACTCTACTATACCTCCACGACTGCTATGCCTCCACGTCTACCGCCACTACTCACATCTAATCGACGAACGATAAAACAGGAGCCTTCAAGAACCCCCTATGCTGCCCGTGCTACCTGTGCGCGTGCTGTGGTGGTCTAGCGTGCTTGCAGTGTATCGGGTGCGGGCTTTGTTTGGAGGGGTTGGATGAGATGGGGGATATGGCGTAAGGCAAGGTGATATGGTGTGGGGAGGTGGCGGAAGGCGAGATGACGGGGTTAAGGGGATATGGCGTGAAGCGAGGAGGGATTTAAGATGTGGTGTGGTATGGTATGGATGGAATATACCCTTCTTGCTTTCGTTCCGACAGACAATTTAAATAAGCGTTCTATTTCGGACACTTCAGAGTTAATCGTATCCGGACTTGTAAAACATTCCTTTTCGGACATTTTTGTTATGATTACGCGCGTGGTTACTACTATTAGCGCTCGAGGCGCTCGCGTTGTTTACAGTCGATAAAGCCTTCTGATACAGTCTAGCTTGACTTACAAGACTACTATTAGCGCTGGTTGAAGTTCGATGTTCAAGCGTCAAGACGCCCAGCCAGCCACCTGCAGGCCGGTCCAGTCTGAGGAACGTGGACTCGGATGGGGTGGCATATAACCCTTCAGCCTCCGAGTCGTTCACCTGAGGGTCCTTCAACTCTTCCTTCTCTCCATCTTCCACGATCGTTAACCGTTCTCGAACACAAGTCCGAGTCCCTTTCACCACACATACTCAGGCTACTGTCAGGGACGCATCCCTCCTTTGGGCCGCGTACTCGAGCTCCATCTGACACCGCATCCGCAAACAAACGGCACTCTCAAGGACTATTCTAAGACGATGTCAGCACTCACATACATCCAACCCCAGCCCTCCGAAAAGCCGTTCCTGCAGCTTACTACTGCGAGTCCGCCACTCACCTCCTCTACGCCTCCGCCTGGGCATAGACCTTTCTGCCAGTTCTATCGAGAGGTATCGGAGATGGGGTCGTTCGTGAACGACAACGCTCACCACAGCTACTCGAACTCGGACCATAGTGACAATTTAAACTCGGGTTCATCATTGTCAGCCTCCTCCCACTGTTACAATTCCTTCAGTCGAGGTGGGGGATGTGGTTCGCATTCCTGTCGAGGGAGTCGAGGAAAGGGAGCAGGTCCAGGGAGTACTAGATCCACGAAGCGCATGGTGGCTATCCTCGGAGCTACCTTCCTAGGCGTAGCGTTTCTGGGATTGTTGGCGTGTGTTGGAGCGCGGAATGAGGTGTTTGGGGGTCCGGGGGGTGGGTGGGTTGTCACGAAGGATTCTGATGGTGGTGCTATCGCCGATGGTGTCCCCGGTAGGCGGGATATATTCGCGGTGGCGAGTGGAGGTGCGGCGGGTGGAGGTACGGCTGGTGGAGCGCAGGGTGTAGGAGAGGAGGAAGACGGGTTTACGGCTAGGAAACGTACGTTCTCAGCTTGTTCTTCGATTATTGGTTGGGATATGGCTGATGAGATTGTGCGATGTAGTGTACCTCATAGTCATCTTCATCGGCCTGTTCGTCGTCCTTGTCTTGGGCGTCATGCTGAGCGCGTGGTGCTGCAAAGGTTCGTCCATTTTGTCCCACCCTTGGTCTTGCCACCAGTGTTGATTAAAGGATATATTTTGACAGGGGCATTCAGAAATCCTTTGTGCTGTCCTTGTTATCTTTGCGCATGCTGCGGTGGATTGAGTACGTGTTTTTCTTAATTTTGGTCTTTGAAGGCGGCTGACGACGGCGAGCAGTGTGTTTGGAATGTATTGGATGTGGACTATGCGCGGAGGGGCTGGAGGAGATGGAGGATATGAAGTGAGCTCTGTAGAAAATAGACCTCCTCGTTTATGCCCTTTCCAATAATGCTACCCCATTCCCTATCATGTCGTATTGAGCCCCTATGGCGAAGAGACGCCCAGAGATAAGATAAGATGCTGGTCGGAGTCTTATCTCCGTGTGATCAAGTGATCTGACAAGGGCTGAGTCGGCCCAAATCTTTTGTTTCCCTTTTATCATGTCGCATTAGACTTTTTACCACCGACGGGGGCGGCGACCACACGACTGACGACGACGACGAGGACAACGACTGCAGTACACTCTTTAGCACTCCAGACAACGACAATAACCACAAGAACAAGCACCACAGCGAGATACCATGGTCCGTGTCCACCTCCCTCTCCCAGGCTCCGCTGCTGACCGTTTTTGAATGTGACTACGAACGGACGAACGAACAGACAGTCTGCAATGAATGCGGTGGTAGTGTTATCGAGTACGACCATGCCGCAGGCAATGGGTTCTGCATCCAATGCGGCACCGTCGTCGAAGAAAACTTGATCGTGAACGAGATTGTGTTCGGCGAGACGTCCAATGGGGCGGCTATAGTCCAGGGCTCGTTCGTAGCACAAGGCGCCAGTGAGTATCTTTATCGCTTTTTCGCGGTATTTTACTGGGTGTATATCGGTTGCTCATACTGTGGAAACAGCTCACGCGAGGATGAGTGGTCCGTATGGTAACCGAGGAAGTACCGAGTCGAGGGAACAGACTATCGCCAACGGTGCGTTCTCTTCAATTTAGAAAATGAGATGAGAGCTCATCTTATCTGCAATAGCGAACAAAAAGATCCAGAGTATAGCCAACGTCCTACGGCTCAACGAAACCGTCTGTCTAGCAGCGACCCGGCTCTACACCCTCGCCGTCGAACACAAGTTCACCAAAGGCCGCAAGAGCCTCAACGTCGTCGCAGTCTGCCTCTACGTCGCCTGCCGCCAAAAAGAAACCAAAACCTACATGCTCATCGACTTTTCGGACCTCCTGCAGGTCAACGTCTTCGAGCTCGGGCATACCTACCTCCAGCTCGTCCAGACGCTCAACCTGCGCCTCCCACTCGTTGATCCGTCGCATTACATCTCAAGGTTCGCGGCGCTGTTGGAGTTCGGGGATGAGACGCACAAGGTGGCGACGGATGCGGTGCGGCTGGTGCAGAGGTTTGATAGAGACTGGATGACCCGTGGACGGAGGCCTGCCGGTATCTGCGGCGCTGCGCTCCTCCTTGCAGCCCGCATGAACAATTTCAGGAGGTCCGTGGAGGAGATTGTGCAGGTGGTCAAGATCGCGGATACGACACTCAAGAAGCGGCTCGACGAGTTCAAGGCGACGCCCAGCGGGAGCCTGACGCTCGCGGACTTTAGGAACGTGTGGCTGGAGGACGAGATGGACCCGCCTGCGTTCACGAAGGGGCGGGAGAAGGAGGAGGCGGAGAGATTGGCGAGGGAGAGGGAGGAGAATGGGGAGGTGGAGGTGGAGGAGCCGAAGAAGGGCAAGAAGAAGAAGGCGGGAAAGAGTAGGAAGGGGAAGAGGAAGCGTGGGGATGAGGAGGAAGAGCTGGAGGAGGTTACGCCGGCCCCGCAGGTACCACAACCTTTCGACCCGAGTCTGATACCCAACGGTATCCTCGAAGGCGCTATCCAACCCGAAATCGACCTGAGTAACATCGACCCTGTTTTACTCCAACAAGACGCCGCCGCCGCCGCCGCCGTTCCTCCGCTAACCCCTTCCCCAACATCCACGTTACCACCCCCACCATCCACCTCCGAGCTCGAAGAAACGATCTCGAACGAACTGGCGGAGGAGGTTCAAGAGTTTCTGCAGAATGATACAGGGACGAAGCTGTCGGAGGCGTTGGATGCGGCGGAGCAGGCGAGGTTGGCGAATATTACTGCTGGAGATGAGCTGAGCGGGTTGGATGAGGAAGAGTTGGATAGGTTTATCCTAAGCGAGCAGGAGGTGAAAATAAAGGAACGGGTGTGGGTCGAGTTGAATCGGGAATACCTCGAAGCATTAGCTGGTACGTCGTCCTTTCTCATTTTTTTCTCTTTTGCCCCGACATTGAAATCCAAATCCAACATCCTCCCGATGCACCCTGCAACAAGGGCACTCCCTGTCGCTTTTTTTTATTTTCATCGATTTTCCATCTCGATTGACCTCCAATCCCACTTTATTCATCTTTTATGATGCGTTCATTTTGCTAACTGGTTCTCTGTTCTGTCGGATTGTGGAATGTGCAGCTAAAGGTGATCAGACGGAACCCGCTACCAAGAGTCGCAAGGTTCGTTTCTCGGTTGTGTCGCTTTTTTTATTTTTTTGGTTTTGTTTTGGTTTTGTTCTTCGGGTTTGGGTTTTGATTGGTGGGGGCGGGGTGGCTTGGCTTGGCGCGGCTTGGGGTTGTTTGGCTGGAGCTTGGGCTTGGCGCGTTGTGCCTCTCGGGGCTGGGTGGATGGATGGATGGTGAGGGATGGCAGACGGGGACACGTTGAGGCACAAGTTCAAGCGGAGCACTTCTGTTTGGCCTGGGCGATGGCATGGTTTTCGTGTCGACATGGGGTTATCATTTTTCATATCCTCGTCGTTCTCGAGAGGAACCTTTCTCTTTTTCCTCGTTCCTCTCGTGTATCCTATCCGACCACACCACAACCACCCACCGCCAGCCCCTACGCTTGGCCTTACAGTCTCGGTTTCCCTGGAACGCCGGATATCTTGGCTTCCCGACCAACCAGCTGGACGGCCGCAGGAAACCTGCTTAGGTTTACTTGGCTTAGTCGTCTGTCACGGCCCTCGACGGCAAAGGCAAGCTTTACCCGAGCTTTCGACTTAGGAACCAGAAGGTTGTTCTTATAGTCGGCCCATCCCTCCCTGTCTCTTTCGAGCCCTGCGACGAGCCCCCGCTTTAGCCTTCACCTTTCCTCTTCGCCTTTCGAATTCGTTTTCGTCCCCTTTCCCTTCATGTGAAAAAATACTAACGTCCCTTCTTCCTATCTTAGCGCCGAAAAACCAACAACAAACCCCGCGACGCGTCCACACCCGCAGGCGGAACTGCCGCTGAATCCGTGCGCAACCTGATCAAGAAGAACCCAAAGTATAGTAAGAGGATTAATTATGATGCGTTGAAGGATTTGTTTGTGGATGGGGGGCCTGCGTCTTCTGCGTTTGGTGCTCGGGGTGGGGGTGTGTCTGCGTATGGTGGTAGAAACGGTGCATCGGCGTACGGTAACGGTCACGGTCACGGTATTGGTGGAGGTATTGGTGGCGGTATGAGGAATCCGGGAGCAGATGCGGACGATAAAGACGACGAGGGAGGGGAGGGTCTTATTGCCTTCGACGATGATAAGGAGGAACCTGGGGAGGGTGGGTTGGTTATTATTGATGAAGGCGTGGCGAGTGTGGTTGGGCCTCCTGGGGTTGCTGGTGCTGGTGCTGGTGCTACTATTGCCAACGGGGCGAATGGTGACTTGGATGCGGATGCGGACGGGGATGAGGATGGGAGTGATGATGAGAAGGATGATGAGGGTGATGTTGGGGGGTGGGAGGATGCGTGGGAGCAGGAGGTGTAGTATTTGTGATGTTGGGTGGGCGGCGGTGGGGTTGGGGAGGGGGACGGGTGGTAGGGATGAGTTCCTATGGGTCTGCGGTGTGCGGGCGTGGATTAGTGGCGTGGAAGGGGTAGTGCGGTGGAGGGCGCGGAGAGAGATTCGAGTGGTAAACGCCCCGTTCGGCGTGGGTGGGTGCGACTTGCGCGCGTTGGGGTGGAGGTGGGGAGATTGGACTGTTGGAGAGATCGGATGAAGGGATAATATTACGGCTGATTGTCGTAATTTCCTTCTTCCATTCTCGGTTTCCGCGTTGTTGGGAGAAAAAGACGCCCTCCCCCCTAGGAAGAAGAAAAAAAGGAAGCCAAAAAAACATATGTAAAGTATGTAACTGTATTTGGTGCTCCCAGTCTGTATTACCGTTTTCCATATCCTTATTACCCGTCTTTTTGATGTTACACGTTCCTACCCCTCATTGCCCGTGTTTGGTATTACTTACCTCTTACTATCACCCCTGTATCGATGGTTTTTCGTGTATTCTTTCTCATGTGTTGGGATTTCTTTCCCGAATCCTGTGTGCCGGGCATGGATGTAGTAGTTCAAGTTGTATTGGTAGCAATGTAGTGGTATTCGAGTCAGAGTAGTATTGTTATTCGTTATTCTTATGCACGTTTCCTCCCTTGCGCGATGTATTGCCAGAAGGCTATCCCAGGCGCTGGTTCGATGCCAGTATGCCTCTTCAACGAAGTATGGTCCCTACCTTGCCTATTTGCTCAGTTTTTAACTTAGAGATGCTCGTCGATCATTTTCACTTTAGATAGATTCATTCCACATTCAACTAGAGAAGTTACAGGAAGAAATACATGAAAGGAAAGATAGATTGAGGGAGAGAAGGAGCGACAGGGGGTTGAACGGCTACCCACATATGTAGGGAGCGAACGAGCGACTGGTGATTGAACAGTGATACAGAGAGAGTCTAATGACACCCGGCGTCGTCAGCAGATCTGCAGGGGAGGGCAATTGGGGATAACACTTTGGCGTAGTACCAGGAGTTCTTGCAGACCTTGCCTCGCTGCGGGAACCAATTTGGGATCGACGTTAATGACGTCCAGCCGCTGCAGAATTGGGAAAGGCGGTTGATAAGCGCCAGGGACGCTGGTCCGCATCAAATGTCGATAGTCGGTGAGGAAGGGGAGAGCGTTCCCTACAGCTCTGATGTGGACCACCCCGCTGAAGACTGCGAAAAACTCCTGCAAGTATCCACAGGCCTCTTGGAAGAATATGTCGATGTCTTCGAGGTTGAGCTGGATGTTCACGTCGAGCTGGCGGACTCTGGCAGCCATTTCCTGGAAGTTGGGTTGTCGAGCGAGGTAGGCGAGGAATACGAAGAACTCGTAGAGTCCGTTTGGCTCGATGAATGGCATGTCAGGGAACTCAAAGCGGCTCATCTCCATCTTCAGTAGATTTCCGAAGTTTCCGGGGTTAGCCCAGGTCTGAAGGTAAATGTAGCCCTGGCAAAGGAACACCTGGAGGACGGGGTACCTCTTACCAGCCCAGATGCGGTCGAGTCGGCTGAAGGTTTCGTATCCGGCATTGGTGACATGTCCGGTACGCGGGTTCTCGTCGACGATAAAGTCAAAGTGGTACTTGCAGGATTGGGGGAGATCGAGGCGGGTGAGTGCAGCCGTGACGCCGAGGAGGTCGCCTGTTATGTGAACCTGCCTAGCTCTGGGCAAGGGGATGGGAGGGACTGCTTCGTATGGGGCATAGCATCCCACATCATCGTCGTAGTAGCGGGAAGGGAATCTGAATTGTCCAATTTGGATATTCTCAGCCAAGGGTGTATTTCGCAGAAGTCCGATACAAGTCTCGCCCTGCAGATCCTCGTCGTCAATTTGGGGAATGTCATAGTGAATTCCGACTACATTTTGCAGCGCGGGAGCCACGGTGTTGACGACATCCAAGTTGCGGATGCAGACGAAGCGCAAGGCTGGGGCGGAATTGGCGAGGAGAGCTGGGACGTCGATGCGAGCGTAGGTTTTGCTCGTGAGGAAAAGGCCCACAAGCGAAGGTGCTGGGAGACTCAAAGTCGCCAGTAAAGGCGGGATATCGGGTTTCCCTTCAAACTCTGCAACAAAGCCTCGAACACGATGGAAATTGGCACGGATAGCGTCCCAGTGGTGTCCAGTCAGAGAGGAGATCCCGAAGTTGGCAGGAATCACGGAGCTGATAACGAGGGGATAGTCACCAGATCGGGTTAGGATTGCGGAGGATATGGTCGGAGATACTTTGTGAGCACCAGCGACGTTAGCCCATGCAGATTTTGCGTTGATGGTGTGCGCGCGCCAGGTTCTACAAACCGCTGATACGTTGATGAGGTCTTGGAGTTGTCTGTGTTGGTCCTTCTGGGCCACAGATACCCCGGATAAGGAGAGGATGGCAAGCACATTTTCCATGATGTCAAACGGAATGTCGGACCAGGTCGCCATGATGTCGTTGATGTCAGAAAGAAGATAGAAATAGTATGGAACGCGTTGAGTGCAAAGGTTTGTGCCAGGAGTGACGGAGGAGACTCGCGAGAAGAGAACTGAAGGGTTGGCAACACCTTTATATGTTTCTTGAATCTTGATATGTGGGCCGTCTCACGACCTTGCCACTGCACTAACCGCACGCGCTACACAGACACATAGGCCCTGGTGTCTTATGGTATGCTTGGTCCCTCGTTTCTGGGCTTTCTTGAACCATTATAATCGTCATCCGTCTCCGAGTAGAACTACCATTGTCCATACACTAGCGTTGTTGCCTTGGGCCATTTGCTCGTAGTAAGACCGTTGCGAACTGGAGCCTGCGAAAGAGCTTTCTTCGATTTGCGGCTAGCAACACATTGTCCGGTGAGCTCTGTGAACTCGCGTCAAACACCATTAACAGTGGTAAGCGGGTGGCTTTGGCCCATTGTCCGATTGTATCCCGGATCAGCCAACCATGACTACTTTGGCCAAAGTCCATCCTTTGTCCCTTTGATGGGAACCAAACAAGCAAGCCTTTAAATACGAACGGGAGTCCTTTCCATCCTTTAACCACAGCCCCCTTCTAGAATCCACTTATCGTATACGTGAAGAACAGATACCTTTCCACATCCAATCCAATGTCAAATTACAAGCGCAACTTTGACGTTCTAATCGACTCTCAGGTGAACGATGGCAGGGAGCAGGGATCTCAGCTAGAGCACGATGAGAACCCTCCGAAGAGACTGCGACCTACCGAGGACGAAGGCGACGCTAGCGATGAGTCGACCTTGGAGGTCACAACAAGAGCCAGTCACAGCGTACGCATGTGTTCCAGCGCCCCTGAAATGGTCATGGCCTCTTCCAATAGCGACAACAACATTTCGACACTCTGCCCTGACATCCTTGAACGCATCCTCGGCTACCTGGTAGACGAGGTGGTGTACTCATCCCCCTTTGGACCACTGCCGGATCAACATGACGGTCTCATGCAACTCCTCGCCTTTTCTTCAGTCTGTGCTACATGGAGGAACACCGCGCTCAACTCTGCGGTTGTGTGGGCCAAAGTTGCCGGAAGCTACACCGTCCGTCCGGAGCTCATGAAGCTCATTTTGGAGAGGTCTAAGGAGGCTCCGTTATATATTTCCGCGGATGTTGAACGGATTCGCTTTCATGCAGTTCTCTCGACCGAATCTGAGGTTCAGGGGTTATATGCGAAAGAAATCGCGAACATGCGAGCAATCTTCGCCCATTCTGAGCGACTCAGGGAACTGAGGCTTGCCCTTTCGCCTGTGGAGGACTCAGCGAACGCCCTAAACAACCTCCTCTCTCGACGCATGGACTCTCTGAAGTACTTGTATCTGTCGTTTCCCACACATGATACCGCACTCGTCTTGAACCCGACCAACCTCTTTGATGGTTCGGCTGCGATATCGCTGAAGGAGCTTGCACTCCACAATGTTTCCCTTCCTTCCTGTTATTGGAAACAGAACGCTCTCGCGACCTTGGATTTCCTCTGGCACGTGCCTCAGGTCTTTGACCATGATCCCACAACCAACCTCGCCTGGATGGAACCCCTCAAAGTGCTTTCGTCCTTGAGAACTGTCGTCACGGGTTTCTTCCTCATCGACCCCGATACCACGATAAACGAGGATTACATGGATCGCGTAGAAGAAATCGAACCAGTGTCCTTGATTGGAGTTGAAACACTGGAGATTCACGGTAACTTTCTTGGGGTTGTTGCTGCTCTGGCGCTCGTGGAAATTCCTCCATCATGCACCACGATCGTAAGGACCACCCTTTTAGACATCTGGAGGGTGGAGGAAAGCATTGGAGAAAGGACGTTTGCTCAACTGGATAAGTTGTGGCCTGAAGGTGGTTGCAGTATCGTCACGATTGAAGTCTTGGAAAGCTACTTTGGGCTAACTGCTGTCATCGAGGGGAAAACTGCTTCGCAGCTACTGATCCTGAAAAACAGCCTAGGGGCGGAACAAGAGGAGGGTGTTGAGCAGGATTTAGAGGGTGTCGAACAAGATCCAGAGGATGTCGAACAAAAATGGGCGGCGAAAATTTCGGCAATCCTTGGAGGTCTCTCCAAAGGGCCTCGATTCCGAGAATTGTTCCAACCGAGCACACGAGGTACCGCTACCCTCCGGCTCGCTATCGACTGCGACGTGAACCAGTTCATTGAAGACGCACAACATGAAGATCTGAGAGACTTCTTCAAGCGGATGGAAGGTACATATTTGCAACTATGCACACCAGGGGCCCACGAGTTCGTCATGAACGCTGGCATATCAATTCAACAATGCATCGCTACTGCTGAAATTGGCTCGTCTCCGGCCAACTAAGAGCCCTCACGCAGTCATTAGGGACCATTCCATATCGACCAAGCGCGTCACTCGGCACTGGGGGTTCCGTACAATAGATGACGGACATCCGAATTCTTGTCCCAATTCCACGAAAAATTCGGGCATCGATGCACAGTAGTAGCCGATCTATTCGTAGATTGGAGCATCCGAGTCAGTAGTACTGTAATCTGTTATACATGTTAATCTTATCAACGTTTTCTCCCTTCCACGGTGCATTAGAAAACCACGCGCGGCGCTGGGCCAATCTCCATATGCTCCCGTAGTCCGGCCTCATATTGCTCTGTTTCCCGTTCCACATATTTCGGCATCTCCACGGTCCACCTATGGACTTCGTGTGAGGTGACGTGTTTTCCAAAGACCGAAAACATGAACCACGGTTCGAGTTCAGCGGGGAGTTCTATATGGGTGGGATAATCATAGCGCTCCGGAAAGAGCAGATGCTGGAGGGGCAATAGGCCTGTGGTGATTCCAAATCCGTACGGCGATATCTGACCCTCGGGTAGGTTGGCTGCCGCTATGAGCATGAGAACATAGTCGGATCCCTGGTCCGCGTGGAATTCGAGGCGGTCTATTCGGAAATCAGTGGATCCGGCAGCTGAGGATGGAGTGAATTCCGCGCCCACCGTCCATGATTAGCACTGTGAGTAGTTGCATGGCTAAATCCTGTCCAGTTGCGTTCTCGGAAGTCATGCGATCAATGATCCAAAAAGCGATTGAGCGACGAACTGGGAAAGATCAATATGGGAAAATGAAGTAGTCGGATGGAGAAAATCAGAAACCAACGTACCGACGCGGTCCCTCGACAAATGCGAGAGAAGTTCAATAGTCTGGGACCTCAAATTGTCTACTTCAAGAAGAGCCATAAGCTGCGGTTGACACGGTTTGATCTTTGCGAGAAAGTCGTCTGTGATACCAGCGTCAGCGCTTTCCTCTCCGTGGAATGAAACAATAGTGATAGGGGAGCGGACCTTCGCTGCAAAGCGTTACTAGAAATCCCAGGGCCCGGACGCGTAAGTCGTCGTGAGTGTCTCTGAGGGCCATTTTTATAACATCGGGGATTGTAGATTGGATGAACTGGAGTCCTTCAAGTCCAAAGTCAGTCGACCGAAGCTGTAGACCTAACTGACGGGAATATCTGCCGCGATTCTGAGTTCTGCCGTAAATCAGAACCAATAGCTCCAACGCCGTTGAGCGCGTGTCTGCCCAGTTATGTGCAAGCAGCGGAGTCAAAGTGCTGCAGGTTGAAGGGACAATGTCCTCAGGGAGGAAGGGTACTGAATAATAGGCCTCGCGAATGAGTGTTGTGTACGCCAAGGTGAGAGCGAAGGCGCACTTTTCTTAACGAGGTCCACAGCCACACCCCTCCCTCTTTCAGTCATGGCAGCGATGCTCCCAGTGACAGTGAGGGCGAATTCCCCGAAGGCATCTGTCGGTCAACTCTATATTGAATGGAAGGAGATTACATCGTCGCTTTTACGAACCTTGCAAGCCTAGACGGCCTTGAATCATGGTGGACAGAAGGTTTTCGGCTGTTTCTCTTATTACGGAGCCATCATGCGTCGTTGCTATCTTCAACAGCAATGGCAACAGAGCTTTAATACAGTCTTCGAATGAATCTGCCAAGAGGGTCTATCAACCTCAGTTCCCATCCTAGTATTGTAAGACTTACAATCCTTTTCGAGCGCGCCATAATCCAGTGTGCAGAGTGCTTTCATTCGCACTTCGACATCTGGGTCCTTGAGTAATTCCTCGAATCGTTTGACGAGCAGCGCAACAATTGACTCCTTCTCTTTAGCTGGGGTAAGGACGTGACTGAGCTAGCGACGAGAAGGCGAGAGATCGATTCGCTCACCGTCGCTCGCAATGGTACCCAGCTTGATTGAAGCCTCCTTCCTAATGTCGAGATGTTCATCTTCCGTTGCGATTCTTACCAGCACTGGAATGGCGACATCTTTGAAGTCGCTGACGCGCAGGCTTATCGAGGCGAGAGCGGTCGGCCATACCTCACGAACCTCTCTTGCGGGGTCCTTTGATGTACGTTCCAAGTTCTTAATCAATGCAGATTTTGCCAGAGAATCCGCCAGTTTAACTACAACCATTCAGCTGCTGCACATGAGAGAAAGGAACGTCTGCGACTTCACCAGAGTGATGGGCGAGGTCATTGATGGTGTGGACTGCTGTATGTCGAACAGTGTGAAACTCGTCGAAAAGAGACATTTGGACTAGTGCTAGTAGTCCTTCACTATAGTCGGCTGACCGTGTCGCGTCAATTTTCGTGTCCCATCAGCCGTGAAATTGGAGTCATTCTCACCGTGGATAATGAATCCTTCTAATGCTGTGACCCAGTGTTCTCGCGTCATCGGGCAATTGACCTTCGCCAAAGACTCCAGAGCCTGGGCGGCTTTCACCTGAGTCAGGACGTCTCTACTCTTGCCTTCCGATAAAACGTGAGCACCGGGACAGCCGAACTGGAACATCGGATAGTACATACCTGGATTCCACGCCAGACGACCAAGTGCCCTTGCGCACTCGATACAAACGGTTGATTCTTGGTTTTCGATGGCATAGCTCAGAATATCCAAGAGTAATCGTAGGAACATAGCTGAAAGATTCTCTGTGTTTCAGAGGCGATGGTGTGGGTCTAATGGAAGTGGCTCGTACGGTCCTCTTCGTGTGCCAGCTCTCCAGCTATCTCTGTCGGCACCTCTCGGCTGCCATAACCATCCGAGCCACAGCCTAGATGCGTTCGTATGGCGTTTTCAAGGCACGCCATGGACGATTTGCTCCCTATACCCCTTAAGCATTCCATTTGCTAGATGTTGGAAGAGAACTACTTACCTAGTTGGAGAACGAGCGCTTTTAGGGCTCGGAAGACTTCACCACAAATCTCGGGGTAGTGCATGAGGTCCAGAGCGAGTCTGGATATCTCTTCACATTGATTGATGTCTTGAGGTATTTAGACTTTCCACTGGCAGGCTCAACAACGAAGGTGAGGATACTCACCTCGCACTGAGTCTGCATCTAGGGACCCCGGCCGTCGGACTTGTTCGGTGCTGTGCATTCTCACTCCTTTCCTCGTTACGCGTTGTGCGATTATTGTACATGAAGGTCCCCTGGTATCCGCTGAGTAGTATGAAGTGAGTGAAAGGAGTTTAACAAGCGGCGATGGTCCCTACGATATTCGATTAGCAGTAGCAACACCCTGATCCAACCGACGGCGTGATCCAGCTCTGGATCTGAGATTTCGAGCTTTTCTGGAACCTTTGACAAAATCAAGGATCGCAGGTCCTCTAGTGCGCGATGAGTATATCCGATATCTACGGTCGTATTAGGTATACCTACCTCGTGTTGCTAGTATCCTGAGCGACTCCCTTGCCCCGTTCGTGACCATCATGTTGCTGTCACAGGCCATGATTCCTATGAGGTTATCTATGCGCCCCGAAGCTGTGGCAACATCTAATAGATAGAATGTAATGTAGCCGCCTTCCCCAGACTCAATAACCAGACGCGATAACATACCGTGCAGAGCGAGTTCTCGTAAAATAACCGTTAGTTTGATACTACAGTGCCAGCCAACGGTATTGAAGATACTGTCGAGCTGCTGAGGAAGGGCCGTTTGAATTTGAGGGAGAAATTTAGCTATATATAATTTTAACTTGCCGACATTTCCCTACACAAGAAGCTTGACTACTCACCCTTCTCAACCAAATCAGTGAAAAAATGGATTATAGCACTATTAACTGTTATGCTCGGGTGATTGGAGTTGTAAAGCGCGGAAATTTCGGGAAGGAGCTCCTCAATCAATCCGTCAAACAAGCCTAGTAATTGCGTCAAACTTTATGTGGACACCCTTTGAGAATCCCTCACCGTTATCATTGACGAGAGCTCGAAGGAGTTCTATGGCTCTCTCCTGAGACGGCCATGTAGAGTCCCAGGCTAAAGCGCTCTTAATTTCCTCCCGGAGAAACGCCACAGCGGTAGCAAGTTGTTGGTCATCTAAAGTTTACAATTAGACCCCATCGATTCCCGGAGCTGTGGTTATATCTACCTTGCAGTTGTGTAGAGAGCAGTTGCAGTACAGTCTTCGCGATCACAAGAACATCTTTTTCCGAATCCTTCAAAGCAATTTGAGCAATCTCCAGGAAAGGTCCCTGCATCTGGGTACGGAACATGTCGCCCCACGTGTAGTAATCTGAGCCAATAGAAGTGAATCAAACGCCAGATGAGTATCTGGGGTTCGATAGACAGAGAATGACTGACCACCGGGGTGTCTGCGTAACAAGCAACATTTAATCCCTTCCAAAGTTGCGAGGAGGAATTTGCGGTTCTCCTGTTGTAGTCCCGAGAGGATCTTTTCCTTAACAGCCCACGAAATAACCTCTGATACCGTTTCTGTAGCCATCATTAGTGGAGTGGCTATCTGTAATGGAGAACTCCCGCACCTGGTCCATCATCAAGCAGTGATAGTAGCATGTGTTCCGCCTGACCGGCCCAGGGGTCGGCCCCGTAGAAGAAGATTTCCACCAGCAGTGGGGCTATGGATCGCATTGCTGTATCTCTTACAGAGACTGGGGAAGAGTAAATTCGTAAGGGCTTGCTTTCAGAGCGGGGGACGGTGAATATTGAACCGACCATCAAGCAAGAATAGTTGAATAAGTTCTAGACAATGTCCTGGTCTTGCTCTGTCAATCCGTGAGAGCGTCGCATCCAGCATTTTTTGACGTATATCTGCTTTGTTGTCAGTTCAAAGTTCTGGAGCCACGACTGAACGCCATTGAATTACCTTCCAACCCCAGTCCAAGAACCGCCAACTGGGCAGACCTTGCTACCACTTCGTCGGGATCTCTGGTCGCCATCTCTGCCATTGAGTCAATGATTGCGTCTCCAATGGGGTACTCTTCAGCGGCTGAAAACGGTTCTTAGTCGATCCTGTCAACAGAGAAGGAGGCAAGGCCCGGGAAACTCACGGCGATGAAGGGCTAGAGCTGTTACTATATAAACTCCATAACTTCGAAGTTTTGCTTCTGGGTGGCGAAGACAGGCGAGTAGACTACTGGGCAGATTACTTGATGCGTCAGAAGGACGGTCAAAGTATGGTTCATATCGGATATGTGAAGAAAAAAGGTGGTTCAACCCGATAGCTACCCTTCGATTTCAGCGACCCTTCGACAACTGTCAACCGACGCAAAGTTACGCACCAACTTCCTTAAATAAGCAAAGAAGAAATATACGGCATAAACGCTTGGCCTCTCGTTCACTATGCTGCATCTCGCCGCTCCATTCACTTTGCAGCCCAGTCCTTGCAGCTGTGAGAATAAGATCAGTGTCGGTATGCGTGTTTGGGCTCAGGCAGTGAGAAACGCACCGTTGGCAAGACAAAGCCCGATCGAAAAAGCGCTAACCTTGCGCAAAATCGGCGCGCCTTGTACCAGTCCTCGACATGCCGCCAAGAAAAAGATATGTCGGTGTCTTGGCTGCATATACAGCACAGTCTTTCTCCACGGTTGTTCGAAAAGTTCACTTTCTTGGAAGTCCCGCTCGAACATCGCCAAGAGGGGAGCTCGAACGCTAAAGGCTAGGGCACGGACAGGTTCGGGGAAGAAGGTCCATTGGCCAAGTGGTTGGCCGCGTCTCAGTGAGTTGTATAAAACGTTTTTGAGGTTCTCGTTGCCGTGGGACTCGGCGTAGTCAGCGAATTTCGCAAGAGCGACCAAATGGTCGGAGATAATGTCGTTGCGTCGGTGAAGGTCCGCGTGCTCTGGTAGCATACATTCCTGCAGACGGCGAAGGATGACTTTGGGTGCTGCAACCTCGTCTGCCTCGGCAAAGAACTGTATCCGCTCGTCTTTGAGTGACTTACGGTTAAGCTCCTTCACGGCTTCATCGACGAAATCCGATTTGGGGGACTTGATTAGGCGCCTTAGCCAAATCTTTGCAAGGGTGCTCGCAACGTGCCTGGCATCGAAGTCATAGTGTGGAGCGTGCGGCGAGTCCTTCGAGGTCAATTGGCGCCATAAGTTCCGAATGCCGAGAAGGATGTCGGACAGGGGTGTTTGGAAAGGACAAGAATCCGGGGAGAAGAACAGAGGAAGAGCGCTGATCACGAGATAAACAATGATCGAGACAGAAACTGCACCCAGAACGACGATTCCTAGTGACCTATGGTCTTCCAGCACTTGAAGGCCTACACCAGCCGCAAACAAGAAGAACGCGAGCTGGACCAAGAGCGGAATGAATGTAATAACTTTCCGAAGCCTCCACCTCTCCGACCTCTGGTCTAACATCCAGCGTTTATAGGCTTCCGTCGCCTCTTGTCGGGTGTTAATGGGGCTGAACCGAATGAGCCAAGACCGTGCAAGGACCCCCACAATTGCGCCGAAGAGGGTGGTGAGGAGGCTGGTAAACCACAAGCCGTTGACCCAAACGTCTATGGCCTTTGGCTCGTACGATTCAAGTGGCGGAGGTTCGTTTCGAAGGGCGTTTCGAATCTCCATCAACAGAAACTCCTGATCTTCCAGACGGAGCTTCTTGCGCGACTCTACCAGGAAAGATGCGACCACGCCAGCAAACAGACCAGCCTAGGGAGGGGCTCAGCTATTTCCAAACTGAAGCACCGAGTCACTTACGAATAAGAGCAATGATTCAAGGCCCGTCTTCCATAGTTCAACCTGTTCCTTGGCTTCTTCGCCTGCCTCCTTGAGATACAACCCCCATATGCGGGCGTCTCTTCGAAACTCCTCGTCGTCGACTGTTTAGGGTGTAAATTGAGCACATGATTCAAAAACATTGGGCGTACCGGGCGGCAACGGTCGCTTTCGATCTTCATCACCACGTCTAGGGCCTTCCTCTTTTCCCTTCTCCGCACCATCGCTATCCTGTGCAAACTAAACGCGTATTCAGTCTCAGGGCTCTGGCTGTACGTCGGCAGACTTAGGAACCTGACCTTATCTGTGACGTCGCTCTTGTTCATGCGGGTTGAGGGAGGGGACGACATGCGCGCTCAGACAGTTATCGACGGCGCATGGAGTATATTTTGAAGTGGGAAAGCGCATCTTCAATTTGTTTCTTACGGCTGATGGACAGATAATCAGTCAATGAACTGTCGTTTCTTCGAACAGAAGCAGTATGTAGTGGCCGACAGATGGGCAGTGGAAGCTGTTGCAAAGAAGTACCTCGTAGATATCTCTCACGTGTGTTATCCAGAGCCCACAATGGACCCACAGAGAGGTGTCCAAATGCGCACTTCGTTTCACTCGATATGACTATAAGTAGCGTAAGACTAGCGATATTTCGCCGACTGCTCAGCTGAGGATGCCACCTTGGGAGGTAACAGCCTCAGTGATTTTTGCGACCCGTACCCACATTGTGACTCGTTTCGAGCCTTCCTATCTCATATGTTATACAGAACAGGACTTCAGAGCTGGTTTACGATCCAGTACTGTCAAAACTCGAACTTCAGTTGAATACTCGAAGTCAGTCCGTGGGGACTAGCCTTCTGGGAACCTAATTATCCTGGGCGCTAAATAGAAAGTCGATTCTCTTTCCGGGCCGGGTTTACGCGGACTCGCAGAAGCGGCCGCGCACGAGGAAGCAACATAGGCGCCTATGTTCAAGACGCATTACCCCAAAGGTTATCTTCAACTTCACGATTAACTATATATACAAAGATCGTAGACATACGGTACAAATTCCAGTTTACATCCATTAGGATAGTACAGAAGAGATGATGGTGCCAAGGATCAGAAAGCGAGTCCGTATATCTCTTAGTCTGTTCGCTTTATCAGATCATGAGATAGGTCAAAATCGCCAATGCACTGCTGGCCACAAGGTCAACGCCTGTTCTCGAAACACCGCTACCATCTGTGTCGTTTGGATCATCGTCGGATCCAGATCCACTTCCCCCTCCTTCTCCATCGCCTGATCCATCAGAGCCAGTGTCCGAAGGGACTGCTCCAGCGGGGGGAACGAGAACCTACAGTCAAAGAGTCGGTATACTGCCCACTGATTCATGAAGAAGAGGACTTACCCCGCTCAAAACGTGAGCCACTCCGTTGGTCATGATGACATTCGCTTGCTCGACGGCCACATCGTTGATATAGAGGTTGCCATCCCGCTTCGAAACCGTTACAGGAACTCCGAGAAGAGTTTGATACTCCTGCCCGTCCTCGAAGGCGGTCGAGTACCCAACGTCACCGACGATGCTGTGGTACTTGAGCGCATCCTCAATTTCCTTGGTGGAGAGTTGAGTGAGATCGATACCGGCGGCGGCGAAGGCCTCGTCGGTTGGTGCGAAGCAAGTGAACTTGGGCGTGGTGTCGACCACGGTTGTGAGATTCGTGGTTTCAAGAGCGGCTTGAAGAGTGGAGAGCGAAGCGACTTCCGCGGTATCCGTGCACGTTCGCGGGAAGTTGAGGACGCTGTTGGGATAGATTAGACAAGGTTGAAACTAAAAGTCGCACACCGAGACGGCTATCGAATAGGGAACGCTCGAGGAAGTACGGGAGGAAAAACTCACTTGTCGATAATGTGCAGGATCCCACCGCCCTCGATCTCCAAATCAGGGACCGAAACGGCTGCTGGTTCACCGACACCGGAGAAGATACTCAAGCGACCTCGCTCAACCAACTGCCCGGTACTTCCAAAGGCACTGGCGAACACGACATTGGGCGTTCCTTCCAGATTGGCCAACTGCTCGTCCAAGAGGCTGGTCTCGACCACCACGCCACCTGGAATTCCGAGGTCGTCGGACCGCAGTGAGAGAGGGAGGATGTGGTAGGAGAGGAGGTCGTTGACGATGTCTTCGGAGAGCGCGTCGACAGCTGGGGATCCGCCTGCTTCGCGAATGAGGAAGTCTCTTATAGCGTCGTTGGTGGGGGCGAAGACGGTTCCTCCTGCCGCGGTGAGGTTCCCAACTAGGGCGGGGAAGCGGCGAACAATCTCTCCGAATACCGAGAGCTCATCACGGGAATCGATGAGAGCCGGAAGGGTGTGGGCCCATGCAGAAGCTAAGAGGCCGCAGAAAGCGTAGAGGAGGAAGAGAGAGGCGTTACGACGCAGATCCATCGTTGAAAAAGTGGGCGGGGAGGAGAGAGGATGGAGTGCTGAGCGACAAGTGAAGAAACCACGAGAGCTCCGATATGAATGAGTCCCCCTGGATGGTCTTTATTCGTTTTGAACGGGCGTCAAGACTGCCTTGACCCTGACCCTGCATCGATCCCGTCAGTTTGACAGATGAAAGTGGCAAATGAATTGAGTGTGCCTCACCTTCCTGGAAACTGTCCTAATGCCGTCCATTGCGGGCGTTCTTTTCCTAAAATCGAAGATGTTCTGGGCAATTTCGCTTCCGATTGGAAGCCCTAAGCTGGGTTGAAACCAGGAGGAACTTCGGTCCTTGAAAACAGGCAGCGATAGAGCCAAGGGTAGAGTGGGGATGGGATGGGATACACGTTCTCGAGGACGAGACGCAAGCCACAGCTCGGCTACTGATATTCGGGAGTTTTACCAACCGCAGGGCAGATAGTGGCGAGGCATAAAGATCGAGCATCGAGAATGCCGTAGTCGTCGGTGCTCATCTGACGCTGGGACGAGCGCCAATTACTTGCCTAGGCCAGCGTGCCTGGACATAATAGGGATATACGTGACGACATTCATTCAATCCATATGTCACCTACAGCCCGCAGCTTGAAGATTCGGGTTTCTGTACAGGCCCAGAGTGGGCGGATGGGCTCGTGCATGCCATGCGCCCAAAATGTACCCATTGTGAGTAACCCGGTATGTTCTTGGCAGACCAGGTAGAATTCACTGGATCTGCCAGGGTCATGATCAAACGTCATTCACAGAATCTGAAGGAGAACCTCAGGACTTACCTCAATTGTTCGCCCACAACCGCACCCATGCAGCGTGTTCTCGATCACCTGGACCAGCAGCGACACGTCTTGGTCAAAGAAGATATGTAACTCGAACGGACTTCTGTAATTTGAGAAATACTTCAACGCTCAAAGGCTTTTACTCGGGAGTGGCTGCAACGAGAAACGAACTCCGGGATGGCCGCGTTGAACGCAAGAGGAAGAGGCAAGCGCTCAAGGTGGCCGCTGGCGACCGGTGGGATCCCGAAAATTTCCGGTCGGAGATTCAACCCGATGTTCCGGCGACAACTTGAATAATGACGGGCGCCAATCCGAGGGCGCTTGGAATCGAGCCCGGAGGCTGCAGCATAAGGCCAGCCTAGTTATTGCATCATCGAATAGATTTGTATACTGTCATCTCTACGTGGACTAGTCAAGATCTGCACGTATCAGTATCATGAAGTCATCCTGTAATCGACTGGCCACATTTGTGAGCAGCACTGCGAATGGACTCTCGATCGAACGCCGTCACCAACGACATTAGGAGACCTCAGGAACGCGATAAATGCTGGAACGCGTCTGAGGATATCCTCTACACTCGCACTCGCCATTCCAATTTCTCAAGGCCCACTCCTCCGAATCCATCATGAAACTTAGCGTCGCCTCCACCGCTTTGGCCATCGGCCTCGCAGCTCTCACCACCCTGAAGCAATTTCGCTCTGCGTCTGCTGCGCTGATCCCCAACGCCGATACGCCCGTCTTCTACCTGGTGGCTACTGATCCATACACGGAGAACGATACCTTCATGGTGAGCTCACATATGAATCTACGATTCAGCAGAGCTGACCAGTCCCTTGTTCCCCATTAGCCATTACGTCTGTTCGGGTGGACGAATCAATCTACCCTCACGGGTATTGGCCCTATCGCGAAGCTTTACTTTATCAACGACACGCTCGTTGCTGAAGACCCTGTCAATGGAGCCGCATCCCCCTACCTTTACCGACCCTACGTCGATTTTAGCGTCAAACCAGGTATGCAGGAATCTTTCTTGTACCCCCCTTTGGCGGAAAGGTCCTAAAGCCCTTAAACGCATCATAGGTCGTGACGATAACGGTGACTACGACGCATCCCAGGACGACGACGACTGCTCTGCTTCTTCCGGGCCCCTCATCTTCATCCAAGAGAACCGTCCAGACGGAACAACTCTCGACTCTCCCCCCTGTGCCGCCTTCGGAACCTTCTTCCTCTTCTCGGACAGGATGGACGCGCAGTTGGGCGCCAAGTTGCAGCTGAACAACAACTTGACGAGCTTCTACAGTTGTGGAAAGGACAGAGATGTAAGTGGATTTGTTTGGTTTGAGTACGTTGTTCTTGAGTTCAATGCTTACGGTGATATGCGTAGATTTATTACAAGATGGACGTCTCTGACGAACCCGTTGATTGTACTGTACCTGTTCAGCTTTACACCCTTCCAGTCGTTTAGGTGCTTTGTTCATACCGAGATTACCCCTGCCTCAGTTATACCCCGGCTATACCCTTCCTTTAACGGAATATTTTCTGCCTGAGCGCACCTTTAAGCGCGCCAACATACCTCGGATTACCTATACCACACGTAAAGTAGACAATAGTAGTTTTCGAGCAATATTATCTAGTTAGACAGTTCAGTGGACCTCGATCTTCATCTACAAGGACTTGGAGGAGAACCTCTAATCACCTCGGAAGCTAGTAGTTACGGCTTGCCGACGTGAAGACAGAGGTGCTGAATTCCATTCGACGACTCTCTACCTGACTCCGGGGATCTGATGACGAAGGTCAACTCTCACACTCATGGCTACTGAGGCGAGATGAACATGAATTATATTACACTGGTTCGGGCTCAGAAAGCTCATCTCGAGCTCAAACCGTCTCATTCAAGAAGAACTCTGAGTGGATTGATCAATCATTAATCGGACTTTAACCTCTTCCTCTCGTGGACCCACTGCCACTGGACCTGCACTCATTATCATCGGAAGCTCAACGAGTCTGTGCGGCCGTATTGGCGTTCCCAGGGGGCTGGACTCTCCCTCCTCCGATGCCGACGTCTGAAAGTTTAACGTGGTAAGTTTAGAAGTCATGTCTGACCTCCGTTCTTGGCGGTTACACCTCGTCATTAAGAGGTTGAACGTAATCCCCTGTAACATCATGATAAAAGACGATTTTGCGAGCTACCATTAAGTAAAAGTTATTTAGAGACCAGTTGGATCGGCTACGTACCGTGATTTGCACAATCTACTCGAGCGTCGCCCAAGTTTCTCAATCAGCTCTCTCGCATAATCACAATATATGAATCAGTGAGGAACGAGAAAACTCACAACACCTTGCACCGTAACCGTCTCCCCGGTCCTCGCGAAAACGGAAATGAACACCAAGACTGAGACAGTGTAGAGGACCGCAGACTCTACGAGCACCGCTAGTATTCTCGATAAAAGAGGGGTAGTAGACGACTGGACTCCGCAGTCCTGTACCCTTGTCCGGACGCGCCAGAGTCGGGCGACGAGTAAGTATTAAAACTCGCCAACAATTTGACCTTCACATGCCACTGCCACCCACCTGTGTACCCAAACCATAAAGATAAGAGGGAAAGCAACAACTTTCCACCTTTTCTCAAAGATCATCCATAGCCGATAGAGCTACTCAGAGTTAGTCAGCACATAAACCAATCCAGTTCCGTACAAGCGAAAGATAAGGAATATTAGAATATTAGTAGTAGTACTATAGTAGTAGTACGCACAAGGATGCTATCCCCAATCCAAATCTGAATATCCGTAAACACTGAGATGACATAGGTCGCCCAGTCGAACACTAATGTCCGTGAAGTGAGAAGTTGCAGACAGGTCCGAAGCGACGCAGCAAGGTCCATCGAGCCAATGGTGCACATCACCAAGGCTGCGAGTATCATCTTGGCGTTCAGCTCTGCCAGTGCCTTCCGTGTGATGCCGCCGACACCTTCCCTAGTAGTAGTAGAGCGACTCGCCGATCCGAAGAGGGGGACGATGAGGAGACTGTGGAGGCATGCGAAGAACGCGATGATGTGGAATCCTGGAGGAGGGTACGTAGTACGTCCCGTGGTCGTTCCGATCATTATCGTGAAAAGTAGATGTTTGCATACCGTATAAACCAGCCTCGACCACGAGCGCGACGAGGAAACGTTGTCTAAGGGTGAACGTTTCTCGGGGCGGACAGGATGCGATTTCTTCAGAATCGGACATGGTGCCGAGGCCGAGGTGAGGGTAGGGATGGTAGAGCGCAGACGAGGGAAAGGCGAGCAACTTCCAGTTAGAAAAGGCTGCTACATATATAAATTGGCTGTTGAAACTAGAGTCATATCATATCTCACCCGCCCTAATCACGACCGAAGCTGTACAATGTACCGTAATCCTCGCTAAACCATCGCCTTTCGAGCCGCGTTGCGGCCTCTTCGGCCATTTCTATTCTCCAGTTATCAGCCTAATACTGGCTGTATGCATGCGATTGATACTGTCTCTCTAGTCATAGAGTTGTAGTCGTGTCAGAAATTCTGACGGTGGCTGCACAAACCACTGGTAGACGATGTTCGAAGGGTACATCATGGTCGTTGTGATCGAAGGAACATTCGAACCGTGACATATACCTGTTTACGTTCAATGTTCAACTTCAGCGAAACAAATGATGTCTGACATAGCCTTTCTAAAGATGCAGGCTAGCATTGTGTGAGGAGCAACAACTTTAGACGCCCAATCAAAGTTTATCCTCCTCGTCCCCTTTAGGAGCTACGACGAAACTGCTGTATCAGAATGCGCGGAGACCGTCGCATCTCGAGTCATAGTATCACGAACGCTTTCCCGAGTTGAAGGAAAAAGTGGGCAATGTTACTGTAGCTGTGCCTTGAGGCGGAACTGTGGTAACTCGTCCCCTGTGGTCCCTCGTCCCCTAGCCCGTCTATTGTCTTGCTTTTCAGAACTTTGTCTAGCCCAAAGTCACTGCCAAGCTCCGAGTTCAACCTCGTATTCAGGTGCTATCTCAACTCTTGACTGGCAAAATTACATCACCAATGAATATCGGAACTCATCGCCAAACCTCTGCCACCATCCTTAGCACGCCGAGCTAGGGTTTTGAACTAGTTTCAGGACCCAAGTTCGAAAACGGAGGAGAGGAGCACTGCAACTGAGTCTAAACCGCGCTCTCATTCCGGATTTTAGCTTTAGCTGATAATGTTGGTGTTTGCCCATCCAGCCTTATACGACATCTTTCGATAAGGCTAAAAACCAAGTCTCGGAGACTTCTGCCAGCGTCTAGCCTAGACCATTGTTGGTGCCACTGTCAAAGTTCTGCATCGACGACTCTACGAGAAGAATCTGAATAGGACTCGAAGTGGTTGAACGTTACATTCGGAACTCGAACGAGCAGAAACATGCCAGTATGGTTGAGTAGCGACACCACATTCACAACGAGTCACAGTCAGTATGTAGGGCAGGAGGAATAGGTTGTTGTTGCCAGAGAAGGTTGTCGTGGCTGTTGTTATAGTTGATGGGAGTCACGGTGGTAGCAGTTGGATGAGCCGGTTGCACTGGCAGGACCAGTCGCAGGTGGGTGAACCAGTAGGAGCCCGATAAGTAGGACACCGTCTCGAGATTCGAGGGAAAGACCAGGTTTCCGCCCGCGCTGTGCAGTATCGGACCATCTCGAACGTGAAAAATCTGAGATATCATGTAAACAGGATGGTTGGAGTCTCTCATAGGTTAATCTTTAGCAATGAACGACATACTATGGAGTAGGAGCATCCGATACGTTGCGGAAGGGGCGACTAGAGAGGGCGTACATCGTATTAGACGGGCAGATGAGAGGGGAATGTTTAGCAGTTGAGAGGATGAAAGCTCGGAGAAGCCATTTATTTTAAAAGCCTACGGGTCCGTAGAGCAAAACCAAGAGGACAGCAGAGTGCGCGCCAGCCCCCAAGAGTGACGTGTACAGTGGAGCCTAAAAGGCAAAGGCTGAGGTGTGCGTGAGGTGCCAGGGCCCAGCAGATGGTCGATCGATGAGCCTGGATGTAGAGTATACTGCCAGAAGGATCTTTGGGCGAGAGCGAGTGTCGTGGATGGGCGAGAACAAGCGTTTTGGATGGGCGAAAGGAAATGGCGTGGATGAGCGGAAACAGGTTGGAGAGTACGACCAAGGAATCGACGATGGGAATCAGGATGGTGTTCGAGGTGGACATGTTCTCAGTATTGGTCGTCGTGTCATATCAGTCTATCAGTCGTCGTGCCGTATCGGTCATCGACCATCAACTTGAAGCTTGAAGCTTGAAGAACGGGTGGCCTTGGAGCTTGGAGTCTTGCAGCGTGTAACTCTGAGTTTCTCGTCGAGTACCAGACAGGGATGTATGTATGCACTTGGACGTCGAGAAACCACACGAAGACCTTGCGAAGACCCGGGCCCGAGTACACAACTGCAGCCGCGATCACTGCCCTGTGACACAGCCGCCAGGCCATCATGATTTCAGGTGATTTCCGTGATGTCAACTTCCTGATAAGGAGTGAGTTCCCTGATGGAGGACGTCTTGCCTCCCGCGCACAGACCACTCCACCCATTTCCCCATTCGCACGACCTGTCAACCGCCCCTGGAATTTTCCCGTGTGAAGGTTTGTGATTCAGTGAAGCTCCGAAGAGGTTGCCGTTGTTGTTGTGTTGTTGTCGTCGTTTGAATCACGCACAATTCATCACAGGTCGCTGTTGTTGCTGTTGCTGCCGTTTCGTTTGGTTGCTACGCACTTCTGACGGTTCGCTCACCTCACCACCCCCTTTCGTTTTTTTCCCCACTTTCGTTTTGCACACACATCACTCCTTCACTTTCCCCCACTCCTTCACGACCGCCTCATCGTTCCCTTCCCTTCCTTCTCCCTTCCCTTACACTCTTTTTCCGCCCCTAGAAGAAGAAGAAGAAGACAGGTTTAGGAGGGACATTTGTAGACGAAGAAGACGGACGATACGACGAGAAGAAGAATTTGAAGGACTAGGAAGGACGCTCGACTGTCGAACCACTCTTGGATTTTTCGGCGTCAGCACCTGTGCACCGACAACCAACACCGACACTTACGCTCACTTGATTAACCGTCTTTGCCCGCTCAACAACGCGGACTACGTTCTTTTTTAGTATTTATCAATCAAACCGACTCGAATCGACACTCGACTTTCGACCCCTCGAACGTCCGACTCGACTCAACCACTCACAGCAACTCAAATCATTTCGAGAAACCCTATTTGTACAAGTAAAACCAAACGATAAAAAATGGGCCGCACACATATTACGCAAAAAAACAGGCACAGCGGTGCTGCTAGGAAGAGCAAGAGTAGGAGGGAGGCGGCGGCGGACTCGGGTGTGCATGTGGAGGCTGAGCGGGTGTTGTTGGAGAAGAGGAAAGATGATGATGGCGAGGCCATTCCTGATAGTGCGTCCTTTTCTGTTTTCTAAGGGGGGCGCTGCTGACGAGTGCTGCTCGTCGTCGCTCGTTATTCGTGGCTTCTATTATCGCCGCCCGTCGTTACCATGCTCGCTCGCCGCCGTCTACGTGTCCACCCGCTCTGTACCCGTACTTGATGCCTTCCCCTCGGCATTCTACGGATGAACAACAGCCTGCTACACCGGCGGGTTCTACGTCGCCCCCCAAATCGGAGAAACCATCGACGCCCTCGCGCCTCTCAACGTGACCTGGAACCCCTCCTGCCTCTCCACCAAGCTCATCGACATCTACCTCTACGCGCCCGGCAACGCCAACCCGCGGATCCACTACTGGCAAAAGATTCCCTTCAGCAAGGGCTCCTTCGAGCTCGAGCTCCTCCCGCGCTGGTGGAACGCCAAAACCGAGCAGAATCTCCAGCTGAACATCGTCCCGCACGGCCAGCCGGTGTTCATGAGCGAGTTGCCTGCGGGGCCGATCTTCAAGGCTACGTTCACCCCGCCCAAGGAGGGGGAGGAAGTCCCCGCTGCTCTGGACACCAACATGATCAACGTCGAGACGACGATCGTTGGTGGTGACGAGAAGGGTATGAACCCGGGCAAGACCGCCGCGGCCGTCCTCGTACCCCTGATCCTCCTCGCCCTCGCCATCCTCGCGTTCTTCAAGTGGAAGCGCTCGCGAGGGCTGGAGAAGCGCAAGACCTGGGCGGAAGCGGTCGACAAGCGCATGTCGACCATCTCGACCGACTGGAAGAGCGTCTCCGCCGCCGGCGCGCAGGCTGCCATCCGCAACTCGATGGCGGTCAACGGCACCGGTCGCTCGTCGTTCTCGTTTGGGAATATTAGGCCGAGCAGCCAGTTTGAGAGGGATGCGGCGTGGGATGAGAAGGGTGGGGAGTATGGTGGGGTGGATAATTCGCAGAGGAGGCCTGGTGTGGGCTTGAGGAATCCGTCGGGATTGGGTATGGGCGAGCGCGCGTCGACTGCTACCCGCGTATCCCGCGTCTCCTTCGCCAACGATCCCCGGCCTTCGTCTGAATCACGACGCACCAAGACGTTCCGCGACTCCTACGTACCCCCTGTCCCCGTTCTGCCGGTTAACACCTCCAACCCTTATCGAAGGCCGAGCCAGGACGAGGAGAGTGAGGGCGGGACGGCGGGTACGATGTCGCCTACGCAGACTGTGGGCGCGATGACGCTTACGCCTGAGGATATCCGTGCGAGGATTGCTGCTGGTCGGGCGCGTGCGGAGAGTAATGCGGCGTCTTCGACGCGCAAGACGAGCTTTGAGAGGGATGTGACGGATCAGGATGGGGAGGTTTTGCCTGCTCTTAAGAGTGCGTGTTGCCTCTCTTCTTTTCATTATTATGTATTCTTGGATACTAACCACGGGATATTGGATTTTTTTTTTTTTTTTTTTTTTTTTGTAGTGATGCGCACGAATGACACCCACGACGACTACCTCCTCGCTCAGCAACCCGCTCCTCCCGCCCCAGCCTACCCTAAACCCGTCACCTCTCACTCTACATCGGATTCAACTTCCACACCTATGTCCCCAACCCTTGCTGCTCAACCGATGTCCCCTGTGATGCAGTCGATGCCGATGCCGATGCAGCCCGCGACTGTGATGTCGCCCGACGATATGTTGAGGGCGTATGCGGAGAGGAAGAAGAGTATGGGGTCTGCTATTACACCTGGTTCTATCGGTGTTGGGCCTGTCGGGTCTACGATGGGCGTTGGTTCGACTATGGGTCTCAATAACACAGGTGCAGGGGTAGGAGGCGGCATTTCGTATCCCCAGCCAGCAGCCAACACGTCCGGTGGAAGGACGCTTTTCAACGGGAACGCGTTGAGTCCGAATAATACTGGTGGAAGTGGCAAGGAGCCTAGTTTGGGCTTTGCGCCTGGGGAGTATGATGCTAATTTTAGTTTTGGAGGGCAGGCGAGTGGAGGGTATGCGGTTGGAGATGCTGAGGAGGATGTGACGAGTGGGAATGCTGCTGGGAGGGGTGCGTATGGTGCGGCGCGGTGAGGGGCTAGCGACGCTCGACCTGGTTGGCAAGACGAGACCTTGACCGGTTAGCGGCACTCGACCTGGTTGGCGACACTTGACCCGTTAGTAACGTTCAACGCTTGACCTGGTTAGTGTTGGCCCTGCTCTATGAGCTGTGCATTGTACCATGATACCTCCCTCCGTGTCCTTTTCCTTGCGTTCGTTTTTCTTCCCCTTTTGATGTCGTTTCCTCCCCTCTTCGACGACGTTACCTTTTTCCCCTTTTGATATTGCTTCCTATCGACGTTGTTACTTTTTCCCCTTTTGACGTTGCCCCCCCCCTCACTTTGACAAATGCCCGTCTCCCTTCCGACGTTACCCCCCCCCCCTCACTTTGACAAATGCCCGTCTCACCCTTCGATGGCGGCGGCGAACCCCATTGCCAGCTCCGTTCATGGCGTCGTTATTAATTCCCCCTTGTGCTTTTGGCCTGTCCTCCCCCTCGTGTGATTAGTTCCTTTTTTTTGTACTATTTGCATACCCTCTCTCCTCTCTCTATCTCTATCTCCCCTGCCTGTGCGTATTTTTTTCTTTTGTGTAATATCCCTTTTACCTCTTTTGTGGCTCGTTTCTTTTTCTTTTTTTTTTCCTTTTTTGGTTTTGATGTTTCTTGGTGTTGGTGTTGGGTTTCGATCCAGAGTTTTGATGCTGGACGGTGTCGATTCTTGATTCCGAGTTGGCTGGCGCCTTTGTCGATTCTGGATTACTTACTTGCGAGTTGATGCTGGGCGGTGTCGATTCTGGATTACTTGCGAGTTGATGCTGGACAGTGTTGACTTGGGGGTCTCGAGTTGATGCCTGGACCTGGCGTTGACTTGAGGAAACCTTTACACCGCTTGTCCGAACACCGACGTTGAATTCTTTTTTTTTTTTTTTGGCTGCTTGATGCGCATCTCAACACTTTTTTTTTATCTTTATTATTTCTTTTATATACCTTTTTTTTATGACCCCCTTTTTTTCTTCCGTACGCGTACGACTGAGTGCTCCTCCTCTTCATACCACCGATTGTTCCTTTCGTACTCGGACCGGTTGTTTCTTTCTATATATCCCCTTGATTCACCCTTCATGTTTTCTATGTCCTTATATATCTCTGTGTCGTGTGTACCCACTTGTATACATACCACCTTCCGGTTTTGACTTTCTTTTGTTTGGTGTTGTCTGAGTCTGAGGTTCTTGACGGTGGATTGGACGTTGGACCAAGTTGGTGAAGGCCGCCCATCGAGTGAAATTGTATGACCTGACGAGAAAGGCCGTCGGCTCTGCATTACATATGTCTGTCCATGGTGAATCCCCGCGGAGAAGGAATACTTGGTGTATCGGTGCGGGGGGAGAAGACGTGTTCATGGCGTCACTGAGGGTACCTCGAGAGTCATGGTCGAGGCTCGAGTCTTTGGTGAGAGTGGGTTATTGTACGTGGGGGTACGCAAGGTAGGCTGAAGTCTTTTTGCAAGGTAAGAGATAACGTAGGCTGGCGGACGGGGTACTACATTAGATTCCTCGGAGGAGGCGGGACTCGGGGGTCATACATGGTTCAGATCAGTAACTTCAGTTCAGGTCAGACGACTGGATTTATTAGCCTGAGGTCACTGTACTTAGTAGAGAGGATTCGAGTTTCTGATCGCGGCTCCCCACCAGTGATCGGCTGGAGGCCACGTCTGGCAGAGGGGTCAACGGGAGAGGACCCCAATATATCGAGGGAGGTATCGTGGGCGATGACAATTTTAGTGGAGTGGGATTGGAAAAGAAAGTGGGATGGCGAGCAAAAGAGTGGGATTGGGACAAAAGAGTGGGATCACGCCATCATCCCACTCTTTTGCTCGCGCCTCCTCTCGCTCGATAGCCCCGCCGCCCGAAGGGCGGCTGTTAGAGTTGGGGTTAGTCGCTGCGCGTAGCGCAGCCGTTAGGGTAGGGGTTTGGGTTAGAGTGTGGTTTAGGGTTGGGCTTTAGTGTTGGGGTTAGTGGTTAGAGGTTGGGGAGGGGGATATATTGTATTTGGCGCCTCTGGCGCGTCTTCATTTCGTCTTCATACACTGAGTTTGAAGGGAGCCGCAGCTGATATCAATCCCACTCTTTTGCGGCAACATCCCACTCTTTTGTGTAATCCTACTAATATTGCTAATCCCACTCCACTACGATAGTATATACTCATCGTGGGCGAAGCCGAGTTCTCGCGGAATGAATACAAATTGTTTAATTAGTTAGGCGGGAGCGGAGATCACTTCTTGATGCGAAGAAACAATCCACTTTGAACAAGAGATTCCCCCGAGAACGCGAACGTTGTGTTGTTGTTGAATGAGACATTTCTCGTGCGTGACGATGTGTCGTCGTCCACCCGGCAGTGGAGAGAGCATTGAGATCACGAGAAAAGAGCACGATACTAGATACTTAGAAGAAGGTCATCATAGGTAATCCAGCGACATTACAGACATCAATAACATAACATTCTCTATACTTTGGCCTACAAAGCCGCAAGGAGGAGCGGTGCAACAAGCATGGCGGCGGTCGCCAGGACAGTCTTGCCAGCACCCCTGCTCACAGCGCTGCCTTTGCTATCCTTCCCCTCCTCCCCATCTTCCTCGTCCTCCTCCTCATCATCTCCGTCCTCATCCTTGCCAGCGGAGTCTTCGTCTTTACCCCCTCGAGGAGCCATCCGAGCGGTAAAAACAGGCCCAGCGGGGAGCTCGCTCTCCGAAACGGGCTGCCCATGCGCAACGATATTAAGCTGCAACTCCTGCTCCTGCTCCTCCCCCCACCACGTCGCGTCCAAATCAAAGTTTTGCGGACCGAGTGCGAGGGGGAAGTCGCTCCATACGTGGACGAGGGGCTCGTCGGTGTCGTTGTTACCTGATTCGGTGTCGCCGGTGCCGCTACCCGTGAAGCCGGGCGCGAAGAGGTAGATGTCGACGGCGGAGGTGGTGGAGGCGTCGAAGCAGGCGGGGTTCCAGGTGATGTTGAGGGGTTGGCGGGGGTTGATGATTTGCCCGGCTTGAGGGGAGAGGTAGAGGCCTCCTGTGATGCAGACTATATATGGAGACGATGTGAAGGAGGTAGTTTCGAGGAGAGCGGGATGGGGTAACGAGGAGATTATTGTCAGTCACGGTGGAGTGTCCGAGGAAACGTTTCGTTAGCGCTCGACGAACGTAAACATGAACTAAGAATAACTACGTACCAGCAGGGATGACGAATGAATTAGACATCTTCGTAAGACCGGATGGACGAAGGAACTATGAACGTGAAGATGGTGTTTCGTAGAGCGGTTCGTCGGGGATTTTCCAACAAAATCGCGGTTCAAGTTAGTCGTTAGCGTGGCACCTCGTCGAGTCTGAGGGTCTGAGGGTCCAAACCAACTCGAGGAGGCCCAAGCTTTATGTTCCAGCTTTTCTTTGTGGAACCGAACTTGCACCCGAGGTCTGTGCGTGAGATCAGGGACGTCGAGGTGTCCATCACTTTGATGCATTGATGGGTTGATGGGTCCTGGGCGCTTACCGTCAAGGACTCCAGAATACCCGATTTATCGGGGTCCGGGGCCGCCGGTCCAAGGCCGCGGGCTGGGCTGCGCGACGAAGAACATCGCTTTTTCTCGTCTTCCGCGAGGGTGTGGCCGTTAGAAAAGCATGGTCGGGGCTCTCAACAGATATGAAGGTTTTCTTTGGGCTTAACTGTATGTAAATAAAGAAATAAAGAGGTTCAGAGCGGGCGAACCTGAGGTTGCCATCAGGGCGTCTGATCCTAACACGAACAAACACGACTAGGCGCCTAAGCCCCAGCGTACCGACGTTCTCCCTTGCATCTTACCTGACCTTGTAGTGATCGTTCTCGATCTATACACACCAAAATATCCTTATATTTAGTGTGGTCTTGGAGCCCGATCTCGTCCTTAAATATGCCTACAGACCCAGCAAGACAGTGTTTGTCATGCGACGTGCTTGTGGAGGGAGGTTTGAAGTTGCCTGCAACCTATCGTTGTCCCGAAGCAAAAAAAAAATACTAGTATAGCCCCACAAATTGATAGTACTTATCTGTGGCCTAAGCAGTACGCATGCAGTACATCAGACCCCAAATAAACTGGGTTCACAGGTGTGCGATGACTCTCGCGGCCCTGCCCACAGCCTGCGGACCAGGTCCGGCGGTCCCGGACCCCCCAATGGATCGGGTGTCCTCAAGGACTCGGAGGGAGAGTCAGGGGTCCACTTGGCGACTCGCTCTCTGTTCGAAAGATGGATTTACATATGGACATATTTGCACTGCAAAGGAAGACGAGACTATTCCTGTTGCGCCTGTTCACGCCTCTTCTTCCAAGTTTTTATCCCTCCCCTTAACATTCCATTCTGATATTCTTCGGTGTCCCGAGGATCGAATCCGCAGTGCGGTACGAGCGGGCTCGGTAGACGAGCCATCATGCATACAGGCCAAGGCGGTGCACGTGCACACACACAAGTAATGACGTTTGGTGTTGACAGTTGCAGTCTGTTGCGGTGGAAGTGGGAAGCGGTGTGTCGATGGTGGTGGACACAGCATCGCGATTAGCTGTGGGCTTGGCTGGTTCTGGGCCGTCGTCGTCGGATACGCAGATTGTCAGTAACAGCTATTCAAGACCTTTACCTATCCATGAAATGTTTCACGAAGGGACGGAATTGCTTGAAAGTCGAAAACGGGACACTCTATATCGATTTTAGCTCTTGGTTTGGTGCCATTGGCTACGGGCCTACGGCTTTGAAAGCAAACAAAGTAAAATACAGAACTTGAGAAACGAAAATGGATCGCATTCACAGATTTCATCATATACATTTTTACGAGGTTCGAGGACAAAAGTGAGCAGAAAAGGTGAAAACATCGCGGCCTAATAGTTCTCAGAGCAGAGTAGGCGCTGGGGGAGGTCGACCGGCTGCGATCCCAGCAGGGGTAGGTGTCGGACCACAATCGGCCATCGTGGCATCCTGTGGTCCGTCTTGAAGCGGGTTGCATCCAGGAAGTTTCTCCATGTCTAAGATGCGACATGTATATCAGTTGTCTTTTTTATGACTATACAAATAACGCACATCCATCGATTTGCTCCTCGAGGACAGGCTTGAGGGTGCATTTGTTAATCTCCGAATCGGGCTGGACGGTTAGAGTCTTGCAGTACGAAGGGACGCCATTGAATTCCGTGCAAGTATCCATGGCCCTTTGTAAAGCGTCGTCCTCCCATCCGAAGACATAATCGCCATGATGTCCGTATCCAGTCCTGACGAATGCGTTAGCGTCGCGTCGTCCCTGCTCGAAGACAGCACCTACGGATCACCCATGCTGTAAACAAACGGCTGGGTACCGTCCGTCGGCCACATATTGTTGAACTGGCGGGTATCCCAGATAGTCTCGAAGAGGAGGAGGGGCATCCGGACCGGGTGGCTCTCAGGGCACTTGCCTCGATAGAAGCTCAAACCTGTGTTGGGATCGATTGGTTCGGCTGGATGAACAATGTGGCTCTACATCGGGAATGGTTTAGTATAATACGAACTTACGAAGTCCTATCCAATTGAAAAGCTATGAATCAGGGTGGATGGAGCAGAACTTACGGCGTGATCCGGGCTATCGAGGTTCTTCCCATCCCAGCATCTATTTTGCGATTGGTTGGAAGGAAGGGGAAGATGATCGTGAGGAAGCGTATTTGCGGCAGGATCATGAATTGAGCCACGAGAAGGACGTACTGGGGGAAATTGGTATTAGCGCGAATGCCGCCAGCGCATGGTTTGTTGGGGAGCTCGACAGTGTCGCTCCCGCCTCCTGGAGGCTGACTACTGTTGTCGTCTTGCCAGTTGGGACCAAAGCAGCGGAAACTGGTGACTTTGGGAGGGTTCTTGGTATCCTTACTGCGAAGCATCGGGTTACCAGTAATCATTCGGAATCCCTAAACGTGATAGTAGATAGGCGCTCGGTGAGGTCGATAGAGTCGACAGAGCAGTCGGGAGACTCGCCTTTGGGAATGCCGTGACTTTGGGTTCATTCTGAACGTAATAGACAGTCATACCGCCATTGGGTGATCCAGTTCCAAAGTTCGCCATTTGTGGGACCTACATGGTAAATGAATGTCGTCTATTGGAGCCTGAGCTAAAGGGCAGTGGCATACGCGGATGAAGCTGCCGTTCTCGTGCTTGAAGAAGAGGACGGCGGTCCAGTAATTCGACTTGTTTTCCTTGAATTGACAAGTGGTACATGTGGCTAGTTTTGCCAAGTCGTTGCTTGGATCCATGGTAATGTTGAATCTGCAGCCCAGTCAAATCTCCTAGACAATTGAACGGGATTGGCCCGTTACGCACGCATTCTAAGCAAGGGTCAGCAGTCGCTACAGACGAGGAAGTAGAGGTACGCACTCCCCCAATGATTTGATGGAGATGGGGTGATATTTCGCCGGGGGTGACGAGCCTGAAATAAATAAGACGAACGTCCCGTTGAACCAGACGCCTTTATAACAGACAACGTACGGATCTAATCGCTCAACCACCAGCTGTGAGCACGCAAATCTGATCAATGCATTGGAGGATGGGATAAGGTATCCTAGAAGTGATGCACCAAGAAGTAGTTTCATCGAGGGCGTTCTTGTAAGGCTCAGATTTGAAACGCTCTTCGTTCTTAACTCGTTCTCCTCGAAGAAGGCTGTGACTTTGCACAATTCGGGTAGGTTATCTGTCCAAAAGCGAGAGTCTGAATAGAAAAGAACCCTTGCATAGAAGTTGTTCGATCCATTGTGGGCTCCAACGAATGCCATGGGAGGCTTGGATTTGCCGGTGGGTTTTTCCAACAAGTGGTGGACCCCATCGAAGTGTCGAAATGATCGCTAAACCGTGGGATAGTGTCTATTCTTCGAATCCAGCTTTCAGGACTCGCCCTGGCTTTCATGCACAAGCTAATAACTGCCAAATTAATTGTCCTACCAGGTGGTCGCCCTCGGCAATTCAGCGTCTGGTACCCTTCGGGATTTAATTCCAGCTATCCAAACCCGCTTCGGGACCTGTACTATGTGCTCGAGAAGCCCAATGATCGTCACGACGCTTACGAAGAGTGCGTAGACCTTAGAGGAACGACTTTCAGCAAGAAAATAATGGAAAGAAAATGACGTGAGGACTGACCTGGCCGAACGTCATATCGACGATTGCTGTTGGTTCCGACGAGATGCAGGCTTGGATCCATATCATCAATGGTCCGAGTAGGAGACAGAGCTTTAGGAGATGGGCCCTTGCAAACGAGGCGGATCTGGCGATGAATACATTAGCGGAAGACGACGAGGTAAGGACAAGCTCGCTTACACCAGCTCTCTAAATGAGAGGAACCTTCTCCAGGGCCATATGGAAGTCGCTGACCACGATATGAACCATCCAGAAACGGTGGTGATAGTCACCATCACGAAGGAAAGCATGTCTTCGTCAGGGTCGTTTGCGATCCCGTGGGAGAAGCTTTTCGCCGAGCCCAGCATGATAATGAAGACGTTGGCTACGCAAAGTCCAGCCGTCACAACAACTCTAGCCTTTTGGTAAGGTGAGAACTTGGCAAATAAATGAGGGAAACGTACAGGATGATGGGTACGAAAAACTTCATGTTTTTGGAGGTGAAGTTGGACCAGCTCCATTTGGCCGCGGTGCAGGCAAGAAACATGGTCACGAGATCCGTGGCGCCAGGTATAAAGACGAAGAGCGCTCGAACAACAATGTAAGCAGTAATGAACGCCCACAGTCTAGTCGTCGGAATTGGGAATGAGCTTGAAATGTAGACATCAAGGATTGGCTTACATGAATCGGACAGCGTAGTGGACGACGATCTTCCCCCTTGGCGCACCGGCAAACAGACCAAACGTAAGGAGAAGCCATGCAATAATGTCTTCGCTTTCAACGTAGGGCAAGGTGGTTGGGAGAGAGCCCAGTTGAAGGACCGTGATTATCGACGTGGAAAGAAACCGATTCATGAAATGAGGGTATTGAGCATATAGCATGCGCTCTGTCCATGTGACAATGTCCAAAGGTTCACGTTGGCTTCCTTCTGGTTTTTCGTGAGAGCAGGCGTTGCTGTCTTGAAGGTTGCCGTCGCGTTCAAGAGGGTTCCTTGATGAGGTTAGATCGAAGCAATAGGCCCGAGCGGAAAAGGAAGGGGCTCACCTGAGGGGAACCTCGTAGGTTCGCCGTGACACCCATGCCCGGCAAAGCAAGAGCACGCCAACGAAACAGACCACATTAGATGCCCATTGGATGGCAAGCGGCATGATGTAGATGAGGTTGTACCATAGATGATCACCGTAGTCCTTGTTACATGCGGGTTGCGACAATTTGATCGATGTGTTGGGTAAGAACATCGTCAAAATCAGTCCGACAAAGAAGAAGAGGGATAGGATAGAGAAGACTCGGAATGCGTGCAGCTCTTTCGAGTTTCGCGGATCCTCTTTCGCAATGGGGAATGCAGCTGGATTCCAGCAAGACCGGATGGTGGAAATCCAGAGCCAAATGGTGGGGGGTGAAGCGACCGAAACAAGGACGAATAATCCGTCATTCTGAGTGAGCTGGGATCTGAGGATGACAATGAGGCAGGCGAGCATGAGAGCGAGAATAATTCCAAGATGCGCCATAAAGGCGCCCCGTTGGGCGTCTGGAAAGTAGAGAAGAGCAAGCCCTACAGCGCGTTACATTAGGCCGGAATAACGATAAAAGAGCTATCACTTACCGTATACAATCGTGGTAGCAAATACTGTCATTCAATGCCTAAGTTAATCATAGCATGCGGAGTTATGAATGGCAACTTACCGCCGACTTGCTGGCCTATACCAGTTACGTCGCCGTTGGGACAGGGACCCCAGGGAGGGCAGACATCTGGAGGGGGATTTAAGCAATAAGCTTTGACAAAGAGCTTGCCGTCCTCTTCATGTGTGAAGTGGAGATCCTCGAAGACAGAATCGCTATACATGGCGCGAGAGAAGGTGGGCCTGCCACAGAGGGAGAATGACGGAGATGGTGGTTCCCGCAAACACATACCAGAGGAGCCTCCCCATTCATGAGAAACCCCTGGTCTCACGCTCAGATAAGGACGCGCGCCTGCAACCCCCCGATGAAAACAGAACAATGCGACAGTGAAACCCTTTCAAACAAGCGCTCGCGGACTTTAATGATTAAACCCGATGCTCATTCTGATCCGCTTGCATGCCAGGTGTTACATTAAACCAGCGACAGCACGGACTACTTGCAAAAAATACTATAACATGTCTAAACCAATCCACAAAGAAACACTCGAGCGTATGAATATACTTGTATCGTAAATTAAATTAACTCATTCCCAACCCTGGCTTTGGCGCATAATGTTTCGGTTTCTCTCCCTCGTCCTCTTGGGGCATCTCCCTCGACTTTACGAACGCCCACCACACGTCCATCTTGACATCCTTCATTTCGTCAAGGAGGGTGAAGATTGTCAGAGCCGTTACGATGATGGCAAAGATCTACCAGCGATATACTAAGTCACAGCCGCGAAAGTTGAAGCAATATGATACATACCTGTCCAAAAGCCATATCCTTCGAGTTTGAGGGGTTGGTATTGTTGCACGCCTGTATCCAAAGGATATGCGGACCGGCAATAAACCAGCAGAATTTTAGGATATGGGCTCGCTTCCACAAGCCCTTGCTAGAATTTGGATTAGGAGTCGAAGGATGACATGGTATGAGATGGAGACTTACAACAGCTTATCCCAAGTGAGTGTGACGCGCCACGGCCAGGCAGAAGTTGCCATCCAGGCGATCAACCATCCAGAAACGGTCATCATACTGAGTTGGAAATACGAGAAATTGTCATCAGGTGCATTGAACCCGCCCGTTGCCGCGGCGAATATCTTGGAGTCTCCAACAAGAACGACAAAGTAGTTTGCGACCGTAATGACTATGGCCGTGAGTACGCTAGATTGAGCGAAAAGTTCAGTATCAATCGATATTCGTGGAGCTATGAGATGAACATACAGGAAAATCGGAAGGAAAACCTTCACGTTTCCACGATCAAAGTGGGCACAGCTCCAGGCTGCCACAGTGCACAAGAGGAAGATGGACACCACGTCTGGGACTGTAGGGAGGAACTCATCAAATCCAAGCATGCGGAGAAAGGCGTATCCTCCCAAGAACAATATGGAACTTGAAGGGGCGTTTAACGAAAATTGTTAGCGTGAGCATTACATGGAATTTCGAGGACACTCACAAGATCCGCATGCCATAGAAAACCCACCAGTTGCTTCCTGGTTTAGGTTTTTGGGCAAAGCAACCAAAGAGAAGGATCAACCACGAGAGGATGTCTTTGCTGTAGACATACCAGATTGATGTCGGAAGTGTCGAAATCTGGAGTATCGTCGCAATGCTGATGGCCAATGTGCGTGTCATGAAGTTAGGGAAATGGGTGCATAGCACCGTCTCGGTCCAGGTAATAATGTCGATTTGATTTTTTCCACCATCGGTTTTGAGGGTGTCCAAGCTAATGGCTTCGTATTCCACGGGATTCGTCCTGCCCCAAGTACTATCAGTGCTGAAGTTGTCCGAGATTCACGGAGACCTACATACCTGGTCGGGACCTCATAGAACCTCATGGAAGTCCACCCTTTGAAGATCGCCCATGCTATTCCAAGGAAAAGGAAAGTACCAACCATCTGCATGGCGTAAGGGAGCTCCCAAGCCAAGTTAAACCACAGCTTGGTACCGAACTTCTGGTTACACGCGGGCTGACTGAATTTGAGCTTCGTCACCCGTGTGGGGATGAACACCATGCATATCAACGCGATTTCGAACGCCATGTTAAGGAATATGACGACCCGGAGGATGTGTACTTCTTTGGATTTTGAAAGGGGCTTTGGCTTTGCACCGGGGTCCCGGAGGATGGGAAATAGGGAAGGGTTCCAGAGTGATCTGATGGAGAGATACCACATATAGAACGTGGCCGGTGATGCGACGCAAATCAATACGAAGAGGGCGTCGGTTAAGCTGAGGTTGTTCTTGAGGATTGAAACTAATCCGGCGATTTGGAGGGAGAAGACCAAGCTGAGGTAGGCGTACAGCATTGGTCGTTTCAACCACGGAATGTAGGCAAGGACCAGCGCTGAAACGACTCATCAACCGGGGATTAGCGTCCAGTACATCGAATGGGAGCGCACCGTAAATGATTGTGGTAGCATAAACTAATGAATCATAGCAGTCATGAGACGCGAATTAAAGCTGTGACCTGAGGAACTCACCAGAAACCTGGGAACCGATACCAGTAACGTCGCCGTTGGGACATGGACTAAAAGGACACTCTCCATCAGGAGGATTGACACAGAATGCCTGTTGATAGAGGTCTTTATTCGCCTCGTAAGAAAAAACCAAATCGACGAATGTGCTGCTTGACATGTCGATTGGAGAAGGGAATGTCGCGAAGGAAGGAGAAGAGAAGGGGGAGCTGGCACGTAGCAACAGGTTGGGTGCACGCAATATATGTGGGTTTACGCTCCATCCATTTCAGGGTGTGTCGTCTGAACTCAGAAATCAGCGCCCGTAAATGTATCGTAATGCAGCGTGCCCGACGCCTACCCATCATGTGCACACAGTCTTCCCTCAGGTGCATCTGCCTCTGGAGTTGAGTAAGGATTTACAAGTAGCGCCGTTTAGCGTTGTTCCCCTTCTGACACTTCGTTTTCTGAGACAAATACACGCTCTTGGAAGGTCGTATTCAGAGATAAGCGGTGGGCGAAGATTGTCGGCGTTCACGGACGATATTGTGGGCGCACTTGTAGAATCAAATCCTATGGGCGTCATCTCTGCCTGCACCCACCTAAGTTGAGAGCACAGACAAGGTTAGGGCATGAGATGAAATAGCGTGAACAGAAAAATCATGACATTCGATAACGAGACTTAAGCGACAACACCGTAATCTGCGGAATGAAGGGCATCGGATTATTACAGGGGAGCAGGGGTAACCCTCGCCTCGAGACCTCTCCGTGGCAGCGACCTCTTCGGGGACTTCGGAGGGTCACACTTGGGCGTCAAGCCAGACGGGTCTTCACCAGGACCGTCCCAGCATACGGGCCAAGGAGGAATCACCACGTTCGGCGAGGCAGTAGGCATGGGCGCGTCCACTGTGGTTGAAACGGCATCGCAGCTCGGTACCATAGTGGCGGGTTCAGGTCCGGCCTGGATGGGGTTGCACCCAGGGAGGGCATCGAGATCTGAAACGAGTCTCAATTGACCAATAATACGCGGGGCCAAAGGAGATAGACGTACAAACATCCTCGACAGGCTCAGGAACCTTGACTGGGAGCCTGCAGTTGTTCATGGTGTCCATGTCTTGAATTGTAAGTGCAGGACAGTTTGCTGGGATGCCATCGAACGAAGTGCAGACATCCATCGCGCGTTTGAGGGAGTCCCCTTCCCATCCGAAGACATAATCGGCGTGTTGTCCATAACCGGTGCTAACAAAAGGTTTAACGGCATTGTTTGGCACAAGAAACTCACACCTACGGATCGCCCATACTGAAAACGAAAGGTTGACCATTTTCCCAGAAGGATGGATCGTTGAAAGGACGGGTGTCCCACACGATTTCGATGAATAGCAATGGTAGACGAACTGGGTGGCTGTCGGGGCAGTCGGTACCAAAGAAACCGCCGATCGGGTGTGCGACGTGGCTCTGGATCACCATTGGTAAGGGGATGATTTGCGGCGGAGTGATTGAAGGATACTAACCTGATGATCAGGAGGATCAAGGTCGACGCCATTCCAGCATTGAGGGAAGTAGATGTTTGATCGAATACCCCCTGTGCATGGCCTATCCGGGAACTCGAACGAGTCCTCGTCACCCCCGGGTGCGCCGATGCTGCCGGGATCGCTACCTTGGAAGCATCGGAAAGTGGTCGCCCGAGCCTCCGTCAAGTGGGACGGAATGTCGTTGGTTCTACGCATAGGGTTTCCGACTAGCATGCGGAAGCCCTGGTATTCGTTTACGGTTAGTAAGAGAATTAGTACTGCATTCCGAGACTGACCTTGGCGAATGGGACAATGGTAAGGTTTCGAGTGGGAGGAACAGGCTGGAAGTAATAGACGGTCATCCCTCCAGCCTGAAGACCTGGTCCAGTATTGTGGTTCGCCATTTGGGGCACCTTGAACACGCCATCTTGTGAGCAATGAGATCTAGGAAGCCTTAGCCACACATACCCTGAAGTAACTCCCATTCGGGTGTTTGAAATACATGACAGCCGTCCAGTAGTTCGATTTATCCTCTTTGAACCTACAGGTGGTGCAGGTCGCAGTTTCCCCTATATCCACATCAGGGTCCATGGCAAGGTCGAAGCTTAGGTGAAAGGTATGTTAACCGCGACCTTCAGATGTAATCCAAGGGAGAAACTTACGCATTCTACACAAGGGAGAGGAGATGGGGAGAGATAAGCACCGACATCGTATGGGCAAAATGCTCACTTACCCCACCAACGATCTGATGAAGGTGAGGCGAAACCTCCCCAGGTGTTACAAGGCTTTAGGACCGGGTGGTCAATCGAAGAACGGAAAATTCGAAGGAGAAGATGCGCTTACGGGTCGAACCTCTGAGTTACGAGGTTAGAGCAGGGTAACCGAATGAAAGCATTGGCCAACGGCGCCAGGATCACGAGAGCTCCTAGTGTTTCAAGGGCCCACATCATCTTCAAAGGTGGTTAGCGAGCAGTGGTGCGATAAATTGAAGTAAACAAATCACCTTATTTATACTGAACGGGTGCTCGGAGTTGAAGACGGCATTGGCCTTCCGAGCTAGAATAGAGCGGTCCTTCATTACAGGCGCCTACTCACTTACGGAAGTGGCTTCGCTGAAGCGTGGAGAGAAGCTGGCCTATCGGGAACACGGGGAAATCGTGTGGAAGATCCAACATTGCGAAATTCGCCCGTGGAGCCAGAAGAACGACATGTCAAAGGGCCTTACAAGGATAGGTGTCAAGAGCACTATGGCTATATTGACTAATTCCGTCCCTTGAGTCGATCCGTGGAGAGGGCGAGGATGTCAGGGGTGCCAACCCATACGCCATATAGTTGCCTAGCTAGCATACGATGGATGAAGACTTCAATCCGTTCAGTTGAAGTGACAGGTGCGTTTTCTCCGAGGGGTGTGAAAATGTCTCGAGAACCTGATGAAATGCCTCGAAGGAAGTAGCGCCAACCAGGTATAGATCTGTCTGCTGGTTCTGTGACTGGGACGAACAGCACCACGGACAGGGCGCTTCGAGTGGAGAGAACCGGTGCGAGACGCGCGGATAAGGTGCTTCCATAGTCACGAGCTCGCAGTTCGTCGACAGTTCACCGAGATACTGATGTTGTCTGGTAGATCTATCTCTCCGTTGAATGGAGCAGAAACGTGGACGAGGAGGGAACAGCAGCCAAGGAAGAAGGACATGTTGAGCGCTATTTAGAGAAACCCACGCGAGCAGCCAGCCGGACCGTAAGAGGAGGAGATGGGTTCAAGTGCTCGGAATGCTGCACGCCCAAGTCAATGTTGTTAGACCGATTGAACCGTCGGCTTGGCGTGAAAATATACTCGGCAGAGGCCGGTCGTTTTGAAGCGGAGCTTCAGTTCAAGTTGCCGCTACTAGTGGCCGGAGGTCTGCGATAGATTCGCTGAAACTTGAAGGCGGCTGAGTCATTCAAGGAACTTAGGACTTAGCTTTCGATATATGAAGGACATGTCATGGAATGGAACAAATTCTTTCGAACGCCCATCGTGGGCCATCATTAGCAACTGCTCGCCACTCACAGCGGGATGGCACATAGAATAAAGCAAAAGAGATGAATTGAGACCTGATACACACAGTCAAAAAGCCAGAGTCAGCGCGAGCGAGCAGATTACTATCGTTCATATCACAAAGGAGTGACAACAGCGGGGACGTCCCTCTTCTCTTTAACAGGGATCGAGTCACACCGTGGAACCAGAGGATCCGTCGAGCTTCCGTCATGACATACTTGCCAAGGTGGAATAATCGCAGCTGGAGATCCGGTGGGGAGAGGGGCGTCGATGGTTGTCGAGACCGCTGTGCAGTCGGGGACCATCGTAGCTGGCTCGGGCCCAGCTTGAATTGGATTGCAGCCAGGCATCTCTGAGAGATCTGTATTACAAGGGAGGTTAAAGATTACTCATACAAATTTAAAACGAAAGAAAACGAACATGCATCCTCGACGACTTCGGGAACCTTGGCGGGAAGTCGGCAGTTGTTCATCGCGTCGGTATCTTGGACTGTAAGGACGGGGCAATTCGTGGGGATACCGTCGCTGTTGGTGCAGACCTCCATCGCACGCTGGAGAGAATCGCCTTCCCAGCCGAAGACATAGTCGGCGTGTTGTCCGTAACCAGTTCTAGTGACAGCGTCGTAAGTTCAGCATCAAAATGGAGAAAAAAAGAGTAACCCACGGGTCTCCCATGCTGAAAACGAAAGGTTGACTGCCGTCTTCTGGCCAAAGGTCTGGGTCATTGAACGAGCGCGTATCCCAAACGATTTCGATGAAGAGCAAGGGAAGGCGAACGGGATGACTATCCGGGCAGTCGGTTCCGAAGATACCTCCTACTGGGTGCGCGACATGGCTCTGAAGAAGAGTTAGCATCTGTTAAATTCACGGCACGATTCAGGAGACGAACCGAATGGTCAGGTGTATCGAGATTGACCCCGTCCCAGCATCTAGAACAAACGTTAAGTTACACTTCCAGGGAGGACTTGTGTTGTTGGTTCTCACTGGGGGAAGAAAATATTTGACCGAATGCCGCCTGAACAAGGTCGATTCGGGAGGTCGAAGGTGTCGATCGAGTCTGCACCACCAGGAACGCCAAAGCCTAGGTCAGCGCCCTCAAAGCATCTGTAAGATGATGTGCGGTATTCCGTCGAGTTGGGCGCAATATCAGCATTACTGCGCCGCATCGGGTTGCCAGTAATCATTCGGAATCCCTGACCAGCAAACGATTATCATCGACGACCTAGGGGAGACCAAGAATCAGACCCACCTTGGCGAAAGCAACGACGTTCAAGTTTTTGGTGGGCGGACGGGGTTGGAAGTAGTAGACAGTCATTCCCCCGGCTTGGTACCCTGGGCCAGTGTTGTGATTGGCCATTTGAGGAACCTGATCGTCGAAGCGTAAGGTCGCGAGTACTAAGCGAGGGACCGGGAAAATTCACGTACTCTGTAATAGGACCCGTTTCGATGCTTGAAGTAAAGGACAGCGGTCCAGTAATTGGATTTATCCTCAACAAAGCGGCAAGTAGTGCAAGTGGAAGTCTCGGCGATATCGATGTTGGGGTCCATGGCCAGATCGAAGCTACACATGTTTGGTTGGATGGCGGAGAAGGACGATCAAGAAACGGCCAGGCTTACGCATTCTATTGAGTGGTTGGTTAGCGATTTTCTGGTTGAACGGGATGCATTTGACTCACTCCTCCAACAATCTGGTGCACATGGGAAGAAACTTCGCCTGGGGTGACCAGTCTAGGTTCGCGTGAGTATGGCACTAGCAGCATTTGCCCTGAGATGATACGTACGGATCGAATCGTTCAGTGACAAGCTGCGAACATGGAAGGCGGAGGAGGGCTTGTGCAGGATTCGCGAACAGCAAGCCTAACGAGAGAAGAGCTTGCCAAACCATTGCTTTTTCGAAGTTGAGTGACAATTGATTTCGACGCCTGAGGAAAACAACTTGGGCTTTAAATACCCCATCTTTCGATCCCGACAACGTGGAAGGAATTAGATAGGTGCTATGCACGATTCATTGCCAGCCAATGAGAGTTGGCGTCCACACGGAGATCCGGTAGTCGCACTAATGACTCTAGGAGATGGGGAGACACAGCCCTGTTTGAGCGACGGCACCGATTTCTGAGATGAAGTTGCGAAGTCCGCCCGGATGAGGTAGCCATTTGGTGAAAACAAAGGAAGGCCTCAATCGAAGCGTAGTCGCGGCGATTTAAATTTCCCGTTGAATTGAGAGTGAAAAGAGGGACCAGCTGGTAACTGCTATCATAGGGTCGACAGAGAGACAGAGAAGGGAGAAGCCAAGTCAGGTGGAGTTCCTGAACTTCTCGGAAGCCTTGCCCAGATAAAACTGAAGCATCTTCGGTCGCTCGCGTGGATAGATCGTGGTTGGTGCCCTAGTCAGAGATTTTCGATGATCCAGTGGTGCGATGTACGACATGTCAGCAGATCACAGAAAACGAGCGGACCAAGGGTATTCGTGCGCGGCATGCAGTTTGGGTTCCGCGGTGCGTGTTTACAGAAATCGCGCTTCGTCAGGGATGAACGGGCCTACGACGATGTGAACCGACAGTCGCAGAAATCAGAGTACTGGCCTCGCCTGACCCGTCATCGAGGCGGGGTGTCGGCGGTGGATAGAACCAGTTGGCCCTTCCAAGGACTCGGTGGACCGGTTTAGGCCGATGGGGGATTTCCACGTTTTTGATTGCCGTGATGTCCCTCAAGCACTGCCGCAGCCGACATTTCCTCTACATGAAAGCACACCGGAAATGCTTACCCAAGAATGTTATGTAATATATTTATGTAAGCCAGAACCCCCACGCCCGTGTACGAGCGCGAGCCCGCCGCTAGGCGGGCGCCAGCGAGTACATTAGGACGGATGCCCTGCGGCGAGGTCGCTGAGTGTGACTTAATGATTCGAGCGGCGGTATTTACAGATGTGTCGAATGTTTCGAATTCTGTCGTAAGTATATGTAGGTACGGAATGGCCATTATCGAGTCTAAAGGCTGTAACCGGTGCTAGTATGATTTGAAGCTACATAACTGAAGGCACTTCCATGGTCAGTTTAGAGACCTGATGTACTTGAAGGGGACTTTCAAAGCCAGGGGGTACGACTAACTTCTGATTTGTGCTTCTGTATCCACGTCGACATTCATACAGCCCGTCATGACTATTATCCCTTTCATCTCGACGGTCCGATTCGCCTTTGAAAGACCTTGTTCTGACATGCTGTGGGCTTGTGGGTGGGCTCCGCTGTCCAACGTCAACAACAGTGGGTCCAAAATTCCAGGTGCTGCGACGAAGGGCAAAGGGAAATTCATCTTCGCCCATCCACGTAGCATCTCTCACCGCTTCCTTCAAATGCTCCGCAAGGTCGTCAGTCTGGCTCTCTCTCTCGCTGTACGAGGAGAGGCTTCTCCGCTCTGGCCGAGGGAAGATTTGATCACATGCGCCACATCGTCAACGGCATTCGTTGATTCTTCTATAGTCGAGGTCGATACCAACTACAGGTCGCGGATGGATATACTGTGGAGCTGCCTCTCTGTCATATTTGCCTGCACCTGGCTCTCGGTCCACCCCAACGTCTGCGAAGCCCCTTCAACTTGGTTCAGAAGAACAATACTTCGTGGAAAACTCATGCTCATTGCTATTGAATCCCCGGAGGTGATTCTACTATTATCGATTCGCCAATGGCTTGGGGCAAGGAGGATAACGAGGTTATTCCAACAACACGTCGAGAACGAAGGCGTTCGTGAGGGTTCACTCATGGAGCAGGACGGGAATGGTACGTGTAATCTCAGTGGATATGAATGGAATTTAGTGATTAACAGTGTATCAGAAGGGAGCGGTAGCCGTGGCCAATGGCGATGGACCATCACCCATTCTCACTTTTTGCAAATGGGTGGATACGTCTTCCGGGAAGGAGGAACAACCCACCATATCGACATTGCTGAAATCCTCTCGGATAGCGAGAGGGCGCGGCTAATTAGAACTTCGATCCGCGACCGATGCGACCCAGAAGATGACCTCCTGGACCGCAGTAAAGGCGACGGCCTTGCTAAAGCAGCAGTATTCTTGCACACCCTTTGGTTTATGACCAACTGCATCTCACGACATATACAAGGACTCGAAATTACGAAGCTGGAGTTAATCGCAGCTGGATACGCAGTCTCCACGGGGTTCACCTTCTTGTTTTGGTGGAATAAGCCGCTCGACGTACAGTCGCCGATTGTAGTGGACATTCCCTCGAATCGCTCCAGCACCTTCACGTCATCTGAGGCGCAGGGGGACAATGAGACACAGGCCATAGCCTCTGAGCCTAGCCCGGAGCCTAAGGATGAAGATGAAATCTCAATCGAGACTAACACATCCGACCTCCGAGCCCAATCAAATATCGAACTATGTGAGTGCATGCTTATCCCCTTCACCTGCGGTAAGCTAAACGTTATCCTAGCTTTTAGTGAGCGCTACTACTTAGGACTATACCGGATAATGGACGGGATAGAGCGCTTCGCCAACAGGATCAGTATCAGAACAGACTATTTCGCAACCAGGATCGACGATACCCCAAGGGAGCCGTTTCCGAGCTTCTATGCCTATCATCCTCGACAGGGAAACTTGGATGGCTCAGACCTCATTTCATGGACACCTATCCTCGCCGCCTGCGTAATCTCCTTCGCATTTGGCTCTATTCATTGTTTTGGCTGGAATTTCCCTTTTCGTTGGCCTGTCCTGAAGACATTGTGGCGCGTCTCAGCATTGATTACCGCTGGTATACCTTTAGTTGCGTTAATCATTTTTATCACCTGGCTGCTAATCTACCAGGTTATGGGGGACGCTATCGTGGACCCCGCGAATTTGGTGATACTGATCGGAGGCATGCTTCTGCTGGCGCTGTTGTTGATACTTTTTATTCCGTACTTAGTCGCACGGGCCATTCTCATCGTCATTTCACTCGTAGAGCTGAGTAGTTTGTCTCAATCAGCGCACAAAACTGTAGAGTGGTCTAGCTTTATCCCCCATGTTGGCGGTTAATCCAACGGACTACTGTCTTCCAACTCTGTTCACTTTACAAGACACTTATATCTTCCTTAGTTGCACTAAAGTATATACGTTCGAGCCTGGAATGGTGCCAATGGGAGTTCTCAAGTGCTATTTTCGGCGGGTAACCGCACATTACGACATTCCATCATTAAGCGCCCATGCCACTCCTCGAACGTTCGTCGGTTATTTCCGGTCCTGTGCTTCGATTCATCCACAAGGAGTCTCTGCGTTATTTCCGGTAGTGACCCTGACACTTGCCAGCACTGCCATAAGCAATGCGTAGTCTATAAGACGGCTATTCGTCCACACCATGACCACGACAGGGTCACACGACCGCAGTTTCCTCAACCCACCACGAACACGAGCGCTGAGCACATAAAGTATGCTAGCTCGTCCACAGGGACGTTTAAACCGACCTTCAAGGCCCGAGCGAGTGCTTCAAGCGAGAACTGTGCGCCACGAATCATCTCCTAGCGCTCGCAAAATTAGGTTACAATCACAGGCCATTCTGAATAGGATCTGTGAGTGAGACTTACTCGTCCGTTGAAACTCATCTGATGATCCGGGATATCAGGGACTGTAACCACAGCTGCCCTCGTTCTACTCGATGCAATTCACGTCCGTTAATCCTTCGTGCTCCCACTTCGACCTCTGTTGACCGCTCCAGTGTCACTTCCAGGTATTCGACGGTCTCGCCATCCTATTCCATCCAGGAGCGAACGATCCCGTCACAACTAGAGTGAAAACTTCCATTGGCTGTGCATTAACCGAGGCTGTAGGGATCCTATGGATGTATTCCTATGAAGGGACGAGGAACGGGTTAAATATTCCTTGGCAAGTAGCTTGACTTCACTGTCGTTCGCATTCAAATTATCTGACAGCCGAGGAATAGCATTTTTCTTTCGTTGATTCTTGGAATATTCACTTTAAACACAGCGGAAGACGTGCTGGAAGACGTCGTCCATGTGGACTGCGCAACAACGTGAGTTACCATCCCCTTTCGAAACGCTTTGAAGGCGCGAATGGTCTAATGACCATTTAGAGCCTGGACTTCTGGATCATGTTCAAGAGTCATCCGATATAGTCGGTCTGGAGCTTTACTTCTGTGAGTATCAGCTCGGATGGTCGAAGTCAAGGACTGACTCGGGTGCCATTGGAGCTCAGGTATCTACCAGCTGCATATCTGGCCACTCTTGTTGTTCTCATCACCGTCACCGGGACCTGGTTCGGGGTAATAGCACTGCGAAATGGAGTAGAAAGACCTCCACCGTTCCAAAGGTAGCCAGACACTTGTACTATTTCAGTAATCACATATATACTGAGTACTTGGGGATCACCGAAAGGGACCTGTAGGCTTCCCATCGCTACTGGAAATTCCTTAGTGAGCGATGAGCCAGGAATCCACAATACAAGCTCCTTGCTACTGTCACGATATCGCTTCAGTCGTCTCTGAGCTAGTCATCCACGAAATCACCGTGACTGCAGAGCAAGATCAAACAGCATAGAATCTCGGCAAATCATCATGATCGCGTTTAAACCTCAGCAGCAACCCACCTGGGAATGACAGATTCCCACTCATCCTCCCTTTTGTTCCCAGCGGTCAAGTAATACTCTGCACTCGTTCCTTCCATCGATCTGTGGAGGAGCTTACTCATAGTCAGTACCGCAAACCACGAAACCACGTGTAGGCGAGGTGAGATGAACACGATCTCGCCTATCAAATGGTTCGAGCGGTACCTCAGATGGAGCTGTAAGCCCGCTTACCGAAGCCCCCAGCTCGCTGAAGTCGAATCTACAGCACAGGGCTTCTCATCACCCTCGTTATGCTTACTTCTGGAATCGGTTCGGTGAGTTCCTTTCCTGTTGATACGAGTTCCCATTGCCAATCCAACGTGACTACCTTGAAGGTCGTATATACCTCGCTAATGCTCCTCCGCTTTTCCGAGATCCTCTCATCCAGCACTCGCACAGCCCTCCGAGTTCTACTTGGCTTTCTCGCGCTATACCTCCTGGCTTTGCTATGGTTCCTTACAAGGATCTTTACACCCTCGATTGGTCGACCTTCGTCGAATAGATGCTGCACGGGGGGTTGCGTATCGGTTTCGTCATGGTACGCAATCTTTCCCCTACGTGTTAATCCACTCAACCACGGTCGATGTCGTTCGTCAGGGTTATTGTCTTTCTCGTGGGTACAATAATGTGGCTGGCAGCGCAGAATATAAACAAGATATACGCGCCCTGCGACAGTGCTGGGTACGCACCACCTGCTCATGTTTACTGATATTAAAGCGTTGAATGTGTCTTAGATCCCAACTCGAGACGTTCTGTAAGGTATTCAGCGTGTACAAGGCATTTGCAACGTCTACAATGTTGGTTACGCCCGAGTTCTTCGCCACCACATCTATTCTGATGTCCCATTTGGATTGCATAGCTTGGCCCCTTGTGCCTACGTTGGGGCAGTTGTGACATTTTTCTTCTTCTGTACTATTGCAGAGAACTTTATATTGCCACGCATACGGGCAACTTGGATGTTTGGAGACCCAGAGTGTCCCCTACACCAAGCGTAAAGGCAGGACAATCATCTGATCACTCTGGATACGCCGTCGAGCTTCAAGGAGATGGTCGCTAGCCGGACTTGTAAATTCCATGACATTTTTCGCGAACAATGAGGTCGGGCTCAGCAGGAATTCGACACGAAGCCGCGAACACTCCAAGTAGAACTTTCCCCCTGGACCCCATCCTGAGAATGAAACTGACGAGAGTTTTCTGCACATTCGAAATGTAAGCTACCACAATATCATAGATGATAGCAGGTACAGGGTCTAATCGTCCAAATCGTCGCCCCAAATTAGATGTTCGTCGTGCCACAAGGAATCTTGGCCATACATGATCGCGAGCTCGAAGCCGTTGGTGTCAACACCTCTCGCTTTGAGTTCTCCCCAAACATCAATGTTCTTGAAGGAAACAAACTTGATATCCACCATCTTCAGACGCCGATCCACCGCAGTGTGACTGGGCAAGGAACCTGAAGGTTTGGAAAGGCGATCGGCCAGGAACTCGAGTAAGTCTCGATCGTCAAATTCCTCCCATGACGTTCCCAGGATACAGGTGAACTTCTCCAGCGACGGGAACCAAGGCTTCTTCTGCGGATAGAGAGACTTGGAGCAACTTTGTACATAGAATCGCTCCAGCACCGAAGGCCAAAAGCGTGCGTAAGGTGGGTCCTCCCATTCCCTCTCGGGAAACGTCAAAGACGAAGCGTACAGCTTCAGGTCGGTCAACGACGGTACACCCGGGCCCAACTTCTCCAACAGGAGCACGAATTCGTCTTTCCGAAGGTAGTTGTACTGGAGGGAGAGGGTCGTAAGGGTATCCAAGGAGTCGAAGTGGGTGGTGAAAAAAGACGGGATGGAGGATGGGCCACGGTTGGCGTTACATGACGTAGACAGTTTCAACGATGACAGAGCCGATGTGAACTTGAGGCGCGACAGAAAGTTGTGAAGATAGGGACGTGTGTCAACCGGCGGCTGGTGGTGAAAATGGCCCCAGGCGCGCTCTTCAATGATGAATGTATGGAGATGGGGCATGACTATGGGTGGCCCTGGAGAAGTCGACGTGATGGATTGGGTATGGTCAGAGTCCAGAGCGTCGGGTGTAGAGGAAAGTTCCAGGGTGCGGGGTGCGAAGGGAGGAAGCGCACTTCTCGAGGACGGAGACGAGTTGTTCAACATCACAGACTGTCTTCGCAAGAACAGGACCTGACGCTCTGATGCGTAGCTCGGTAATATTTGCCCAATTCCTGACAGGGAGGTCGAGCAAGGTGGGGTGTGAGGGGAATGCGGACCAGCAGTTGAGGTCGATGGAGGTGAGGGACGGTGCTGCGAAAAGTCGGTCTCTGTCGGAATGGTGGTAGTGGGCACGATCTTCTCCATCTTGCATCTCAGCCACTCCGTAGATATTGTCCCAAGTCATGACGAGCTTAGTCAAGGAATGGAGGCTCTCGGGCGGTATTCCGTACACATATCGTTCCATGCGCTCGGAGATGCACGCCGTTTCCAAAGTTCTGATCTTGGCCACGTTGCGAGGGGAGAAAACAGAGTAGAGCATCGGGAGAAAGACATCGTCCAGCACCTCGTGTTCGAACCACAGTCCGAAAAAGAGAGAGGTAGGCCCAGCATAGTCCATCCATCGGGTGAACGCTCGCACCTTCTCCTCTACAATTCCTCTCGCATCGGGAGTGTACTTCGTGTTCCAGGGTAGTCCTCTGTCAGAGAGATAGAACTCGATCTCTGACCAAAGCTGCGAGGTTGCCCTCGCCACAGCGCGCCAATGGTTGCACACGTCAGTTAATAGAAGGGGAACTTCTGTCGTAGATATCGTAGGTTTCTTGCGGGCGGGAAGTGTGGCGAGGAAGATAGACCCCAGAACCTCGGTGGGTAGACGATTAATGGGAGGAATCAAGGTTCCGTCGACCTCGTCAAGATGCATGGTGTGACGGAGCTTACTGAAATCGATTAAAGGTTAGCAACGGGCGAGGGTTGTTCCCGATAGAGACAAGAGAGATACCAGAGCAGGATGCGTAAATCTGGCTGATTCTGCGTTGTATCGTCGGGAAAAGAATCGTAAGAGGTCTGAACTTGGATGAAAGGGACAGCACAACTTGACCACGCCTTCCACACGCGCTCCGATGCATTCTAGGAGATTGATGCCATCATTTCGGCATCTGTGTCAGCCGAGTGCAAAGACTTATCCTCAGGCTGGAGCATGTCGAGATTCAAGAGCTTACTGGGCTACAGTCTCAATTAAGGCGGGTATACAGGTCACAGAGATAAGAGTGTCGATGTTTGAAGGCAAAGTGTACACTGTCCTTGGTTTCCTGAAGAGAGAGGATCTTCTGAAGCTTTACTTGAAGATTGATGCCATCACGACGGCCCGAGCAAGGCATCTCACTCGAAGACGATGGCAAGGAGCCTCTCCTGGTTGAGGAAGCATGGGCAGCATTTGTGAATGAACTTATAAACTATATTGCGATGCCGACATCGATCTTTACAAAGACGAAGGGTATTGGCGGTTACTGCAGTTGAACCGTGAATCGCTCATTCGAACACTGCTGCAGATACAAAGCCAAGGATCAATTGAACCTTCCTCCTGTGCCCTCCGACTCAACATCCCTTTCAAGGCTCGACCCAGGGAGGAGCTGTCGTAGTGGGCGGAGGGGTGACAGCAGGGTCAGCTTCCTCTCCAAGATTCGCACCATCACACCGCTCCCACCACCTACACCGCCGACACATCAAGACTGCACAGTATCCCAGAGGCCCTAAATCCAACGAGTGAAACAAAGCACAAGGGAATGTCGGTCAGCGTAAGGAGTAGATTTCAAAGATAAGACCTACCCGCTGGCACAGGATGATACGTTGTTGTAGCACCCTGCGGACAAGAAAGCGATGATGCTTGTGAAGGACATGGTGCTACGATGTCCTGGCAGGTGCACCTTGGACAGTGGTTTGGAATGGCCTTCGTCCGTGGGTTCGAGTCCCATCCTTCCGTCAGTTCAACGGCATCCTCACTCTCCGGTTCAGCCCACCCAAGCCAGGGAAGCTGACCATGTTGACGACATCGCGTACGCTCGCAGTCGACTCGAGGACATCCTGGTGGCTGAGCTGGACACGAACACGAAGCGTAGCATTGGACTCCGGTTGTCGGGGAAGGAAGGGGCGGGAAGAGGAAGTTCGAGGAGGTAAAGGCGCTGTCGAACGGTCGACATGGATGCGTCGGGTGGGGAGCGCGAAGTAGCTCCCAATTGCCTGGCTCTTCTTCCTCTTCTGGCTCTTCAATTTCGTCTTCTTCGTCCTCGTCCTCATCGTTGTCGGTGATGATTTCCGGGGGAGGAGGGGGTGGAGTAGGTGTGGGACATGCGGTCTGTAGAACTCGTCGACAGGTGCTAATGTCGAAATCTACACCAGGTGATCAGGAAAGAAAGAACAGAGAATCCATTGCGACGCACCTCTCTCATCCTCCGGAACTGCAACACACTCAACAACATAATGTGGATCGGGCGCACACTCTGTAGGCCCTAGGTGATCCTTCCCTCCACATGGTTCTCCTATCAATATCGGAACTGGTGTGGGACCTCCTCCCGGTGCAGGCCACACGGTTTGTCTATGTCGTTCGCTTGGCTTGCGATGTCGGGAGATGGAGGTCGGGTCAACGAAAGCTGTGGATTCAGGTACAGCCAACGGAAGTGGTTTAGCTTGTCGAAGTGGATGGCTGAGGTGGATTTGGGGATCCGAGAGTGCATTGGAGAACTCGATTGGGAGGACGGAGAGTGAAAGTAGACAGAGCTCGAAGACGAGACGTAGTCGATGGTGGTTGCTGTAGGACATCGCTTGGACGCGTTTGTTAGAGGTGAGCAGGAAGAGGTAACGTCGGGACGGAAGGTGAGGGCGATGAGGTGGAGAACACGTCGACTGGCTTCGGTTAATCCGAGAATTCATCCGCGCGGTGCAGGTCGACGCTGAAATCCTTGGCTGGGATGACTTCGCTCTTCGCTGGCAGTCGACGGTAGAACGACCATTTAGACCTGAAACCGGTTGGGATGACTGTCCTAGCGCGGTGGAATGGCTGGAGATCGAGTGCGCAATGTTACTGCGGCTGAGGTTGCGCTGAGCTTGAGATGAACTAGAACAAGGAATATCAAGCAGGGACGTACCAGATGGAAAAGTATAGCCCCCACAGTGCTCCTTTTGCTGGGGCCTGGTTTCGATATTCCACTTCATCCTCAGCGCCCATTCTACCCTTTCCAAACATGAATTCGCAGGAGCACTAGCATTGGGAGCCTCATCGTCCTAGGGATGTCGACGTTGGATCGTGGAAAATTGCAGAATTCGCCTTTTTTACCACGGCAGTCGAGAGGGCCAAGTCGTTCCGCAAGTGTCGATGTCGTTGGCGCGAACGTAGTTGAGCGGGCCAGAGAGTTTTCGCGCATGCTGCGTGCCACGACAGAAAACGCGCCGCTCCGGTCCGTTGAAGATTGATGGAATTTCGTGAGATGGTCCGTGCGGGCGGCGCTAATCGAACAAGCGCCCTGGTCCATCGAAGCCAGGATGGTCGTCAGTGAGCTAGTTTCCTTAAGGCTGCGCCTCGTAAAGAACACCACATCATAATAAACTGATTTAGGGTCAAGACAGGGATCGGCTGTATTCTATGTATGGCCCAGAAGTCTCGGATTTCCATGCGGCACTCCTCGGCACTGGAAAGAAGCTTTACGGTGGGTAATGATTCTGAATGCCTTCCTGACAGCCTGAAGTATATCTGAATGCAGAACTCAGACTGTGACGAGGGGAAGATCTTTATCAGGGAGAACGCTGGTCACTCGAGGTCAACCTGCGCACCACCAGCTCCGACATTTTACCACGGGTAGGACGAGAAGAGCTATATAATCGATGAACCTTCTCAGATCTATTCACAAACTAGTGTTTGATCGATCTATGCCCCCAAATATGCCCTCTCCTCGGTTTGGACTCGTTTCGACTACCTTGGCCCTTGGTGCCTTGCTGTTTGGTGCCGCCCGAGCTGCGATTCCGACGCCATTGCCTACTGCTGTCGATCCAACACCTTCGCCTCTGGTACCGCTCGGTGGACAATGTGAGTTTACCTCCTGATCAGGTGCCGTGTTAATGGTTAATAACCGAATACCTAGGTGGAGGAATCACTTATAAAGGTCCGACTGGATGTGCGCAGTGAGTTCAGAGACATCGTGCTATGAGAAGTTAAATGAATGTCTTTGTGTCTACCTAGGATTCCGGGAAAGACCGTAGCATGTGTCGTAGTCGACCCATGTACGCACCAAGTCAAATTAAACATTGCTCTTGAATACTCACTCTACTTCCAGATCTGCATCAATGCCAAATCATTGAACCTACAGCGAGGCCAACAAAGACAACGAAGCCCACATCGACCTGCCTAACCTCCACTCTCGCCTGTTCAGCAAGCTGCCGAATTTCGTGTCCCAGGGGTCAGCACCTCACCGGGACAGCCTGCCCCTTCTGCAAGTGCGAAACGCCTACCCCTCTGTGCAGCGCTACGTCGATCAGACCACCTCCCCACGTCATTACATCGACAATTCTCCCGCCTCCGCCGGGTACGATAACGCCAGCGCCGACCAGTAGCGACGTAACGACTTGCGTTACGAGTACAGTTCACTGTGTTACGAACTGTCTGATTGCGTGCCCGCCTGGGCTGGTGTTGACAGGCTCAAGGTGCCCTTGGTGTACGTGTGCGAAGCCAACGCCGCTTTGTACCGGTACCGCAACTCCTTGAATATTTAATGGGCGTTTATGATATCATCGTAAATTCCCTTACTCACACATCCTGTACCGGAGTTCCTTGATTAACTGGGGTCTATATTACGTTCGAAATGCTCTCTACGTCAACAACATGCATTCGACTAGGCGCTGAAGAACGTCTATAAAGAAAAGGAAGAAAAGTTGAGGAGTACATTACAGAGTAATGGTTACCGAATAGCTAATGTTACTGAGAATCTCTAATCCTGTTCAGGCCGCGGAAGAGTACCACGGGGCGAGGGCAGTTCGGGAACACAGTCTGGCGGAGGGACACGAGTTCTGTCAGACGGTCCCTCACCTTTGGGAAGGATTGAAGAGTGACCCCCGCAGCGGCCAAACTCTGCAATCTCCGAAAAGACGGTCGATAAACTCCAGGGACACTTGTCTTCATCATCTGGCGATAGTCGAGGAGGAAGGGCAATGCGGCGGGTGAAGCGGTGATGTCATCCGCACCACGGAAGACATCGAAGAATTCCTGTAGATATGCACTGGTTTCGGGGTCCCTCGCTGTCACGGTGTTTTCGTCCGCTAACCTCGACGGCAGCATGAAGGTTAGTTCGAGCTTACTGACCCCAGCAGCCATCTCTCGGAAGTGACTTTGGCGCGAGAGGGAGGCGAGGAAGCCTGCGTAGTAGGAGGCTGAGGGTCGTGAGCGTGTCCAGGGAGTCGAGGTGGATGGTGAAGAACGACACGACACGATAGAGGAGGAGCCGTATTTGACGTTACAAAAAGTGGAGAGCTCCAGGAACGAAAGCCTCGTGAACACGAGGCGCGAGAAGAAATCGTGAAGATAAGGACGCGTGTTGACAATCGGTTCATGTTCATAGCGATCCCAGGCGCGCTCTTCGATGATGAGGGTATGAAGATGAGGCATGTCGATCGGTGTACCAGGAGACGACGACGGTGCGGCCGGCGAGAGGTGGTTATTGGGAGTTGTCGGGTGTAAGGGAAAGCTCCAGTGTTCGAAGGGACATGGCGCATTTGTGGAGAACGGTCGTAATATGCTCAACGTTCAGGAGGGATTTCGCGAGGACAAACCCGTCGGCCTTGATGCGGAGGTCTGTGATGTTGGACCAATTGCGGACGGGTAAACTGCCAAAGGGTAGGGTGTGACGCGTGTTCAGCGTAGTACGTGAGGTCGATAGAGGTGAGGAATGGAGCAGAGAGTTACGGTATGAGGTCGTTCCTTGATGGTTGGTAGTAGCCCACCACGTCATGGTCCCCATCCAAAACGCAGGTATACAAATCGTCCCAACGGAAGGTCAAGCGCGTGAGCGACGTGAACCACGCGGGTGTGATTCGGTGCACGTAACGCTTGAAGCGGCAGGACATCGGAGCTGGTTTGTAGGCCCTGATTTTGGCCACATTGTCGATCGAAAAAGCAGAGGCCAGCATTCGGAAAAGGATATCATCCAGTACGTCGTGGTAGAAGAAGAGACCGAAAGAGAGGGAGGTAGGGCCGGCGTAATCCATCCATCTGGTGAAGGCGACCGCTTTCTCCACCACAATCCTCCTCGCCTCGGGTATATATTCGAATCGATGCCAATGGGGATGTTGCTGCTCACGGGGAAACCAGTGCCGCAGTTTTGTGTCACAGAGATGGAACTCGGTCTCTTCCCAAAGCTGTGAGGTGGCCTTAGCCACCTCGCGCCATTGACGACAGACGTCAGCCAAGACAAGTGGGACACTCGTGGTCGATATGACGGGTTTTCCGTTGACGGGAAGCGTAGCGATGAATATAGAGCCCAGAAGTTCCGTGGGCAGACGGTTAATGGGGGGAATCTGGTCATCGTCGACTTGGTCGCCACTCATGGTCATGGTACGGAAAAGCAACTAACGTTTGAAATCAAGCAAATGTTAGACATAGTTAATCACTTCAGAAAGGACGGGTCAGATACCTGTTTGCAGTGTGTAAGGCCGATTGGCACTGTCCAGAAGCCAAAAGGGAAAAAAGGACGGTATGTAGTTTGGGTGGAAGCCTGAGGAACTCCCACCCCGTCCGGCGTCGATGCGTTGCCCTGACGGCATTGCGACCAAATTGATCCCATCATCGGTAATAATTCCGGCACAGTCACACAGGCCACCCTTGGCTTGCCCGTGAACGATCCCCTACCAGGAACTTGTTACCCTGTCCGTGGTCGCGGGTACTAGATAGAAGTTGGGAAGGTGGGTATGATGTCAGGTAGAGAGAAGTTACCAAGGTGGGTATGATGATATCAGGGTAGAACTTGCGAATGTATGCTATCGGGGAGAACTTTACGAAGAGGTATGCTATCCGGTAGAAGGTATGCTACTGAAAGGGTACTCAGAAGGTGTGCTATTGCGACGGGTACTTAGAAGTTGGAAGGTGTGCTACGCATCGGGTAGAAGGTGCTAACGACTCATCGAGCATCGGGTAGAGCTTCCTAGGAAGGAAGAGATGTAGGATGTGATGCCGGGTAGACGCTCATGCCAACGGGTGTAGGATGTCTGGTAGAACCTACTTTTCTCTGACGCAATTTGAACTTGTACTTCTCAGCCGAGTGTAATAGAGTAGTCTGAGACGCCGAGCGGGAGAAGACCAAGTACCCTTCTGGAGACCCCACAGTTCATGACGCTAGGCCCAAGTGTTCGAAGCGAGAAGCTGGCAGCCTCACTGCACTGTGGCGGGTGAAGAACGCGAGATCATGATGGGTGGGGAGAGCTCCAAAGGAACGTGGTAACGGCGCTTTATGTAGTGGGAAGTTCGCGTTTCATGTGTTGGAGTTCGTGCTTTATTGGAGTTCTCATTTGATGCTCGCGCTTTATGTATTGGAGTGAGTGCTCATTGCGTGATACTTCGCGTAGAAACGAGTTTCCCCAGTTAGCTACATACGCCCGGCGATGCCCAGAAGGAAAGAACGAATGAATGAAATGGCCGACCAGAATTCGGAAGTAAAAAATAAGTATACATGGAACGCTGAATCCTCATTTACTTTTATCACACATGGGAGTAATACCACTACCACTACCAAGCAATACTCCACCAAGGACCAGTGCGACTGTACTCTTCTGGATCCAAGAAGACTTGGAGGGAAGAAAAACCCCGTGGAATATGTACGAGCTCTTGTGACCTTTATAGGTTTTCTCACATCGGTACATATCATCCCCGCTTGACTTTCCCTCTATTGTTTTCGTTTTCGTTTACACGGCGGCTAAGGAGTGAGTATCTCCACCTCGATAGGAACATTCCTCCCCATCTCCATCTGCATTTGCATCGCCGTCTAACCTTACTCTCCATTTCGTTTAATTTCGGCAGAACTCCCGTGAACAGGGGAACGTCACGGTGAGCTGCGCGTTTGGAACGACAAGGCGAGGGCTCAAGATGTGCCTACGATTGTCGTGGTTGGTGGTACGTATGTATGACTCGCGGTCTAGAGCTTCGGAAAGTATACGGTATACGGTACGAAGTACTTACGAAACGAAATACATACCAAAATATTGTCGGGCGGAACTGAGTGGGGGCTTTACAGGCACCTCGTAAGTATGTAATTTCGGACGACGGGAAGCTTTGAATTTCGGGATGAGCTGAGCGGTAGCCGTTGACGCCCACAACGAGTCGGATCCCGCCCGGAGACGAGCTCGAAAAGCTTGAAGGGGATGTTCAGGAGGATGAGTTGTGACAACAAGACTGCCGCGGGGTCGATGGTCGTCTTTCTTTGCTGGTCCGTCTTCGTTGATGCCCAGTGCCCACCAGTCTTCGTCGATGACTGACGGAGCTAAACTGAGCTGAGAAGGTCACTCGACGCTCTTAGGCTCTCAGAAGCGGGGTCGATGCAAGGCCCCCCGCCAAAACGCCGCCTAAACATCGCCTGACAAGCCCGAAAGAAATACGCACATACACTACGTCATACCCTCCCAAAACTACGAGTGATCGTAGAAAATTTGCCGTCCCTGAATAATTTCGGCTGACGATGCTTCGTTTCGAGTCAACATAATCTCACTTTGGGTGCGGAAGTGGGCTTAGGAGGGTTGGATGCCAAGAGATTGCTCCAACAGCTAAGCTTTAGGCACGAATATTACTCCAACGGCTAAAGTTTGGGTACGAAATGGGTGCCCGATTAGGCGAGAAAGCTAAATCGGGGTAATCGTCCTGGTTTATTTTTGGGTTGATCGTTATTCAAGGCTTTGCTTGGTTGGTTGGTTGGTTGCTTACTTACCTTCTTCCCTCCGTCTTCAAGAACCCCCCTTCTCTGTCCTCTTCTTCTCTCTCACACAAAGCAAGAGGACAGACAGACTGACGAGTCGCTAGTGATAAGGCCCGCAAGACTAAAAATACAAACGTGAAGCCTACCCCGGGATTCTCCCCATTCAATCCCGATAAGCTCAACCAGAACCAGAACCCCTTGCTTTATCGATCTGTGCGTTCCCCCTCCCTTTCCCCTCTTCTTCCTTCCCTCCTCTCCTCTTGGTCGCCTTACTGGGCGTCCCCCTCCCAATCCCTTTCAATCCAAGATACCAAAACTGACAGAACAACCCTAAAGCTCCCAACCCATCCAGCCACAACGATCCCCCACACACAAGACTGTATGGCTCTGCCAATGACGGACGTCCCGCCCGTCCCCACGCCCGACTCCGCGCCTGCGCCCCCCGGCGACCCGTTCTACCTGCACCTCATCGCCCTCCTCGACGTCTACGACCGCGGGCCCTACCCCGGCGCTACGGTTCCTGTGCCACGATACAATGGCCCGAGCAGCTGGGAGACGGATAAGATTATTAGGACGCTGGGTGTGGTTGCGAAGAGGATGTGGGTAGCGGAGGAGAAGTTGAGGGGGTTGGGGATTTGGACGGGGCATCATGCGGGGGGTGGGGGGAGTGGGGATGATGAGGTGCGTTTTTCTTTCTTATCGTTGCGTTTTGTTCGGGGAGGGCTGATGTGGGGGAGGTAGAACGAAAAACGGTTAGGGTATACGACGACGACGACGGCGATGGCGATGCAGGGACAGGGACAGACGACGAGTACATCGACGCCGTGCACGCCTTTAGCGTCGACCCTGACGGCACAGACGGCGCACCAGCAGGAATTCGAGGCTGCTGCTGCCGCAGCCGCTGCAGCGGCAGCTCCGACCACCCAGTCGCAGTGGCACCCTCAAAGTCAATCCCAGTGGCCTCCTCCTCCACCCTCGTACCCCACGAACGAAGATCCGTACTACCAATCCGATGCTGCGACTCTCGATTCGGACCAAGCGCATTCCATAGCCCAAGCCCAAGCCCAAGCTCAATCGCAATCGGATGGGCAATCGGGGGCGCAGGGAGGGGATGATAATGATATTGATCATCGTGAAACGAGGAGGATTTTGAAGACGGCGCAGAAGCCGCATCGGTGCACGATGTGTGGGTCGTGGACGACTGGAGGAGCGAGTACGTTGTTGGATCCGGGAGGAGGTGGGGGGTATCCTGCTTATCCTACTGGTGAGTTTTTAGCTACCTGGATATCTGGGATTTTGGTTGATTTTTATCATCCCTGTCTTGCTCGTTCGCGGATCTCCCTTTGTTATGATGTTCATCCCGCCACTCGATATCGATCTGACCTCCTCGATCCAACCTCCTCGACCCACACTGTCGAATCATCTCGGCGTTCTTCCATCACTCGATCCCGCCCCATCTCCTTCTCGACGTTCACTCTCCCTCGATCACCGCTTAATCAGACCCCCTTTCGTCAGAAGAATCCTCCCCCCTCTCGGCGACCGAAGAACTCAAGCTGCTCAAAGCCCAAGTACAGGACGTTGCGCGGGTGTGTAACGCTGTGGCGAGGGGAGACTTGAGTCAGAAGATTACTGTGCCTGTGCAGGTAGGTGACTCTTTTCCGAGGCGAGGGAGTATCCATCAAGAGAGGAGCATTTATCGATACTCCCTCGTCGTAACCAGCTAGTGCTAATGCTAACACTTGATGTTACAACCCCACAGGGCGTAGTGATGGTCCAACTCAAAGACGTGATCAACGGTATGGTCGACAAGCTTGGTCAGTTTGCGAAGGAGGTTACGCGTGTGTCGCAGGAGGTCGGAACGGAGGGGTGAGTGCTGGATTCCTTTCGTTTTCTTCCATTTCAAAAAAAAAGAGAAGACGGGACTCGATGCTAACCGATTTTATTTGCACGCAGTAAACTCGGTGGTCAAGCACTCGTGTTGGACGTTGAAGGCACTTGGCGCGAGTTGACGGGTGTTGTGAACAAGTTGGCTGCTAATTTGACGAATCAGGTGGGTGTTCCCTCTTACCCATTCGCGAGTTTTCTCTTGTTCTCGATGTCGACCGGCTCGTTCTCTAACCACCCCCCTCGTTCTTCCCCTCATTCTCTAATCCTCTCCCCTGCTTGCTCGCTTTCCCTCATTCTCCAACCATCATCGCGCTCAACCGCTAACGCTCCGTTCGCTCCCCCCGTTGTATAGGTCCGGTCTATCGCTAAAGTCACGAAAGCCGTCGCGTTGGGCGATCTCTCGAAACAGATCGAGGTTGATGCCCGGGGTGAGATTTTGGATTTGAAGAATACGGTTAATGGTATGGTTGTTCGGTGAGTCGTCATTTCGTTTCGTTTGTGATATGGGAATGGGGAGGAGTGTTCGGTCGGGTTTGGCGGGGCATGGGGGGTGCTTGTAGCAGGCTGGATGGAGACGAGCCCTCGAACCCCCAGCCTCCAAGTTATATCCACAGGAAAGAAAGCAAGAAAGAAAGAAGGAGTACTGACATTGTGCTACCCTACGCTTCGCTTTTGCAGACTCCGAGCTCTCGCCGCCGAAGTTACGCGTGTCACGCTCGAGGTTGGTTCACAAGGAAAGTTGGGAGGTCAAGCGCATGTTCCGGATGTTGAGGGTGTGTGGTTTGAGTTGGTGCGGAATGTACGTGTCCTTTCTTTTCACTGAACAACGCTATCGTGCACGTTGGCGCCTATCACGCTCATGGGCCCACTCGTTACTTGTTCGTACCCCTCTGACGGCTCGCTAACGCTCCCCTCGCTCGTCCTCACAGGTCAACAGGATGTGTTCCTCTTTGACGGACCAAGTCCGATCTATTGCGATGGTGACGACTGCTGTTGCGCGTGGTGATTTGACGCAGAAGATTACGATTCAGGTGGAGGGTGAGATGAGTACTTTGAAGGGTGAGTTTGGGTTTTCTGTTTCATGCGGTGTTTTCTCGTTTCTGGGTTCGAGGTCTCGTGCGTGTGGTTCGAGGGCGAGCTGTTGTCATCCAGGGATGACGTATACCGGAGCGATGACCCCTTCCTCCCGGGATGAGTAGCGATTGAGCTGTGATGGATAGTAGGGATTGCGTAGGGCTAGATCGCTAACTCTCCCTCTTTCTCTTTAGGCACCGTAAACTCAATGGTGGACCAACTCTCGGCCTTTGCGTCCGAAGTCACTCGTGTAGCGCTCGAAGTCGGTACCCAGGGTATTTTGGGTGGACAAGCCAAGGTTGAGGGTGTACAAGGAACTTGGGCTGATTTGACTAGGAATGTGAACGTGAGTGTTTGGTTTTGGTGTTTTCTTTTTTGGTTGGCTGGTGACTGAACTCGTTCGCTTTCAACTCGATTTTTCTCCCGTGAACTTGGACGCTTCGTTTCCTCAATTCGACGATTCGCGGATGGATATGGACGCTTCACTCATGAACTCTCTACCCGCCGTCGCAATACGACCTCATTGGACATCACCTCACTTCACCTCGCTTCACCTCGCTTCACTGCACCGCTCGTTCGTTTGCTCGTTTCATCCGCATACAGAAAATGGCGTCCAACCTGACGGACCAAGTCCGATCCATTTCGGAAGTCACAAAGGCTGTTGCGGCTGGTGATCTTACCAAGTTGGTGAACGTGGATGTGCAGGGTGAGATGTTGGATTTGAAGATGACTGGTGAGTGCCTGGATTCCTTTTTTAACGCGGGAGGATGTGGGGAGAGGGATGAATGGGGGTTGGAGGGGGGAGAAGGGTGACGACGTGGTTAGGAATAAGGACGATGACGTGGTTAGGAATAAGGACGATGACGCGGTTAGAGACAAGGACGATGCTAACGCCCTCGTTTTATAGTCAATTCAATGGTGTCGCAGTTGAGCACTCTGGCTAACGAAGTGACGCGAGTCTCGCTTGAAGTCGGTACGGAGGGTATACTTGGAGGGCAGGCGGATGTTCCTGGTGTTCAGGGGATGTGGAAGGTGCGTACATGCATGATCTCTTCTCCTTCCGTCGTCGTATCGTGGTGCTAACACAACTTCCCCTCCTCTCTTCTACACCCGTCATCGCGAACTACCAGGCTCTAACGGACAACGTCAACCTGATGGCCATGAACCTCACCAACCAAGTGCGATCTATCGCGCAAGTTACGAAAGCTGTAGCTGGTGGTGATTTGACGAAGAAGATTGATGTTGATGCGAGGGGTGAGATTTTGGAGTTGAAGGACACTGTTAATGGGATGACGGCTAGTTTGAGTGTGTTTGCTGATGAGGTTACGAGGTGCGTATCGCCGCCTGATTGGCGTGCCACCAATTAAGGAACAATACTGACGGATGATTGCTTACAGGGTGGCGAGGGAAGTCGGAACGGAAGGACGGTTGGGTGGTCAAGCGCGTGTTACGAATGTTGGTGGGACGTGGAAGGATTTGACGGATAATGTCAACGTCATGGCGAACAATTTGACGTTGCAGGTTCGGACTATTGCTGTTGCTACGGTGCGTGAATATTGGTTTGTTGAGGTGGTGGGTTTTCTGACGGTTGACTGTGCTCTCCCGGCTCG